CTGTGCATGTGGTTAAAAAAAGAAGAAAACATTCCGTCTTTCTCAGTCTTGAGTATTGTGCTCCTACAGCATTTGTGTGAAATGAAAGATTCAAAGAAGTTAAGTGCTTTTGTGATGCTTTACTATGTTTGCTCAGTGCATTAATTTAGAAAGGTGTAGGCGGGACCAGTAGTTTCCATTGGACTTGTTTCAGCTTGGTCACCTAGCAAAGAGCAGCAGATATTTTTTCTTGTTTTCATGGTGAAGTGATATGATCTGAATACTGTACTACATCTGTAAGAATGACTTCTTCTAATAACAATGAGGGTAACACTTATTTTCACTATTAGGTAAATCAATCTTAAATCTTTGTGTCAGACTGCGATTAATTGTAATAAATCCATTTCAACACTCTTGAGAAGCCATGGCAACAAAATCAACAAAGCTGCAACCAACTGTAGACCTTTTCTCTCCTTTTTCACAAAGCAAAGACAGAGGGAAAATTAAAACTGCTCATCCTTTCACTCGCTTGTGTGACTGGATGTGCTGCTTTAGTTTGAATTGTTGTCATGTAAGCTTCATTTACATTAAAAACCAGTTTGCATTGCACACGTCCTTAAAATTCAAGTTGTCGGATACTGCATAAGCAGGTAAGCAATAATAATTATTTGGATTTTATATTTTATATATCACCTTGAAGGAATCACAGAGAACTTCACATATAGGAGTTGATCTACACCTGAGGTATAGTACATTACTAATGATGCCACCTATACCATGGCACACCCATTACTCAGGAGATCAGGTGGAAAGTGAGAAATGTCTTTGGCAAATGAATTAGGGGCCCAGATTGAGTATTTGGCTACGACACAGGACAGATAGTACCATGGAAACTTTAATGCCCTATTTATTGTGTCTTCAATTGCTTTCCGAACGACTATACTTTGTACAGCAGTGTCCCCTGTCGCCATAGGGGGGCATTGGTTTCAAATTTCTGGCCTAGAGAGGAGAATGCCACCTACTGGTCCCATCTGTAACCTTGGTTTTCCTCGCAGGTTTCCCATATTTAATGTTTAAAAGATGTTTCACTCAAGTTTGCTGTCACTTGAAATGGCATAGCACAACTAAGTCTGTAAGATTGCTTTTTTTGAAAATGTGGTGAGACAATAATTGTTAAGTAGAGCAATTTTAAGTGACTGTGGCGTGAAGAGACCATTTAACAAGCAGCAAAGTCATGTACGATAGGACATTGCTCTTTGTCTGCGATTTGAAAGACTGAGATTTAGTAGCTTACTAACGGTAACAGTGAATGAGTGGTAAAATGGAGGCTTGAACCATGAAAGCTCTTAATTTACACTTCTCCCACTACCCAGCTGACTTTATGAATAGCAGAAATAAGATGTAGGAGTGCTATATTACATCACTTATTTATGCCTCGCATGAATTTTGCGAACCAAACACTGACTAGGTCATGGCCTTTAAATGATGTCTATGTTGGCTTTGAATTCATAATAAATGGGAGACTGGGAGGTCTGTGGAAAAGGACATCCATCAGTCAAAACCACTACATCACACATTCCACCTTCATTGGTTTTGGATTGCATTCCTTCACTCGTAGCTACTTTTTCATTTTATTTAAATACAAGTTAATTCAGTCTGGACTCAATGAATGTTCTTAATCAAGAGAAAATTCCTCAGTGTACTTAAGTTTTTATTTCATCGTGATAGTTTATCATGCATGCAGTTGTGGAAAGCTGTAACTATGTTGGAACATGGCGCTGTTTTTTATTTTTCCGAAAACAATGCAGTAAGGCAGCAGTTGAATGTGGTCTGATCTGGCAGATCGCATCAGTTCTAGGACGGAAGCAGAGGCTTCAAGACAGCCCTGTACGAAATCAATTTTCAAAACAAATTGTATTGAAACTGTAAAGTTTAAAAACACGCTTTGTTTTTTTTACCTTTTTCCCCCATGTGGAGAGGTGGCAGCAGAAGTATAGTGAAGTAGGTAGGTTTCTTAAATGGTACTGGCGTACTGAAAGCCTTGCTTCTGCCCCAGAAGAATGCTCAGTTGTTAAAGCAGAGTCGCTGTGCCATGAAAAGTGAGTTTTACCAGCTTTCAAGTGCCTGTGACATTTCTGAAGGTTAACCTTGTTAGAGCAGCTGGAGTAAGGTGACCAGCTCAATGTCACAGCGATATGGACAGCATTCAGTGGGGAAGTAATCTGACAATTTGGATCAATGGAAAGTGGTGGACTAACTGTGAGCAGTTGCTGGGGTGGTGACAGAATTGCTTTTCATTAAGATTCCGGTCTCCTCTGTTGGCAAGCAGAGATCCTGATGTTGCTGATCCTGATCCTGAGGTGCTATGTCCAACCTTTCATACAGACACCGCAGATTATTCTCCTGCTGTACAACACACTTGGGGAGAAAGCTGACCAAATGACATAGTTTTGGTATTGTGTGTTATAGGTCTTAATTTGAAAAAAAAACGGGACTAGTTCAGGTATGGGTAGACAAGTGGTTCACTTTGTGCAGGTAACCGTTTTAATCAAACTAAGATCAGGGTTTGAATAAACACCAGAGAATCATGAGTCTCTTAAGGGCAATAGTTACCCATTCCTGCTGTTAAATATTTATTTACTTTGCTACCTAGTGGGTTTTCAGATACTAATAAGTATGAAGACATCTGCTGTTTCCAGTCATCTCCCTGGCGTTCATCTGCTGCTGTATATAAGAAATAACCAGGAAGTCAGGGAGAAAAGACAATCTAAAGAATGTTCTTGGCTCTTCACTTCATACACATTGTAAATGGCAGGTAATGAGGAAAGGAAAGACCATTGCTTTGGTTTGATGACTATTCACCATAATCCAATGCCTTAACATGTGGCTGGGTTTAAGCTGGTTGTGGTTTAAACACGCTGCACTGTGTTGAGTTTTTAAAACTGAGCTTGAAGGTGCCTAGGTTATTAATGAGTCCACAGGGAATATGTTATTGAATAAATCAGTTTCACTTAAACAGCCATGGCCATTCAGTTTGGGCTTCCCTTTGGGATCCTGTAATTGAACTACATGTCTGAAATTGAAGCTATTGAGGCTTGAGCAGTGCGCTTTTTTTCATTGTCATTTGCGAACTCTATTTGCCTTTGTGAACCTGCCTCAAATTATGATGAAGTGTGAAGCCAATGACAATGCAGAGGGAAATTTGTCAGCGTTTGAAGTCAGGACTTGTTTTCCCTAAGACATGTGATGTTGATGAATTTTATTTTAAAGCTTTTGTTGGCTTCCTTTCTGAAGGGCCGTTCTGAAAGCCATGGAAACAGAGAATGGTTTTATATCACTGGATACATTTTGCTTGGCTCAAGATGAAATTAGGAAAAATACAGCTTTGAATACCACAGTATGTGGATCCTGTAGGAACAGCTTACATCCCTTCCTAAATTTATTTGAGCTTTGGACATTCGGCTGCTACAAATGCTGCAATCTCCCAACTTCTGACTTATTTAAATATATTAATTCATTTATTTGCACTGTCCTGTTTAACCGATGTCAAAGATAAAAATAAAATGCAAACATGCAACTATGTCTTTGTGGTTCTTTGTTCTAAGACTGCAAACTATAACAGTTTTTCTGTATTCTGCCTGGTGTCATGCATCATTGACATGTCTCTGTTCTCTGTGTTTTAGCGTGAAGTGTGACTTTAGAAAGAACACAAGATGCCTCATGGCAACTGGTATTGAATCACTGCAGGTGACCTGTGTGTGTTTTTTGCATTGCAGCTGGCCAAAAAGATCCGGGAGAAGTTTAACCGGTACTTGGATGTGGTGAACAGGAACAAGCAGGTTGTGGAAGCATCATACACTGCCCACCTGACATCCCCTTTGACAGCCATTCAAGACTGCTGCACCATTCCCCCCTCAATGATGGAGTGAGTTTACTGCCCAACCATTCATTAACACAGGGATGCATAGTTTCAGTTATGCTCTATCTGGGCCTTTAATAGGCTCAGTGATGTGATTACGGACACCAGTTTTACTCCATGAGCCTGCTCTTTAATTGTTGGTCACGTAAGATAAAACTCTTCTGGACTGGAGCTCTATATGCTAATGCCTGGAAATGTATTCAAGTTTCTAGGGGGCATTATTAGTTAGTAAAGACACAGTTTACCGTTATTTCACTTTCGTAATCCTGAAGAAGAATGCCTGTGAATAATGCAATTACATTGGCGGATAAAAATAAAATGTAATTGGTGATGCGTGTTTAATTGTTGCATAATTTGAGAAACTGTTTGAGAAATTTGAGAAGGTGAAATCGGCTGTTTACATAATGAGGCTGTAGAAGTGGCTGATTTTGGAAAAGACAAAAATTGATGCTGCCGGTATAAACTGAATTACAACAAGAACAGATCCTTGTTATTAAATTGCATATATGGCATATTATATTTTTAATTACGTTTTATGATTCTTTTGAAGGAGAACCTATGAAATGCATAGGGTGAACAAAAGACCTCATGTTGTCTTTTAAAAACTAGATATAGACTAAAGTATTCCTACTTTGCCACTAATTATTTTGAACAAAGGTGATAAAAATATTTTTTCTTTTTACACTTTATACTATGTCCACACTGCACTGTGCAGTCACTGATCTGTATGGGTAATTTATCTCGAATGGAAAACAGGGCATTGAGCATAACAATTACCTCTCCATGGCAGTGACATCCTTATCATAGCTAGTAGAACTTCGGTCCTTGTAAGCCTCAAAATACAGCATCTGTTTTCAAAAGTCAGCACATGGATGGAGTTCACTTGGGACTCCCAACCACAAGGTGTACTTTTAACCTTATCTTCACATATCCACATTGCGGTTTCTTACTCATGCTTAATTGCATTTTGATTGCATTATCTCTAACCTCAGACACAGAATGATTTATCACAATCCTCAGGCACCTTTCTTCACAGAACCACAACTTATTCAGCATGTGTAGTATGACTCTCCCATTTGACCTAAAAGCTAATTTGATTTGATCTGATGCTTATGAAACCCAGCCCAGGATTTTATTCTGACGGATCCTGGTATTATTCTGCAACAAAGCAAGAAAAGATGGGGGGGGTTGGTAGGGAATGGCTGGAGGAATGAGGTGGGGGAAACAATCAATAGTATACAGATCTTCATGTTGTGACTTTCTTCTAATAAGCGTTTTGAGATGATCTTTTCCAGGAAAAGAAAGTAATTAAAAAAGATTGATATTTAAAAGGTAGTCTGGTGACAAATATCTTTTCCATTGTCAAAATCATGAGAGCCAAAATGAATCTTGTTGAGTATTTTGGAGGGGAGGGTGCCAAATAGGTATTTTCCTGTAATGCAGTTTACTACTTTTTCATTTAAGGATATGATTCATGCTGTTTTACACAAATTAGGCCTTCTGAAGGACTGCAGCTTTGTACTTTTCTGTAGAGAGCTATTTTGCGATGTGGGAACACATAACTACTCTTGTTTTCAGGTGAGGCAGTGCAAACAATTGACAATATTGAAACCCCACTGGTAGGAGTATAGCTCATACCACTGCAGGTCACAGCAGGAGCAGCTGTCAGAATTCTCTGCTCTTGTTTTGACTTGGTGAGCGTGCTTTTCAGTGTGTGATTGTCTTGAAATATTCAACAAGCATGGCTTTTTGAGGTTCTCACAGCAGACTTGTGGCTTGTGTTGTTTTGTCTCATAGAGCTCTTAGCCCAGTAAAGAATTTGTATTTTTTGGTGGTGCTGGGATTTAAATAGAGGCAACATATGGTATGCTTTTAATGCTTTTATTATTTTCTGTTGCACACGCATGTATCAGGAGACAACAGTCAAGAGTTGGAACAGGGCATGAAGAAGCTAATTGTAAACAAGCCTTCTCTGTTCTGTACTCCTGTGGTTTTGAGTCTTAGAGGCAACAGATACCACTGCTTTGTGTATTATGGCCAGTGGCATGGTTGAGCGTGAGTAAGATGTTATGCATGCTATAGGATGTCATATTCTTAATTTACTTCCTAATGTTCGTCTGAGGTCAGTTTTCTGTGGACCCAGCCAATGATAATGAGCAACAGAATGCTTTAATCATTACTACTGTGTACTTCTTTTATTTAGTTAAGTTGCTTAGCCTTGAGATGCTTTAACAGGCAAAGATATGTGCCTACACATTTGTGTGAGTTATGTGAACCACATACAAACAGTTTGAGCCTTGCTTACCAGCAGCTATTGGAAAGTTAATCTCACAGCTCTTTGTTTTGAAAATGCAGCAATATAGCTGTCAGGTGATTAACCAATAGTATGACTCTCCAAACTGTTCTTTGAGTAAATTATGATCTTTTCTTCACGCTGTGTGAGAGGAAGTATCCTAGTTGCTTCCTGTGCTCGAAAGTAAATTCCATTTTAGGTTTAATCGAAAATCTTGGTGTTGAAATAAGCCCTGTTCTGTTTAGTTCTTGTTGTAAAAAATGAATACCTTCAAAGGCTCATACAGACTGATAACTACAGTTGGTGTTTTTATTTGTACTGCAAGGGTTAACGAAGATGATAGTTAAGCATTTTATAGAAAAGACTAACAATCTCTGATACTCTTAGTTCAATCTCCACTGAGCTTTCTGTTTGCTGTTTAAATAACATTAATTGGTTCTATCAGATACAAATGAATTGTCATCCCAATTCACTTACTGTGGAATGAGCATGTTCTCTCCACCTAAAGAAAAAGAACCACTACATTAGCTTTTGGACAGATACATATCCCTTGGAAGTAAATTTCTTACAGGCAGTTATTTATAGATAATTCTGCTTAAGCTTTCATAATTTTTATTAATTCAAAATGAAGAAATAATGATTGTGATTTATAGTTTAGTTTTTCTTTTTCCACTAGCTAGAGCTACTATAAAATATTTTTGCCCAGGAAAGAAACTGTCGTATTGTAGCTTTCCTATACAGCAGCATACCGAACTGAAAAATGTAACATTTTAAATATGGTACTGTTTATTTTTCTTTGTTTATAAGAACCTGTCACAACAAAAATTCCCAGCTTCAGCTTCAAAAGCCCCAAGAAACTGGAAAATAAAAATGCAGAGAAAACAAAAAGTATCCAGAGATGATTTTGTTGAAGATGCTACACGTACTTCAAGCCTATAAAGTAAAGACGGCTTCAGGGAGTGTTATTTTTTATTTTAGGTTTCTTTTTTGCTCGACTGAGCTTGTTTTTCAAGAGCTTGATTTACATGGTGAATCCAAATCAACGCGAAAAAAAAAACCCGCTTGAAGGGATTTTTTTGATGTAAAATTCAAAGAGCTTGCAAATGTATTTTTTATCTTCCACATTTCCTTAGCCCCCACGTGTAAACCGTGTTGAAGGAGAATAATAATGACTGGAGCCTGATGGGAATTAAATGTCTGAAGTTCAAAGCGTTTTGTACATCAGAGCGGCCGTCAATCAAGCAAGCATCTCGCCGGCGAGCGCGGGGAGAGAAGCTCTCTGTGGGGACGAGATCAAAGTGGGAGACGTGGTGCTTGCTGCTCCCTCGAGACGCTCTTTCGATCAGCTATTCATTAAAGAGAACCGAGGCAGCCTGGAAACAATGCCGCGATGTGACTTCTCTCGAAAAACTGACTTTCCGCCAGCCATTTATCTGGAGCACTCGGAGCGGTCGAGTCCGAGTGCAATCCGATATTCTCTGTCCCGTGGTCAAGGTTGGAAGCCTTGAGGATTTTTTTGGGGGGGAGGGGAGAGGGGTTCGAGGAGGTGGAAGAAGGGGAACGGAGTTTCAATTAGCAAGTGCATAAGGGGGGCGGTGGGTTGAGCACGGCAACATCTATAAGTGGCTGTCCAGGGAAACGTTTAAACATTTCTCTCTAATTTAGGTTATTACTTCCATATGAGAAGAAAATATTTTCTGCTTTCCCTTTGATTTTCCAGATCAGGTTTTCCTCAACTTAGCCTTCCCTGAATTTGGAAGAGGTTCTAGTTCTAACCAGGTCATGTTCTGTGAAGATACTGTGGCATGTGGACACTGTTATGAAGATCTGGTCTGGTGTGACCCAGAAGACATCTGGTGTTAAAATGTTGGTTCTTGTTCATTTCACGGAATTCATGCAAAAGCATAATAGATATGGTCCAGTTCCATGTTATCTCCCATATGTAGTTTCATTCTCCAGTATTGGAGATCTATTTCTATAATAATAATAAACTTTATTTTATATAGCACTTTAAAGGTGGCTTCTCAAAGCGCTTTACAGGATGAAAAGGTATTTTCATCAAGATTTCTAATTCAAAAGTGCTTCTTCTCAGTAACTGCATTATTCAAAGATTCTTTTCCTCGTAAATTTGTGATGTAATTAATCATGAGGTTTGTAAATGCAACCAGATGCTGCAAAGTCCCAGAACAATATTGGAATGAGGGCTGTACATCACCCACAGAGGGCACTGTTCTCTGTTGTACATTACACAAACAGAATGCAAGGTCTGACCACAAATATTGTTAAAAAGCAGACCTCCCGAGACCCGAGAGAAGAAACAAATGTAACCTGTCAAACATCTATCTTGGAAATCTAAAAAAAAATTGACAATCTACATATTTACTAATGTTTTAATTTTCAAAAAAAGTTTGCCAAGATCCCCCCCACGGTTTAACAGGGCGAACTATGCCAACTTCAAGCCTTCTGACAATTTCTTGTACTAATGTTAATTGTTTTTGGGACAGGTAATAGTGCCATGGTAATAGTGCCATGTTCAAATAATGCTTTTTTTGTTTTCAGTTTTGATGGGAATTTCAACACGAATGTCTCCAAAACCATCAGCTGTGACAGGCTTTCTACCACAGTGAACAGCCGAGCATTCAACCCCGGACGGGACCTCAACTCAGGTGAGGGCCCTGTCTTGTTGTGTCCCAAGCTCCGTACCACCACAGTACAGGCTGTGTAGCAGACGTGACTACATGTGCGACAACATCGTGGCAACACGCTTTGCAGGACTGGTTATTCCTTTAAAATTAGTTATTTTTCAATAAAGGCTTCGATATTATTAAAAAGAGGTAGGCCAATGCTGCTAAATGTGTAATAAAACATTGTCCCCTTGAGTTTTGCAATTGTGCACTTATTGTGCATTCTAAGCCATTTTGTGTTTTGTAGTAAAAACAATGTAAAGATCTTTGATATTTGATTTGATTTCCTTCCTTTAGACATTCAGATGTTCTCTGTCTTTCAGTGTGCATTTTTTTATAATGTATTCAGGAACCACTTCCTACGCACTATAAATTGCAAAGTTGAACTTTAAGCCATAAACCAGGCTTCTACTGTATGCGCTTCCAGAGATATTACATCTTACCAGGCGGAAATTGACTCTTCTCCCAGATGGAAAGGGTTAAAAACTGTGAGACATTTGTCTTCTTCATTTTGCCACCAAGTATTTTTTTTCTAGAAAAAGTTTAAAATAAAACACCCCCTACCTTTCCTATAATTTCTAACGGAGGTCAACTTTTGCCTTGTTTAAACAATAAGTGATATTCAGCAGAATAGATGCTTAATATTCTTGCCTTGACATCCCTCTTCTGGTGTAACCAAGAGGCCCACATTAGAACTGGAAGCCTCATTCCTCCCATTTTCCTCAGTTATCTTTCTCAATTGCTGAGTTGTAACATAAACTTTACACAGACTGGCCCATTCTCTGTGTTTATTTCCTTAAGATCTGCTCTGCTCCAGGCACTTGGCTATTGTATATAATTTGTCATGAAGGCCCAAGTGAGGAACTAACTCATAATGGTGAAAGACAAAGTGCAGCTGACAAGAGGGCAAAACAGGAAAGAAAGCAATGAATGGAGGTTGAAGACAAATCTGCCAACTTTAGTCTCTACAGTTTAGTCTTAAATTCTTCAGTGTTGCTATAGGTCTTGTATTTAGGGCCAGAGAATGTGTTTTTTTCCTCTCTTCCTGATCAACACCCCAAAATCTTTCTTCGTATGCACATAGTAGGATTTTCAGTTTTGCTTTCTCTGTGTGGCATGAGCAAGAGTCTTCTGGTGTTAACAGAATGACTTTTGCCCATATTTGTAAGTAATGTAAGTAAATATAATTCATCTTGAGAGGAATTCATTCATCTTAACAGTTTATCAGCAGAACAGTAGTACCCAGGCATTTGGACTTAAATATTAATATGCAAGTTATGCAATGGATAAAAATGTCTGATTTAGACTGTTTTTTTATATTTGTGGTCAAATTCTACACTCTTTGTATCTATGATGAAATTTTGCCTGATTCACAGAAGAGTTGGAGAGATTTTTTTTCCCATTGCTTTTCTGTTTTACTTTCCCATTGCTTTGCTTTCCTGTTCATCCACATAAAATTATCTTTGGATAAGAGTTGTGACTCTGCATTTTACAGATGAGCTACATCTGTTAGGTTTTCTGTTATATGGCACAGGTCTATGTAGATGTCTTTACAGAAAACGTTTTCTTTTAAAATCTCAGTGGTGTGAGGAGCCGGACATTATGCTGTGCGTAAGAGTTCAGTAAGCTCTTCGTGTAGTTGTTTGTAAAAAGCTGATAATTTGAACTTGTTAACACAGACTGAGGCAGGACTTCAGGGCTGAATTATCCACAGTTGAAAAAAGGATACATTCTAGTGCTGTATCTGTCTTAATGCTGTGGTTGTTGTTCTTTCATTCTGCTGTGAATTAAGGAAGTGTGCATTTTGGGAATTGTGATCTTATCCTAGCAGTGAGTCCCTGAAAAGATAAACCTTGTTTGTTTTTCTTGGCTTTATTTTGGAGTTGTTTGTTTGACTTTGTTTCTGGGTCATCTGAGCCATTTGTCCATAATCTCTCCTTTGTGCTTTGCAGCAGCAAAACTACTTTGACTCCATCTTAAGGATGAAAAACGTGCCATCTAATATTCAGATGCATGCTTTTCAAACACATCTGTGCATCTACAGAGCATAATATGTGCTAGGTCTGACATTATTCACATTTGCAATGTAGTGTTGAAAGGAAAATTTGTAATTAATTTTTAAAAAGCTTTTCTGTTTTAATCAAACAGCAGCCCTTTCAAGACACCCCAGAGACTAAATAAAGCCTTTCAAATGGAAAATGATATGCATAGGAAGAGCTGCCATGGATTGTCTGAGTGCTGTCTGACTTTTCAATGCAGTTTTAAGTCCCATTAAGTTGGTCTCAAGCACCACATACCTCTGAATCTTCCAGCTGTAAGCCATTCCTTTCCTAACAAACTCCAGCTGCTCCCACTGCTTCTGCAGGATTACAGATCCACTTGAACTCGGCTGTCCTCCGATTGTGTTCAAGCTCTTATATTTACAGTGGATAATAGTGTCTTTTAATATATGGAGGTGCATTTTATGAGTTGGACAATTTTAAACCTATAACGCTTGAGGTTCCAAAGGGCAAACTATTCCACAGCTTACATTACACTGTGAAAATGTGCATAGGCACAACACAAACTGCTTTGTACTTTTAATTAAGCCTTACATACTGGAACATTTCATTTCTGTTTCAAAAACATTTTTAGTTTTTAAATTTGGGTGGTTAAGAACACTTATATGTGCTGCATATAAAACAGCCAGAACTTTTACTGGACACTAAACTGAATGCCTTATTTTTTACAGCAGCTTCTAGTCTGCTTTAAATGTTTTTCTTTTGATATTCAGGATATCATGTTAATCCGTATTCATAGTATCCATCATTTTTGTGATTAGGGAGTCTATTGCTTTGCTGCTTGTTCTGGTAGAACTTGTTGGTTTAATTTGCCTGCTGTTTTGAATAGTTTGCTTGATCAGAACCCTAGTCTTTGACTGTGCCAGGTTCCTCCTATGTGATGTCATAGTGTTCAAGTGCAATATATTTTAAAAACGACAAAGATGAACTTGCTTCAGACTGAATCTCAGTATTTATTTTAGCAATGGGTGAAGCTGAGTTTTGATTTACTGTTCCTGTAAACAAAGTATGTCCTTTTCAAAAAAGAGCATCCTATTCATCTGTACTATTTTGTCTTTCAGTTCTGGCTGACAACCTCAAATCCAACCCAGGGATTAAGTGGCAGTACTTTAGCTCAGAAGAAGGCATTTTCACTGTGTTTCCTGCCCACAAGTTCCACTGCAAGGGTACCTACGAGCATCGCAGCAGGTATGCAGTTTGTTTTCTGTCACCTCCTTAAGATTTTTAACATGCAACACTTTTAGGGTTTGTGTACAGAAGCATGGGAAATGTAGCTGGCATATTTCTTCAGAATGTGCTGAAACATGTGCTGTGTTGTATTCTAATGACATGCCCTCCATTTCCTGTAGGACAAATAAAACTGTGAAAGTAATGGTTGTACAGTATCATGTATTTTGCAAAACCTTGGCTGTACTATAAAGACAAAAGGCCTCTTTTTCTTTTAATCTGTTTTTTTTATTTTAAAATGTTTGAACTTGCATTACTTATTAGTGAAGCTCAGACTGGTGTTTTGGAGTGCTTAAATGTTGCCCTCCCATGTCATTGAGCTATTTCTAAGGAATCATTTCTGTGCTGTGCAAAAGAGTCTTAAATAAAAACGCCCTCCTTTTCTCATTGGCGACACCAGTGATTATAGGCTCTGGACAGGAAGGCAGACAGGGAGGAAAATCCTTCTTGAGACTTTTGTCTTCTGTGTGGTTCAGTGTGGCCTCTTTACAATTCTGCCCTTTTCTGTTGAAGATTTAAAAAAGGAAATGATCAGCTGTAGATGTTCAAGTGTTACAGAGAGAAACATGCTTCCACTCTAGGTCAATGTTACAATTAAATCTGACTATACAGTAAGACACTGTTTATTCTTTAGCAAGCAGTGCTTTTTAGCTGAGAATGCTGTTGAAGCATATGCATACATGTGAAGGTGTGTTAAAGTCCCAACGTAGGCTCTAGAGCAAGAATTATATCTGTTTTCATACTGCATGTGTGGCAAAATGCATGCATTTAGAATATTCTAAATGTGCTATAATGATTCACAAAATGGGAATATTACAACTAAATAAAAATAAATCTAAATAATATACATGTAGATCCATCTGCAAACACTGCAAAAAAGGACAGTTAACTAAATGTGTTTGGCACAGTCCCAGAGTGTCACACAGCTGCTGTAAGAGGAAGATCTGATATTAATCGTGGATTGGTAAATTTTGCAACTGTGAATCGATTTAACAGACCGCCTCAGATGAAATGGCAATGGAATGTCCTTGACCAACTTGTAGTGGGCAGGAAAAAAATTAAATGTCTTTGTGTGCATTATTTCTTTTATTTACGGGGCATGTTTAACCTACATGTGTTGCTACTTTCTTTTCTTTCAGGCCTGTATATGTGTCAGCTGTGCGCCCACAGTCCAAACACATCGTTGTCATTATTGATCATGGGGCTTCAGTCACAGACACTCAACTTCAAATTGCTAAAGATGCTGCACTAATCATTTTAAACTCCATCGACGAGCATGACAAGGTTTTTATTCTTTCAGTTTTTTGGCAGAATTACTATGTTAGGTTTTTTTAAACATCTGAGAGAGTTGTTTCTCTTGTTATCACTTGTATTTGTTGTCCTTTTTCTGCATGGCATGAGTGATTGTCCTGTAATAAATCATTCTCCTTGAATTTGTGGCTATCATGCCAACAGTTTATTCTGAACCTAATTGTTAAGCGTAACTACCTATTCTCTGCGAGATTGTGGTTTACAGTACAAATATTCAGTAGATATGATATTCAAACACCTGTAAAATAACCCACTCCTAACCCACTCCACAGATGTGTACAGTGAAAATTATGCTCTGTTTTGGCTCAACTGAACCTTTTCATTATCTTTAAACATAATAAAAAGGGGTCTTATGAGCAGAAACTAAACACAACCTGTTTTGCATGACTATTCGTTTTTATAAGTTTAATTTCTCTTTCCAAAACCTTTGGGAGTTTGCTAAGTAGTCACCAATACACCACTAGGACTCAACCCAGTTCCTTTTCAAGACACTACACCAGTGAAATCATGTCTTCTTTTTACAGTGAATTTAAGAACACCAGCTCAATGGTCATGAGTTGCACTGAATATTTGATTGGTTTCTTTACTGAAGGTTATTAATTAAGAATAGCTTAATAAGCATTCACAAATTCATTATGCATCTGTTTTGTGTACTTTTATTTCTAGATCTCTGTACTAACAGTGGCAGACACTGTACGGGCATGTTCTCTTGACCAGTGCTACAAGACATTTCTTTCTCCGGCCACCAGTGAGACCAAGAGAAAAATGGCCTCATTTGTGAACAACATCAAGGCCTCAGACAGTTCTACCCAGCATGCCATGGGTTTCAAGAAGGCTTTTCAGCTGATCAGGAACACTTGCAATGTAACCAGGCAACAAACAAGTAAGATGTTACACGACTGAATCTTTGTGAATATTATAGTTAAAGTTCTTTATTTTCAGTGTACATTTTTAATTATACCCATTTAAAATAGCCAATTCCATTCCTCAGAAAAACACTCCTTCAAGCAGAGTTACAGATAATACTGATCACCAGTCCCATAGGGTTATTTTCTGTTTTTACAAATTCAGCCAGATTTATGTTTTTAAACAGAATGTAGATATGTATAGGGAATAGTAATAACAAGCACAGTTTTTTAAAAAGCATTATAGTTATTAAAGCATCATCCTCAACTCAGTGCAAAGAATACTTTTTACTTTACTGGTAAGTGCAGTGAAGGCAAAGTGACTTGATAATTGCCATTAAATGTGAAATTGTCTGTTGGATTAAAAACCAAAGAGCGCAACTAACAATCGTGTCAAAAAAGAATTATGGCAAAAAAGAGAAGTACTTCAATTTGTACTTCAAGGTTTCATCTCCAGTCCTATTCTTAACATGGACAACATGAAGATATAGATCCTTGTCAGATTAGTGTATGTGCCCACAGGTGACACTGAGATTGGCTTTTCTGCAGTGATTATCCCTATGAATTAAACAACACATGAGTGCAGCACACCAGTTCATGTGGCCCCTGTATTTAGCCACATTTGTGTGGACATGCTAAGGCAGTCGTGGGCTAAAGTGTTTTTCTTCTCTGCAGACACAGATATGGTGATAATCTACCTCTCATCAGGAACAACATCCAGAGATTCCTCCGAAGATGAAAAAAAGGCCACCCTCAGTGTAGTGAAGGAGGAGAACGGCTATCTCAACAATTCTGTCATGATCCTGACCTATGCTCTCATGAATGGTAAGGTGTTGCCATATAGTGATGATTTGGGGCGTTTGTCCAGTTTAATTTACACCAAGGCACAAGGTTTGCGTAATAAAGTTCTGATCATGAGTTAAACAGTCTGGTTGAACTCATATATCTTTGTGCTGTGGTATTCCTAGTGTTTCCTTCAAGATATCGGAACAGCAGTTAAGGTGAAACTGATAATGAAAACAGACGGTCAGGTCCACTTAATAGTACTTATCTGTGTGACACATTGTATTAGTTGGAAATTATTTTGATATTCCAAATCATTTATGAAGTATAATAAGTGCAAAAAATGTATGAACTTATTTAAAACTAAAAACTGAGATTGCATGATGATTTTTGAAGTTAGAACTTGGTACTCCCTACAGCTCCTATCTGGTACTTAGATTTTTTTTTATTTTGTCTGTATTATTTGTTCCAAGTTCCTTTTTTTGTACCTCTGTTGTGTTGCATTCAGCCCACTTATATCCTGGCCTAATATCTGCATGATACCTCTTTGTCATCTGTTCAAATAAATTACTTTTCAATATGAAATTAGGATGAGGAACACTGGACCAGAAAAAAGAGCAGCCGCATCAAAGCTGTCTGTTTAATTTATTAAAGGATGTGGAGGCCCTTGTTATAAGAGCGTTACCCTTGAAAAAGCTGAAGTTTAAATGATCAGAATGAATTTGCATCCCGTTTCAAGTGTTTATTCCTCTGTCCATTCTAAACAGCTGAAAGGAATGCGTGACTTGCAAATAACCTGTGGGCAGTTCATCTGAAATTTAAAACACTTTAATAAAATTAAAATATGCTGAAAATGTTTAAAAGCATGGTTTTTAAAATGTTTCCTAGACTTAAGACAGGAGGGAGTTCCAAAAGTAACAGAAAAGCTATAAGCTTTGGTAATATATGGCCATAACTGGTTACTATTACAAGGTATGCCTTTCATATAAAAGTCAGAACAAGGGTAGCTGTTTATGTAAAACTAAAGTGTCTGTATTGGATTCGCCTTGAGACAGATAATTTTATTAGTTCCTACCATTTGCTTTTTTTTTCTGTAGAGGGTGTGACAGGACTAAAGGAGCTGGCTTTTCTGCGAGACCTCGCGGAGCAGAACTCGGTGAAGTATGGTGTTCCAGACCGCACTGATCTCCCTGTCGTCAAGGGCAGCATGATGGTCCTGAACCAGCTGAGCAACCTGGAGACCACTGTGGGACGCTTCTACATCAACCTGCCCAACCGGATGATCGACATGGCTGTCTTCAGCCTTCCATATGCAGACCAGATGGGAGACGGTGTGTTGCTTAGAAATGGAAGAAAAACTTACCCGGCTTTTATAAAAGAGGGTCTTGGGGGACTTTTTTGTGACTGGGAGTTCTGGAAAGTTTGATTCATGTGTTTTTCTTTCTCGCTTCAGGCTTCATTATGACAGTAAGCCGACCATGCTACTTTGGCAACTTGCTACTGGGAATTGTGGGAGTTGATGTAAATCTGGCCTACATACTGGAAGATGTAACCTACTACCAGGACTCGATGGCATCTTACACCTTTCTCATAGACAACAAAGGTTGGTTTTTCAAATAGAGCAAAGCCTTGGTATTGTGGACTGTAACTAGAGACTTTATTATTCTGTTGCTGGGTGCTAATGAATAGGTTGCATTTAAGAAGTGTGATCTGAGAGGCTTGTCTAGCTTGACTAAATAGGAATCCACAAACCTGAAAGAACAAACTGGAGGAAAATCTTTTCCATAACAAAATATCTGAGCACCAGAACCTACATCAGGTTTTCACAGCTCAACAGGATTAAAATAATTAGCAGGACACAGCAATAATATACCGTGTTTCATGTCACTAAAAAGTATTGGCACAGAGGCTAAGTCAAAGCTTACAATACTCTGAAGCAATGTGACTTTTAAAATGTTATATTTTCCAACTTGTTTTTTTCCTCACTGTTAAAGATTTAAAAACCCAAAAGGTTTCATAATCTCTGGGTACACATGAAAGAAATGTGCTGGGTTTTTTTTTAGCTAAAATGGCTTTAAACTTCGTTGTAGGTTTTATTAAAAACTAGACCACCCCCTCTCCTTTCAAGAAAAAAAAATCTCAAAACCTTATGAAAAAGCCAAAACAAGATAATGAGGGACACATCTGTTTTCTGCTGCTGTGAATTTGAAGAAGGTAATTTTTAAGCAAATTACCTTATTAAAATAAGTGCTTTCTTTTAAAGAGAGGCCTCTGTTTTTAGGATATATTTAAAAACTGCTGCTGTGTATTTCAGTCACTGTCCTTCACAGGGTGCAGATCTGGCACTATTCCAGACAGGCCTTCTTTTGTGCTGTAGAAGCAGCAATATAGAGGAGGACAGGAGCTTCACAGGCCACTTCAGGAACATTAGCAGCTTGCCAGACTCCCCTACAGACAGGACCACCCTGACTGCTCTTTGCTGTTTTTTCCAGGCTATACTCTCATGCACCCATCACTCACAAGACCTTACTTGATGACTGAACCCCCTCTCCACACTGACATCATCCACTATGAGAATATTCCTGGCTTCGAGCTGGTACGGCAGAACATTCTCAGGTAGGCAGAGATAATCATAATCCCATCAAGCTGCAACTGTGTCCCGTGCCAATCGAGGTAATATTATTTGTGCTGTGTTCAGCTTACTGCAGATGTGCAGATGTTTATACAGTAAGGAAAATGAAAGACATAGATTTACAGCTCCATCTTGCGATTAGCTCATGAGCTCCGATCCAAAGGGGCACAGTACCTCAGGCAGCCTGAGATGGAATCAGCTGATAACTAAGGGTGAAGGGGGCTTTTGAACACATAAATCAGCTGGAGTCATACTGTGCTTTCTTTTGTAAGAGGTCTTGCTTTTGAAGAACTCTCGGTATATACCAGAAGCCTACTGGTTCATTGGCATTGGAACCTGTCCTGGTTTCTGTCCTGTTAAGCATACTGAGAGTTTAACACTCCTCTCAGGGTGGGCTAGTTTAGTTCAGCAATGCCAGTAGCCTTTTTACACAAGATATGACATCTATTCAGGTATTGTGGTTTGGTCAAAGATACTGTTGCAAGCTATATCTATTACAGCTGTCTGCAGTGGGTTTTTGAACCCATCATTCTCTGGTAATGACTCAGACTCTTAACTACATCTCTATGCTGCCCCACGAATCTGTGGAGATGAGTATTAAAAGTTTTTGTTGTTTTCTTTTTAGCCTCCCTCTTGGCAGCCAGATCATTGAAGTGCCAATTAATTCCTCACTGTCATGGCACATGAACAGACTCCGTGACACCAACAGAGATGCTTACAACGTGAGCTATGCCTGGAAATTGGTATGCTACCAGTGCATATTATAACAATGCTTAGGAATTCTGGTTTTGCAATGTTTTTCCTTAAATTAATGGAGTGCTTTGTGATTTTCATGAATAGAATGCATTTTTAGAAGGATATTCTGCTCTCTTGATATTTAGAATTGGTATTTTTCTTCTTGTGTTGCGCTGGGTACTTAAAATAGTATTTTAATTGGGGGTTTAACTCATTAACCACACTAAGAATTAGAATCTTAGCTTATTTCTCTTATGATTACACGTGTCAGCAAAAAAAAATACAAGCCATTGCCTTTGTTAGGATTCTGTGTTTTGTTTCCCACTTTTTTGTCTTTACCAACTGTCCTGGCTCTGCTTTCCAGTCTGGATTTCTCAGAAACATGAATGTTTAAGTCACAGATAATGCAATTGGTTCAGCAGGAAGACCCAAATTCCCTGAAAAGGCTACACTGCTTAGTCAGTGTAGAAAAGACTTGAAAAGAGTTCACTCTATTTACTGTTGTGCTTTTGTAATCAATAAATGAATACAACCTGTTTAGAAGACTGAATGTGACCTTTGATGCATTTAGAATCCAAAATGACATAACAGGTTCAGAAATAAAGAATGTCCCTGGGTGGACAAGACTCTATTTTTAGAAAGATCCATAGTCTGATTATATAACATTCTTTTGCCTTATATTTCTTATCTGGGTATTAGTGGTGACTTATTGATCCAAAGGCTGCCTCTGGCTTGGCCTGTCTTACAAAGTGTGTCCTCTTTTCTAGGTCCAGGACACATCCTTCATCCTGTGCATTGTGTACGTGCAGCCGGAGATCCCTGTGAAACAGCTGAAGAACCTCAACACTGTGCCCAGCAGCAAGCTGCTGTACCACCGTCTAGACCTGCTGGGGCAGCCCAGCTCCTGCCTTCATTTCAAGCAGCTGGCAACAGTTGGTATGGGCCGGACCAAGCATCACAGCATGACTCCTGCTGCCATGTTTGTTTCTCAGGATAATCGAGCCCATTTTATGAAGAATTACAACAGAACCCTGCATCCTGTGGCTTTGTCATGCTGTGACTTAATCTGACAAAACACTGACTCTGCAGTTTTTTTAGTATTAATCGTGTCTCTATATATGTGGAATGACATGAAAGTGGGCACCCAGTGACTGCTTATGGTTTTTGACATGAACTCTGCTTAAATAGGCGAATAGTTCCAGGAAATGGGTGGCATACTAAATGTTCACGGTTGTGCAGAAGTCTGAAGGTATATGTTGTTTTCTCTTTATTTGCTTAGCAGATGCCCTGCAATGCATGTGTTCATGAGTGAAATTAAACTAAGCTTGCCATTTAACTATTTTTAATTCATATCTATCAGAATTTAAAAGAAAACATGGTCAGAACAGCTGAAGGTAAACTATACACAAGCAGCCAAAGTGTAGGGTTCAAGTTGTAGCTATGAAGTTAAAAGGTTCCTTTTTACCACAAAAAAAACAGCTCAAATATAATTATTTAGCTTAATACTGGCTAAAACCTCAGTAGAATGTCACCCTTCTGCACAAAGAAGGAAAAGAGCTGAGTAATATTGCTCAGTTCAGCCTAAGTGTGATATCTGAAGCATAATCAGGTACAGAGAAAGTTATTAAGTTTCAGTTACATCAATGTTTGTGAAATGGTGAACAGTCATTTCAAACAACATTTCTTGAGAGCTAAAGCACTAAAGCTTGGAGGAGGTTCAGTTCCATTGATGTTATATTGACTATATAAATTGTAATCCACCTTGTTGTCCCTACAGCAAGACCAGTAAGTGATATAAAGCATCTGTTAAAATTAGAACTTATTTATAAAAGAAAGGGGAGGGAGTCCTGTTGTACATGGAATGATAGGCTTAAAAGTTTGGAGAAAGCAAAAGTAAAAAAGAATGGCAATAGCTGAGATGATCTTTGGAAGGTCTTCGAAGAAGCATGGAACACCATTCATCAAGCAATTATAATAAAATTAGACAGTGTCCCTCAAAGAATTGAAATGTGTTGAAGGAATAGGGTGCAAATACTCACTATTAGTTTACAGTATATTGTGTGCAAATTAGAATGTTTTTTTTATTATATCTTATTGTAGAGGAAACGTCTAAGACTTTACACTTTCAGCAACATTCTCAATCGCCAGAAAAGACCCGCTGTAGGTATCTGAAAGTACCATGATGACATTTGTTACATGTCACTAAAGCTTAAAATAAAGTGTCTGGTTTACTCTACTAGTTAAAGAACAGTGCTCCCTTGAATTAATGTGGGATTTTAAATCCTAGCTTTTATGTTCTTACATGAATGTTTTTTTTTCTTGTCCTCTCCCCCCTCCCCCCATAACAGAAAGTCCCACAGTGATGCTGTCAGCTGGGAGCTTCTCTTCGCCATATGAACACCTGAGCCAGCCTGAGACCAAGCGCATGGTGGAGCACTATACTGCCTACCTCAGTGACAACACCCGTCTCATCGCCAACCCAGGGCTGAAAGTATGACCAGTATTGATGCCCTTCCACCAGCATAATCTCAATGCACTTATTTCTATTAAAACTAATACTTGGGAGCACAGTGAAGGCCTTCCTATTGGTAAAAGAAGATCTGAGTACAAAGTGTTAAATTCACTTGATATCCAAAATTCTGGATATCTTCCAAACTTGCCTGTGAGGATCCCTTTAGTATCATCACCTGTGAGACATGACATTTCCACTGCTTTTTTCAAAATAACACTTGACCTAACCGTTCACTGTGACATGACATAAACTGTATTTTTTCAGTCCCTTCTTGGAGAGAGCAATTGCGCTTTTGATGAAAAGAAAATTATCTTCTTGCTGTTTGGACTTGATTTTGCAAATGTAGTTTAATTTACTTTGAAATCTGTAGTCTCTTTAAAAAAACAACAACACTATACGCCCTACCTGTTGGTATTAATCCTCAGAAAGTTCAGTTGACATTTGCAGCTTTGATGAATCAAAGTTCTGCGTCTCCTACAGCAAGCATTAACAGGACCCACTTGAGTCCTGAACTGTCAGGGCAAAGGAATACAGCAGATATTTTTAATTCGCGCTGTTTTTAAGTGAATAAAAGCATTTAAGAAGCATTTGTTTTAAGACTCAACAACTAGGTCCTCATTTAGAAGCAGTTTTGGCAGCTTAATACATTCTTTGCCAATACTTAAAGAAAGCCAGGCTGCAGATTAGTATCTTCTCATGCAAGTCTTAAAGGAACCCTGCTATGTGTTCTTATTGTCTTCCAGTCCTCTGTCAGAAATGAAGTAATGGCTACCAGTCACGTAACCGATGAATGGATGACACAAATGGAAATGAGTAGCCTGAACTGTTACATTGTGCGTCGTTACATAGCAACGCCCAATGGGGTGCTGCGGATTTATCCCGGCTCTCTCATGGATAAAGCATTTGATCCCACCAGAAGACAATGGTAAGTTTTAGGGTGCACTTTGAAATGATTCCAAACTCCCATAGCACTGCTGTTTCCAGACTCCAAAGCAGCTCTACATTATAGTGTGCCTTATTTTGGGAGGCAGTAAGGCTGAAGCTGTGTCTGTGTGTGTATATATATGTTTATAGTGACCGTTAATACAAACAATAGAGCAAAAGTGGCAACAGAATCTATTTTTCTGATATACAAAGCATTATATGGTGTGTGTGTGTGTGTGTTTATAATAGCAGTTTTAACAGCAAACCAAAAACATTTACACTCTTAATAAATCAATTTAGAGAAACAATCATGCATTCATTGGAACTCATTTTGTGTCGCATGGTTTATGTTTGGTAATAGTAATGGTCTGATCATTTTCAGTATCAAATGAAAAGCTATTACTATTTGAAACGTATAATTGTTTACGTATAATATATATATATAATATACCTTGCTGTTTTCACAGGTACCTGCATGCTGTGGCCAATCCGGGCCTGATAACTTTCACTGGGCCCTACCTGGATGTAGGCGGGGCAGGATATGTGGTCACAATCAGTCACACCATTCACACCTCCAGGTAGTGTCAGGAATGCTTGCAGTGGAAAATCAGTTAGTGCCTTCAGCTGTGTTAAAAGCACTGCATAGCAGTGGATTTGGGATCATCTAGTCACAGGGCAGTAAGATCACTTTATTGGCCATATACAATTTCTTGTATTAGGGATTTGTCTTGACGCATACCCCAGCTTGCTCTCCATGAGACACATAGACAGGGAGAGAAGCTTGGGGGTAGAGCGCAGGGTCAGCCATTTATACAGCGCCCTTGGAGCAGTTGGGGTTAAGGCCTTGCTCATGGGGCTCAACGGAGTAGGGTTCCATCTTCCGGCTGCAGGATATGAACTGGCAACCTTCCAGCCACAGACGCAGATCCTTATCCATAGAGCCACAATAGCTACAATTTGCGATCTATGTGCTGAAACACAAACGCATCACAAAACAAGGCAGAAATAAGTGATTAAAATATGGACATTGTGGAGTTGTTTTTTTCCTTGATTTGATCAGGACTTAAAAACAATTGCCATAAAAAGCGGCAGCTGAAATATTTTGATTTTTAACACCAGATAGCATTAATACTTTCCCCCTAACATCTCCAATTAATTGTGAACAATTTTATATAATGTATTAAATAATTTATATAACCTTAGAAATATTATGAATATTTTTGTCTACATTGAATGGCTTTGATGTTATACTTTGAGATACCAGTCACAGTTTGACATTTGAATACTGATTGAGAATTTAATGTAACAAAAACAAATCTGACTCGGAAAAGTGTTGCAAATTAAAATATTGGAGTATCGCAACTTTACACATTAACATGAATGAGGTTGAGCTCAAAGTGTTTTAGACTGCTAACAACACATTGTGTTTGCAGAACTCTGCTATCATTCTTAATATTTTGATAGGGTGTTTCAGTAGCCTTTTGTGTTTTGTCAACTGTTTTAAACATAGTTAGCGAACCACTTCACCTTTAACAGATTTGAAGTTATGCCATTTTAAACACAGTAGTAAATGTATATCTTAACTTCGATAAAGATTTTTTTTAAAGACTTGGCTCATATACGCTTTTGTATTTATCAAGCCACTGTAAAATAAAAGGTATTCTGCATTACGTTTTTGTAAACGAGCAGTAGAGAAAGGCGTTGTCTTGCTCACTGAAATATCATTTGAACTGTAAGTAAGGTATTCACCTTCTGAGAATATACAGTGGATATTCCATGAGCAATAGAAATGCCCTGCATGTGTTGCCAGACCACTGTGAACTCGGTTACTAGAGGGCTTTATATAAAACAGCAAGAGCATTTTTACTGTTATATTTGAATAACTTTTCATCATGCATTTAAAATGCTAGAATGCATCAAGACTACGTTTCATTATGGATACCTTGCAAAAATATGTTGAAGCAGGATATGCTTGGAGCTTCTGTATTGATTAACTTGCTGTTATCTTTGTCCCCCATCAGCTCCCAGATGGCCCCTGGTTACGCAGTGGCAGTGATGGGCATCGACTTTACTCTCCGATACTTCTATAAGGTCCTCCTAGACCTGCTACCTATCTGCAACCAGGATAAGGGCAACAAAATTCGGTAAATACCAGGATAATGGAGGCCCCTGGCTTTCAAGAAAAGAGAAGGAATTTGTTGTTCCGCCTGAAAGGGTTACTTAGGGATTCCCCACTGAGGCTGTTTGAAACTTTTCAATGTGGCTAATCTGATTTGGTAAATTTTGAACAGTGAATTAAAAATTCTCCCATGTCCTTAAAACCTTTTCATGGATGAACCTGCGGGTTTGTCCCCTACAGCTCTCTGCCCAGTGTGAAAGCCAGTGCAATAGTGACCTGCTCGAAAAAGAGAAAGAAGAAAGGCGTAAGCTGATTGTAATTGCATTCCAGCAACATCCTATTAGAAGATGCTTTGGCAAGCATGTTCGTGTGGGACACAGAAGCAGTTCGATTGAAACAAAAATTGTCATATACTTTTTACCAAAAGTAAAAGTATATCTTGGCTTTGATAAGATTTGTTATGGACTTGGCTCAGTTGTGATTTTGTATTTATCAAGCCAATATAAAATAAAAGATATTCTGCATTATTTTCTCTTAAACTAGCAGTAGAGAAAGGCATTCTTTATCATAGTTTGTCTTGCTCACTGCATTATCACTTAAATTATGAGTGTGGTATTCACCTTCTGCAAGGAATGTGCTTTAGTACACTTCAAATGGACAGGGAATGTTCCATGAGCAGTACAAATGTCCTGCATGAGCTGTCAGACCACTGTGTACTCTGAAGTGTAAACTCTGAATTGGAAATTGAAAATAATGGATTGCTAGCTTAAAAGAAAGAAATTCTTCATTCTTCAGGAAAAATCCTTATTCTTTCAGTTTGCTTCTGCTTTTCACAAATTTGCCATTTGAATTCACAAACTTAAGTTGGTTTGCTAGTACCAAATTTAAGACAATATAAAGCAATTTGTGTCATTTGAATCATAAAAAACAGTAATTGGCTGTTGATCACAAAAGGAGATTTCCCTGTTTCAGGTGTTTCATCATGGAGGACAGGGGATACCTGGTGGCACACCCCACCCTTATTGACCCCAAAGGCCATGCTCCTGCTGAACAGCAACACATCACCCACAAGGTAGGGGGTCTGTAGTCTAGCAGTGCTTTCACCTGCACTTTTTGCACTCTGCTTGAACCTCTTGGTAAAAGAGGTGAACATCCTCTTGAGGATTTCTCATTTTTAATACCACAGGAGCCCCTGGTTGCGAATGACATCCTCAACCATCCCAATTTTGTGAAGAAGAATCTGTGCAACAGCTTCAGTGACAGGACAGTGCAGCGTTTCTACAAATTCAACACCAGCATAGTAGTAAGTGTGAGAACACGCGTATTAAACTGGTGTGGCTGTGTATTGTTCTGTTGCTGTTGTTCTGCCAAAACACAAGAGAAGCTGTAAATGAGGAAGCACTTTTCTTTTTCAAAAGGCAAGCCTTTTTTTCCTCAGTGTAATAGCCCCATCAAGCTGACAAAAATGAAACTGCAGCACTGTTTTCAAACTGGGCCGAGTCTGTAATGAATGTGGCGTTTGAACTCCCCCCTGAATCTGGACTAGACTGATAGCGGGCAGTATCAAACATCCATTTCTCACCTGACCTAGCGTCCGATTCCCATGATACACAAACAAGAAAGCCATTGATGGGAAGATGTCCTTTTTGTTGGAAACATGCACACAAGAAATCAACCAAATTACACATTACCATTAAAGCTAATAAGATAAAATGACTTTATCATTACTTAATTAAAATGACTACTTAATTAAAATGTACAACCGTAACTAACCTGTTAGGAAAAAACATAGTTGTAGGTGGTCAATATGTAGAAAGATATGGGGTATTGCTTTTTTGGAATTAAAGTATTTGCTAAGAAGAGGTGGTTAAGCAATGATTTGCAAACAAGGCTGATAAATAATTACAGTTGCAATTTCACAACTAGGTCTGTTTCTCATTGTGTTGCAAAAAGCAACCATAATTCTAGCACTTGTAACAAATGTATAGAAGCAATTTGATTCCTCAGACTTGTTTGGTTACTAGTTGCTAGTATTTCACTGGGGGTTTCCATGATCAGACCAGCCTAAAGATCTTTTTTTAATTCAGCTAGTGAAGCCATTTCTCCTCTCCATCTGATGTGCTTATTTAATGGGGCTTCTTAATGGCAGCCACGTGAATGCAGGTGCTGAACTTTGGAGGTGAAAGAATGGGGTACCCTTCTCTGTGTGTATATATACTGTATGCTCTGAATTTTTGCTTTCGAGCAGGAGTGCAGTTTTAATGTAGTTTTATTTTTTTGTTAACATTTCCTCCATGCTGTTTACACTTTTTTGAAAGATATCGTAGAGATTTTCTTTCTAGGTGACCCATACACGGGATTTTTCGAATGCCGTTTTCTGCTTAGTTTTTTTCCTCTGGGCATTCAGAGGAGCCATGCTTCCCCTGACAATGCTGCCATGAAAGAGACAGGGAACTATGTGGGAGGATTGTATTTCAGTACTAGCAGCGAAGCTGAGGAGAACCTGTGTTTCAGGCTGAAGGTTTTGGTTTTAGAGATCAGCGTCATGTTCCCAATACTCAGTGGGATGCTTGTTTTCCCCCAGGGTGATCTCACAAACCTGGTGCATGGGAGCCACTGTTCAAAGTACCGCCTCACCCGGATCCCTGGGACTAATGCCTTCGCCGGGATTGTGAATGAGACCTGTGACTCTCTGGCCTTCTGTGCCTGTAGCACCGTGGACAGGCTCTGTCTCAACTGCCACAGGTTAGCAGCTTGTATTGGGGTATTTCTGTCAGGAGGTTGACGTTTCTCTCCTCCGGGGTACTTCTGATAATGGTGGTGAATTATTGTTTGCTTGCGTAAAAAGAAAGTAACACTAGATTCTTTTGAGTTTATTTTTATGGTATTTACATACTTGGTAGAAGGATGTTTTGCTGAGAAAAATGGAAGAAAGGAGGCTATTGTTTTCCACTGTGGGCTTTCCTGCTTACCTAATTGTAGTTTATGAGACCACAGAGTAATTGATATATGTATTATATGTACCTTTTGAGCTTTTACTGTAGGAAAGAAGATATTTAGATACATTTTAGACAGACTGAAGCTGGTTTCTTTGTCCTTCTGGAGAAGTGAATTGACAGATTTAAAAGTGTAAACCAGGAGGTTAACATTAACTTCGTTAAACTGTGTGGCCCTCAAGGATGGAACAGAATGAGTGCGAGTGTCCCTGTGAGTGCCCCCTGGAGGTGAACGAGTGTACTGGCAACCTCACAAATGCAGAGAACCGGTAAGGCCCTGTTTTTTTATTTTAGAAGACTGATTTAAATGATATACTATTCAGCTGGCTTTTGACAGAGCTTGTCAGTGGATCTTTTGTGAGTGAAACATTGTCAATCATGGATTGTATGTGGGATAATTGCTGTTGCTTTTCATTTCTCACAGTTCTTTGTCATATTTATGAGATGCAAGGCTGTTTATGTTGTCAGGAACAGCATTGTGCATTTTGTCTGAATATTTTAAAATGCCAAGCATCTTTTTCCGGTCATTAAATGTGGTCTGAGATGAGAAATGTTCATAACGTTTCTTGGTCATATATTTTGCTTAAAAATTGTTGTGCCTTATTCGGCTTCTTGCGTTTCTCTGTAAGATTTCATCTGAAATGTCCCTTATCTGTACACAGGAATCCAAGCTGTGAAGTTCACCTGGAACCCCTAACGCTCACTGTCATTGACACTAGTCTACAGGACACTCTGCCACAATGTATCAACACCAGATGCAGCCAGAGATACACTAGCAGGTACAGTATTTTTTTGGCAATCACATAGTCCTACTGTCATAAATGGAGCGGTGTTTCATTGAGGACCCCAGGGGACTTGACTAAAAAATGGCAACTGAATGTGCATCTCTTTATGCTTGTCTTAAATGTACATCAATTAGTGTATGTTTCATGGTCCTAACCTGAGTACTGTAAAAATCAACATAGTTCAAGAAATTCAAATAGGTAGCTTCATCAGCATGCATAGGCTGCCAAGGAACAGGTAAAGGTTTATTCAGTGATGAAAAGGAAAGAGACGCAACTTTGAGTAAATTAAAAAACATTTGTTTCAGTTCTGTTATTCTCGTGTGAAAATGTCCCATGTCTAATGCGCCATGTGAAAACTGTAGATCTAGTACCCATTTAAAAAGATTCTCTTCTTGCAGTGATTGCTTTGGTGTGCTGGATTGTGAGTGGTGTATGGTGGACAGTGATGGGAAGACTCACTTGGACAAGCCCTACTGTGCCCTGCAGAAGGAATGTTTTGGGGGCATTGTGGGTGCCAAGAGCCCTTATGTTGATGGCATGGGACACTTAGGTGAGAATTTGTCCAAGGGAAAGAAAAAGTGAAAAATAGCATATTCCACCTTTGCACATAATCCGTTTCAGTTGAGGTTTATAACTATAAATATTGCAAAAGTTTGTCTTTTTTTGGAATTTCAGTTTCTGTACAGGTTTAGGTCAGTGGTTTCCATTATTAGTTTTAGAGAGCTGAATGAGACAAAGCATAACCACTAAAGCTTTTGTTTTAACAGCTTTGCATGACTCACAATTGAGGTGGTAGTGCAGCTTTTAAAAGTTTTTTTTAACACACCCAAACTTGAAACACTTTGTGGATGTGAAGCTTTTGAAAGGGGTTGTTATCAGGCTCTATAATAAATTATATTCTCCTTAAAAAAATAATTTTAAATAAAGATGCATCACCACTGTGATAAGGTGCTTAAGTATACTTTCTTTTAAATGATGTAATCAAAGTACTTCATTAATTCTGTAGAGATTGCTCTTCATCTTATGGTGAAAATCCCATTCAGATCACAGCACCCCTTTAATAAAAATTACTAATGTAACTGGTACTGTATTGCACTGATAATGCTCCATTAAAGACAAACTAGCAGCAATAAAGGGAGACTAGTAGTAGTACTACAGCAGACCTAAGTATAAAAGAAAAATGACCATCAATTGTAGGGATCAGTCAGATCCAGGAGAGAGCCATGTGCTGTTGCAGACATTGTATGACTCAGCTTAGATTCCAGCAAATCTAGCCTTTAATTTTCTTGGAGATGTGTGTAATGCGTGACTGTGGTTCTGATGCAGATGATGAGGTGACCCCGCTGAATATGATTAAGAGTGCTCCGGTTGGGCCAGTAGCCGGAGGCATTATGGGCTGTATCATGGTACTGGTGCTGGCAGTGTACGCTTACCGACATCAAATTCACCGTCGGAGTCACCAGCACATGTCTCCTCTCGCAGCTCAAGGTAAGGCAGAGCAATCCAGCATGCACACTAAATTAGACTGGATTCAAACTGGAATAAGACTGGTTTGATCATTTTGGTGACTCCCCCTTCAAAGCGACGTCACTTGTTAGAACCAGGGTAACATCGGTAGCCTGCTATGTCTGGGATTCCTCCAGGCAGAAGCATGCAGTTCCACTGACATCCCAGGCAACTGCAGGCATGCCCTGACATCAGTTTAGCACTGCAGAGCTCGCAGTCTGTCAGATGATTGACTGACTGAATAGGTGGAGCACTTTGAAAAAGCATTCTTCCCTTGTGGTACAGGAGATTTTGCTTTTGAGCCACAAAAAAATATAACCATAAGCAATTCCAAATTTGGCAGCTACAAAATGGTGTTCATTTTGTAGCTGCCAAATTTGGAATTGCTTATGTTTTTTTTTATCAATAATGTTCTGCTATTGTACGATTGTACTTCCCCAGCACTCCTGCTGATTTCCCATTAGGCAACGTAGGCACAGTGCCTGGGTCCTCTGACCTGAATTTTTAGGGCCTACGAAGGCAGGGAAACACTGGTGACTTACAAAAAACTAGCTGAGACAACATGCTTGCGATCGACTCTTAAGTGCTCCAAATTAATAATCATGCGCCATCTAGCGGCTGTTCTAGAAACTGGAAGTATCAAAGTGATGGTCGCTTGACTCGCTCCATCAATCACGAGGTTTAGCATTAGAATAGTTGAAAGTGCATCATGTCAATTGACGTAATTCACTTGGCATTTACCCCTCTTTTTGCACATTTCGGCGTGAAAGTGCCTAGGGCCTACTGAAGCAGACGTCCTGTAGGTGCACATTTTGAGGAGGCTTGGATGTTCAGCCCTTCTGTTCTTTTGATGCTCTGGCTTTTGAATTGGCAGTTCCATGTTGGCTGAAATAAAGCAAAACTATGGATAAATTAGGAAAAATAGCATGTGCGGTACATACTGCTGGTTATTCAACCTGCAGTGATTTCTTCAGAGGAGTCAAAAGTGAAGTGAAGTCAAGTCTTCCTAATTATTTTAATTTCACCTGTCTTTCTAGTATTTATGCATTAGTCAGCCAGGTAAAGTAAGTAGTGAATCTTCCAGCACTCGCCAGGCAAATACTGCTTACAAACATGGTTACACAATCAAACTAGGCTACACATTTGATTTGACCAGTGCAAGGTTCTAGAAAACCACCTCATTTTTATTTTAAATATTGTGGGAGGCACATGGTGCTTAGCTTCACAATTAAAGTTAAAACCCACTTTTAGGCAAGCAACTGTATTATATAGTATTGCAGTCACTATGAAGGGACACAGAGGAGAGACATGAAGGACTGATGAAAGTCCACACCACACAAAAACTGGAAGGAAATATCTGAAAATGACAAAACAAATAGCTTAAGTGAAGGGAAGATGCAAACACAAGACTTGTATAAGTTGTATAAATTAGAAAAACAGTCAAGACTATGTCATGTAATGTTTTTTTGTGAAGGTGACCAGACCTTTGACTGATGGACCTTTGTGCCATCTCACATTAACAAGTTAAAACCGGTTAGAGAGAAGGAATTGAATTACGTTGACACTGACACTGACACTAGTAATTAGCCTACATGTAACATGAGCTACTCAACAACAAATGCTAGTTATTCACTACTAATTAAAAAGGTGCACAGATAAAGACAGGCCTGTCCTAGCTGGGCTTTGGACATTAATAACTTCTAGAAAATTTGTAGTTATTAATGCTATTAACAGCCATTCATTTTAAAAGAATAGTTTTTTTTCTCATATTACTAAGCTCATCATCTCAGAAAACGTTTTCAATAAATTACAAAATGCACATTGTAGACATTTTGTTGACTGACCACTCAATGGTATTTAGAGTACTCAATAATAATTGCATTATATTATTTAAAATAGTTACTCAGCTCACTTACACTTATCCATATAATATCAACACCTTTTCTTACTTTTCAGGATTCATTCCTAGATGATTTGATGAGGTTTGATTATGGTCAAAATTGTGCGTTTTGGGAGACAAGTCTAAATTGTTTATGAGGCTAAAGATGTGTTTGTTAATTTGGAGGATGAAGGCTGGGGGTGGGCAACTCTGGTCATGGGGGGTCTGTGTCTCTACAGGTTTTTATTCTTAACAAGCTCAACCAGCTCATTATGGGCTTAAAGGGACCATTTTTACAGCCTCTCTCAGCTCTTCAAGTGCTGGTGCTTTGGAGAGACCTAGCAGATCTGCTAGACACTTGCTCTACTTGAAAGTACTAATTCATGTTGTCCAATATGACCTTGTGACCTCTAGCACACAGGCAATCAATATAATACAGCTTGCATTTCCATTCCCAATGAAGGAAACAAGTGAGAACATAGTAACAAACTGTACTCATATCTAGATGGACTTTTTTTTTTGCTTGTTTTCTGTAATCGTTGCTCAGCTGTCAAATGGACAGTCATATCAAGGTTACATTTTGAATCACACTTTGGACCTTAAAGGACAGTGATGGACAGATACATGTTTATGAGTACAAATTGTTTAAAATTGTAGATGTTGAGAAACCAATCAAACCATATTAGTTGATAAGTGAGCGAATCTGTTGAAGATTTTTAGTGACGTGTACAGTATATGAACCCTTTAAAGTATTTTAACCAGTGTATTTCAGAAATGCCTTCAGGAAGGGTGCATCCCACACATTTAAACGTACAGCATTAGTATGCTGATGGAAACAGTTTAACTGCATTAAACCCCAGTGCTAATGATTTAATTAACTAAAGCCTAGACTACTGCCTGACCTTTTTTTAAAGTGGCTTTTTGCTTCCCAGTTAATGAGATGATAAACAGATTATTAGAATGGAGAGATAGAGATAAATTAAAGTAATTGCTTGAAATAATCAGCTTTTCACAACTACCGCTAAGACTGACTTAACTGCTGCCCTCATTTTATATAGATATTTTTCACCTTAAAAGCTAAAAAATATTTTTTTGTGCATATTACAAACCAGAATATATCACTGTTTTTATAGTACTTAAATTTAGGGATACATTTTCAGGAGAAAGCTTTTTGTTTTAGCACTGACCTGTCTGTGCACTCCATGTAAAGCATTTGAAATGTAAAGCAGTCGAAAATTAATACATTTTAGCAATACAGAATAGCTTTGAAACTGAAAGATCCAAAATTGTTTGCATCCTGCTAAGCTCCAGATAATGAAGCAAATTATATACAAATGAACTAGATCATTTTTGTGTAATTCTTCTGATAGGGACTGTAACTAGGTAGATTTTGCTGGGTCTATTGCTGTGATAAATTGCTTTAAATCCTGATAAACCAGTAATACCTGCATTATGCTTAATTGTCTGCAGAAATGTCAGTGAGGATGTCAAACCTAGATAATGAGCGTGATGAAAGAGATGAAGATAGCCATGAAGACCGAGGTATAAGTAAGTAAAGCATTATAGGCATTTATTTCCTGCCCGTTTTCAGGTCTTTAAGAGCAAACTTTTCATCTTCATTCTGTTATTCCTCCTAATACTGCACATTGATGATCTATAATAAGCCTAGTAAGGGAAATGTGTGGGCTGTAATAAATGTAAGGAATTTATTTTCACTGCAAATCAGGAAAGGGATTTCTACTGTCTTTGTTAATATGCTTTTATGTCTTGTTATGCATTGTAAGGTATAATTTAACTTCACATTTGGAAAGTCGGTGTCATTGTTTAAATTAATTAGCGATGTTTGTTAAGTGAGAGGCAGTGGATGTTTTTAAATTAAATAGGTTTATGCATTGTCTTCAGTTTTGTGGTGTTTTTTTCACAACTGAAATATTTAACTGAGGTTTTTGCATAATACTCTACTGACACATTTGTGTATTCATGTATATTTACCTTGCTTTTTGGTTTAAAAGGCAAGTCAGCATTAATCTTTGCATTATTTTGTTAATGTATAGAAGAGTCTTGCTCCTTTAACATGTCTCATATTACCTCAGACGTTTAAAAAGGAGGAATATATGAAATATTAACAACTTACAGAAGATTTGGGTTCTCGAAACACTTTAGTGGAGCTGCTTTAGTTGGTGAGGGGTTAACGGAGAGCACACAGTTGTGTGTCATATGGCTCTGAACCCTGCAGTTATGTGTTCTGTTTGTCGATTTCTTCCGAGCAGTCAGTAACACCCGATTCATTGCGGCAGTGATTGAGAGACACACTCACAGCCCTGAGCGCAGACGGCGTTACTGGGGTCGCTCTGGGACGGAGAGCGATCATGGTAAGAAGCTTGTCTCCTTTGTGTTTGTTTCCCATTTCTGTAACTTATTTATAACTTTTTAGACTTCCTAGAGAGAGAGCGAGCGAGCAACTATACAGCTGTTACTTTATGGAAAAAAACACCAAATAGTGTAGTTCTGGAAGAGGTCCTAGGAGATTACACTTTCTGCAAGTTTGCAAACACTTTGGTGGTAAAGGTCACCTCCTACAATGCACACACTCATGTAGCTGAAGGGGTAATGTGCTTGGTTTACATGTAGAAAAAATGAAGGATTTTTGTCTTTACCTTCTGAGTTGCTATAACAAACTACAGCATAGCTTTGAGATAACAACTTCAGTTTGTTAGATGGGATTTTAAATTGGACATTACATTTGCAACATTTTATGTATTCAGTTTGCGTTGACGTTTCTGAAACAAAGTCAAAAGAGAAGTGATTTTCATTTTAAACTGCTTATGAGTAATGGACTTTGTTTCTAGTTTCTAAGTACCAGTTAGTACCCACTAATGATAATTTAAGATTTTCAAATAAGTCTAACATACCTAAAAATCTCTTTTGTGTTAATTTACAATTAGTGAAACTATTAGGAAATTTAGTTTCTGAAAGCCTGACTGCTTCACTTGAGTCTTGGACTTAATGTCTTACACTTATCAGCGTTCAATGTTCAGAGAGATAAGGTGCAAATTTTGACTTTTGATTTGCCATGGTGCCATGATTCATCTTTAATTGAATGCAAATCTTTACCAGACTGATTTTACTGTTTTCCTGTATTGAGGTGAAAGACCATTTTTTTTACTTTTAAATTAATGCTGCCAAGTATTCAATGGATGGCTTTTAAGTAAATAATGACACTGTCTCTTTCAGATTGTGTTTAGAATCCTTTGGGAGTTACATCTGAAGTTGTACGAGACCAAGTGTTTAAAATCAGAGTCAGAACAACTCCAGAAAGTCCTCATCTCCCTCAGTCACTGCCCCAGGAACCCTTACATATGTCATTCCCCATCTCAATCACCACACACTTGAAAATTAACTCCTATTTTTGTCTCAAAAGAGACATTCGGGAATGCTTATTCTGTGGTTGTTAGACTTTAACACTGAACAATTGCAGTAAAGATTAAAGGGCAGCAGCATTTCACATATGATCGTCCTACTGAGATGCGTTTATTTTGGGATGCAATACAATACAAAACAGCTGAAATGAACAATGTTTTTTTATGAATTGTTTGAACCCAATTAAGTAAACATTTGAAATGGCTGATTACACGGTTTACATTAACATCTGTCTTAAGACTTGTATGTAACCATCTCAAGCAATGATTCCAAGAACTGTGCATGTGTAAGCTTTAGTTTTGAAGCCTGAAAAACATCCACATCACCATTTACACAGGGATGAGGCTAACCAGAGACCTGCAAGTATTAAATTCGACTTCAATATGAGCATTTGTTTCACTCCCCTTTTTAAACACTTCATATTACTCATTTGAAAAACACGTTTTTAGTTCTAGAAATGTCTAGCCAGGCAGAAGACCGATCGTTCATGATTGTAGCTCCCTTTGGCTCATCTTTCTCCTTGATCAGTGGTTCCCAGTCCTGGTCTCCGTGACCCACATACCTGCTGGCTTTCATACCATCTCACCTTCATTAGATAATTGAAGTCTTACTTCAGCTAAGAAGTGGCTTCAATTGAATATTGGCATTTTGTTTCTAGTCAAAAGCCTGGGATTTTATTTCACTCCCCAAATACAACAGTTAAAACTCCAACATGTTTAAGAGCTGGGAGCAAACAGTTCAAATTAATCTCATTATTATTAGTCAGTGAAGGATTTGATTGTGTAATTGAGGACTCTGAGGCTGGAACAAAACTCAGCAGGTGTGTGGGTCACTATGACCAGTCTTGGAGGGTGCTCGTAGTCCCGTGGAGTGTTGTATGCAAGCATTCTGTTGTGAAGGACGGTGTAAGAAATTGTGAATTCTTTCTGTACTGTGACAGTTTTTCTAACTCCCCTCAGGGGTTTCAGTACTGCTGAACAGGGGTTCTCTACTTGAACCCTTATGACTTAGGATGGCCCCTTGTGTAGGTTTCTATTTAATAAAGAGCATAGAATCCATTGTATCAGTGTTTGTCTTACCAGTGCAAGACACCTTCTCTGCAGTGTTTAAAGGTGCGGCCAGACTCTCTTAATAAAAACCCTTCTGTTGTGTTTGTTGAACTTGCCGCCTTCTAGGCTACAGCACCATGAGCCCTCAGGAGGACAGTGAGAACCCACCCTGCAATAATGACCCCCTCTCAGCCGGGGTGGACGTGGGGAACCACGATGACGACTTGGATTTGGACACGCCTCCCCAGACTGCGGCCCTGCTGAGCCACAAGTTCCACCCTTACCGTCACTCTCACCACCATCCCCTGCACCACGCGCACCACTTGCAGGCCGCCGTCACCGTGCACACGGTGGATGCAGAGTGCTGAGGCTTCACTCCTGTGCACTGGTAGCACAGACCTTTGAAAAAACAAACAGTGCTCTGAGGCTGTCTTCAGCAGGCCCTTCAGGAGACATGTTCGAATCCAACCTCTAGCCACCTGGATTGCTCTATCTGCTGAACTGTTGCCAAGACAACGATAGGGTAAACGTATTGGAGAAGGATTGTTAAAACTGGATTTTGGGGGTTGTTGGACGACAACTTTGAGCATACTTTAAACAGAAGGGGAGTTTTCAGATTGCAGAACATGAGGATGGATGTCTCTATGAAAAGCTTAACAACCTCTTGGAAACTTGTGTAAAAAAAATTGTAAACAATGCATCTCAGATTTTTTTAAAAAAATAAAGCATTATTTTTCTACTATTTATTTAACTGAACTTTTAAAAGTAAATGCAGTAAATTCATTCGAACGGAGACTTAAGTAATGGTTTGTCATTCTGTCTTTGAAGCAGACTAGGACTTGTGATGACCAGACAGAACAATGGAAGCAATGAGCTTTCACCTCTTTTTTTTTCTGTAACACAAGAAGTTTAATTTTAAATGCTTGTTTTGTTATTAGCATAAAGTGAAGAAGCTGATATTTCAGCGTAGAACATTTGTATTGTTCAACAGTTGCTTGAAAAAAAACTACAAGACTGCAAAGCCTTTTGTGTAAAATGTAGATTCATTCTAAAGATGAGTTAGACATCTGAATTACACATTTACAGTGATGTACAGTGCCATTTTTATGACGTTGATGAAGTCATGTGTATCAGCTCTTAAAGGATGGATCCAATTCTTAAAATAATGCCCTGCAATATTGGGCACATGGACACAAGTTCAATGAATCCTTCTGATCTATCTTTTAAAATGTCAGAGCCACCTAATTCTAGGATTACACATTAGTTGATTAGTTCATTTACATGTAAATCGGCAGTGTGGTAGCTCTGTGGCTAAGCATCTGCGCCTTCTGGCTAGAAGGTTGCTGGCTCAAATCCCACAGCTGGCAGAGGAATCCTACGCTGTTGGGCCCCTGAGCAAGGCCCTTAACCCCAACTGCTCCAGGGCTGCTGAATAAATGGCTGACCCTGTGCTCTGACCCCAAGCTTCTCTTTCCCTGTCTGTGTGTCTCATAAAGAGCAAGTTGGGGTATGCGAAAAGACAAGAAATGTAAGAAAATGTATATGGCAAATAAAGTGATCTTATCTTATGTAAGTTACTATCATCCTTTCCTGTTTTTGGATGGCTCCATATTTGTTTTCCAGTAGCATCACTGTAAAGTGGAAGTTTGCACAGGACACATAGACGTCATTTTCAATATGAGTATAAAGTTATAAACCTTCTCATATAGCCAGATTGGCTTCCAGCTGGGATGTCTCAGTTAGTACAGCTGTGTATAAGAGGGGGCAAATTTAAATTGCTAGAGACATACTCTTACAAAATCTTCACTGAAGATATGATTGTATGGTTGTGTATATAAAATGTAATAGAATAGTACACTCAAATGCCTCTGTATTTGTATTTAAGCATCAGCCCAGTGCACTGTTAGGAAATGATTGTCAGATGCAGGCTTACTGAATCTTTGGTTTTATCATTTTTAATTAAAATGAACATGAGAACAGTCATGCCATGCTGACAAGTAGGCCCTTTAATTATACTTAGTGTATTATCTAAACCAAACCACGTTGTTTATATAAGGTTTTACAAAACTCTTAGCATTTTGTGGCCCTTCAATACATAAATCTTGAAGTTTTATGTAAAGTATTATGACATTCTATGTTATTACTACTTCATTTTTTTATTTAAAAACTAAAAACATTTTCTGCTTGACACATTCCCTACATTTTGCTATATGTAAAAAAAAAATAAACCTGTTTTCTTTTTGTGGAGGGAAAGAAAAACTTTGACCATTTGGAAATGACCACTTTTACAACATTTACCCTTTTCTCCACAAAAATGAAGACTGCAAGAAGAGTATTTAACGACATAAATGTGCCTATTTGTTCCAAACAGTTCACTGGAATTACATAAGGACAAATTGGTACAAACCAGGAGTAAAACAAAATTTTTTCATTTCATGATGTATTTTTAGTGAAATAAAATTGTCATTTAAATCGAGATCTTTTGCCATTTCTGGTATCACTCTGTACCATAATGTTTTATTTAAAGAAACACTGCCGTTTTGTTTTTTCTTGTTGGAGAACAGTGTCTACTGACTGTTGTAAGCAAGTATAATCTAGTGTATATTGAACACTATAAATTACATTAATGTACGGAAGGAAACTCAATTTCTGTATATCATTCCTTTTTTATGTAATATATAAACTAATGAAATGGAGATTTATTATAATGTGAATGTGATAAAAGTTCCACTTCTCATTTTCAAGGGATTTGTTTGCTCCTTAATGTTGACACCATCTGTACTCTGAATTTTTACTGTCTGTACAAAGCTTGCAGTAATTGTGCAGTGTCTTACCTAAATCAGATCTGTAGTATGCTCACAGTAGATGTTACACCATTGCATGTTTGGAAATGCTATGACAAAGACAAGACCTTGTTTTGAACAATCCAGGTAGCAAAATCATTGGTTAAATGTCGTACTCTTCATGCCAAAGGATCCCAGTGAAGCATGGCAGCCATTACATGTAAGCAGCCCCATAACACAGGTTAAGTAGAGAAAAGATAATGATATTGATTAAATTGAGGGGAAATTTAGATAGACCAGATTGATCAAGACCAATGTTTAACACCCCTACTCTTACAAGCAGTGTCGTGGGAGTGATCAAGTACTCAGGGCCTTGGTTTTAACATATCTTTTGAAGGCCAGCACTTCTTACCACAGTGTGGCTCCTGACGCAATGCTGACACATTGCCTTCAGAAATCTCATCTAGAGGGAAGAGCACAACCTACTGGTCCACCAACATGCTAACTGGGTTTTCCTTTACAGTGTCCCATCACAATATTGACAAGGTCCGAATGTGCTCAGCTTTTGAGATCTGATGATCTTAAGATTGGATCTTGAAAGCTGAAAATGGAAAGGTGATTCACAGACATTTTCCTTAAGTGCCATTTTTTTGCAAAGAGTGTCCCTTAGAATTATTTTTCAAGTAATGAAAATCCTCAAATACAGCCTCAGTATGAAGCAGGTGATGGCTTCTGAGTCATATATAAAACAAGGAATAATGAAAAGTTGAGTGGCAAACTTAAACGAGATTTACCAAGAGGATTTTTATGTGCGTTACCATCAAGTTGTCACCTTTGTTCTGATTATCAAGGCCACTGGTTAATTTTACAAGATCTGAATGCAATATTATTTACAGAATTTATATTAATATATATGAATGTAATCTTGCTTAACACTAAAAGTTTTTGCAGTATCTAAAATTAAAATGTGTATAAAGTTGAGTTAGTTGCATAACAGTGAAACTCGATTTTAAAAGAAGCCTTTCCTTCTCTGGAAACAAGCATCTCATGTTGCGTAAGAAACTGGTTTCTGTCTTCTGAGTGGTTTCACAGGAGAATAGATAACCAAATAGTCATTGTTTATTTATAGGCTAAGTGCATTTCTGCAGGAATATATGTGAGCATCACTAATTTGTTAATTGCCAGCTAAAGGATATTCCCTCCTGTCTACTAACAGCTGTTTAATTTGAAACACTGAGAATATAACATGTAGCATTCATACAGGACTCTCCACAAGCCTGCCGAATCTGCACTTTGAAACTTGGATTGGAATCAAGCTGCTGTGTAGATGAATTAATGCTTGAAGCTTTCATGGCCTTTACTGAAATCCAAAACAGACCATGTAATTTTGCCTTGACTTTTTATGAAAGAAAATGAAATTTGAGCCCTTTGACAAACTATTCTCTTTTGTCAATGTGCAAATACAATGAAGGGAATGAATGAACAGACAGATCTTCTACTTCATTAAATGCAAAGGTTAGAATGTGCAAGCCATAAGATAAAATAGTAATATAAATGTGAGTAGCAGGGAGATAAAGCTAAGAGGTGTTGGTGGGACCAGTAAGGGGCACTCACCTAGCAGTCTGTGTGGTTCCTAATGCCCTGGAATAGTGATGGAGACACAATACTGTAAAAAGTCTCTGTTCTTTACGTTAGGGTAAACTTAAGGTCTTGACTCTTTGTGGTCATTAGTAATCCTAGGGCGTTTCATGAAAAGAGAAGTGGTGTTAATCCTGATTTCCAGGTCAAATTTTCTTCCTGGCCTTTACCAGTCATGCCCTTCTAATAGTGCCCATCTCTGAATTGACTTCATTACCCTGTTCTCCTCCCCACTGATAGCTGGTGTGTGGCGAGTGTACAGGTACATTTTGGCTGCCGTTGCATCATCCAGGTGGGGCTGCACATTGGTGGTGGCAGAGGGGAGTCCCCATTACCTGTAAAGCGCTTTGAGTGGAGTTTTCAGAAAAATGCTATATAAATATAAGGATGTTGTTATTATTGTTTCATAATTGTATTGGATAATTATGCATTTTAATTTTTATCAACTGCAATCTCTGTTTTTATACACAATCTATGAATGTTAGCATCCATCGTTTTTGGGCAGTTCTAGCTTGAGTATAGTGTGTGCTTTGTGTGGTGATTCGTTTTTTTTGAGATACGGATTTGGAAATTAAACCCCACAAATGGTATCAAGATTTGTGACTGAAACACTGAAAAGGGTTTTTTTCCCTTCATGGAGAATAAGCTGGCGAAAACTGGAACCGCATCAGTCAACTGCAGACCGACAGGGAAATTTGAGATAATTCCCTGTTTGTGCCAAAGAACTGCTCTGCTGTCCAAGTTGCTTGAGGGCATCAGTACTGTAAAGGATGCTTATCCACAAGGAACAGTGAATTCAGGGTGTATTGTGCTCCTTAAGGAACCTATTTAAAACCGTTTTTGCTTTTATTTTACTTCTTTCTTACCTGTTTTAACTGGATTCCACACTTGCTGATTAAAGCTGGACAGATTTTAAATCTATCTGTACCATGGCACAACTGCCTGTTCATCTACAAAATAATATAAAAGTAAATTATCCTGGCTTATAATTCCAGTATTCCACATGAGAGTCCTCTTCCCTGCCACCCACACACTCATAATCACACTACCTTGCAGAGGCACAAGTTCAAGGTTCCTACTGCTTTCTTACATAAACGAACACATCCCAGGTGTTCAATTAGCCTACTCTGCCACTCACTAACACCTACACAATAGTTTTGTGCATCAGAAATTTCCGTATTTTTCAACTCCCACTCAGCATTTTCCTGAATCATACATTAAATGGCAGTGCTCTCTTTGCTTTTGTTTCTACAGCACTTTGGTATCAATTCATACTTAGGTATGAAACCTTTCATTACAGGTCTTGTTTGCCATAGATGTCTGTTTTAATTTGAAGAATTACAGTCAATGTTTGGGTAATCCCAAATCGAAAATATGCTGTATGTACAGAAAAACAAGAGATGACATTTGTTTGATTATTGACTAGAGTAGAAATGCTCCAGATAGTGTCTAGCTGTTTAACCGCTGGTCCAATCTATCTACTTTAAATGTATACAATTCTTGAGATTATAGAACAACTCATTCTAGCTGTATATACTGTAACCAAGATCCATTTTCCAGGCTCAGTAAGATGTACTTGATGTATCCGAATGACTATCCCATAAAATCTCACTGTAAGCTCAAAATGAACTTTGGGTCTCACTCATTTAATTATCTCAATCATTCAACTAATCGTTTTGCTTTATGTTAAAAGTAGAATTTACTTTTCTCTAACCCTGAATTTGAGCTCTTTTTTAAGTTTATTTGCTCTTACAAACAAATGTATTGTACAGATATTTGATTAAACGACCACAACATTTGTCCAGCCTTATTTCCATATTAATTATCTCCATGTCCCCCTATCTCTTCATGTTTTGTTCATGAACAAAAGAACAGAAGAATGGTTACAAACAAGAGGATCAGCCCATCTAGCCTGTTTTGTGATTACCAGTGTATTTATTCAATGATATTATCTAGCTGTTTCTTAACCAAACCAAAGATAACAGCTTCCACATTATTACTGGGTAACGTTCCATACTTCAACAGAATGAAAGGATATAAAGATAATTTCATTATTTTTAGACTAGAGATCTCCTGTTTCACTTGTTTTGTGGTTTCTATTATCAAAATCTGACAATAATGCTTTATATTTACTTGATAAAAGTTAAGGGGAGGAGTGGTGGCACTGTGGCTAAGGATCTGCGCCTGTGGCTGGAAGGTTGCTGGTTCAAATCCTGCGGCCCGCAGAGGAATCCTATTTTGTTGGGCCCCTGATCAAGGCCCATAACCCCAACTGCTCTAGGGGTGCTGTACAATGGCTGACCCTGCACTCTGACCCCAAGCTTCTTTCTCTGTCTGTGTGTCTGTGTCTCATGGAGAGCAAGCTGGGGTTTGTGAAAAGACAAATTCCTAATGCAAGAAATTGTATGTGACTAATAAAGTGATCTGATCTTATCTTATAAATACCAAACATAGGCATTTACAATATGGTGACCTGGCCATCTGAGTATTATCATTATATTAATAACACTGGGCAGTTTGGTCAGAACTTGAGGCTATTAATGATCTTCATTGCTAAAATGTTTTTAGAACTCTGTATCCCTGGGATATTCAGGTGTTCTTCCTGTGATATTTTGTCTGAATTAATTTGGAATTCACAGTTACGTTTTCAAAATATTACCATCAACATGAACTATAAATAGCTTCACCTGCAGTGGTTGCTGGTGTCACATTATGTGCTAAGCTCAAGTGTTTTATACCTCAGAATTTTTTGCTTGTCTTATCCCTATTGTTCTGTTACACTTGTTTAAACCTGGATGGGTTATAATGCTAACATCACTTTTAGCAATGAAACTTTCATTACATGAATGAAGCCTAAAACATGCTACATAATAATGTAAGGTAGTAGAAACCTTTTTTTGGTTCAATACACATTTTTCGAATAGATACAACTGACAAATCCCAAAAATGGCAAGATAATGAAATTCATTATTCATAGTAATTGTTTAGTGGTTCCAGATAATATAATGTTAGTTCAGCAGTAGTAATGGTTAGCTCATTTACGCATGTGTACAATTATATCTAAGGTATAGTTGTATTGAAATGTATAATGACTAAAAGAGCTTACATTATGATTCATTATGATTCTCTTTAAATTATTGATGTCTTTGAGAGTTGATGATTAGGAGTAGGGAACATGAATTTGGAATTTGGTAGGGAATTTAAGAACACTTTGCTGCTAATTTCATTGTTTCCATTAGCGACGGGACTTGCTTTTCAGCTTACAACACATTGTATTCTAAAAACTGCTTCAGTGGGATGTCGAGTTATGAAATCCAAGGCATACATATGAAGATGAGGATGATTCCTGGAGATTCTGCCAGTAGCTGGCATTTACTCTTCAGTCTGTGAATTGGCGTACGCCCACAGAGAGACGGCTAACCCTTATATAAATCCTCTTGGCACTATAATAGCCTGCCATCCTTTCTGTTTTTCCAATTCACTGTGGAAGGAGGCCCACGGTTCTGATACCTTGCTTTGCTAATGCCTTTAAATCTGAAAGAAAACGGTCACAGTCTTCTCTGTGGTAAAGCAAACACTTCTTGTAGTATAGTACATTTTAAGCAAATAAAGCAATTAAAAATGTACTTCTCTACAGACAGGATGGATTACTTTGACAAAATCATTGCATCAGTAGATATACTGTAAGCATATAACAATTATTGTTGTTTTGGATTTATTATTAATATTATTTTATTCACTGGGTTGTTGATCCCTAATCCTTTTTTGGCATATAGTGATTGCATCGTTGTGTATGTACTTTACATACAAAGATTTGTAGATTTAAATGAAGAAAACTTGGTACTTATTTTCAGCTGGAAAAAATGGCGGACTGTTATACAATGTAAAATTAAATTAATTTCAAAGGTTGGTCAAAGGGTGTTTTTTGGTTCATTAATTGTAGTGTAAATTGAATTGTAAACGCTAGGGGTCGCCAAGTATACAGTTAAGCGAGTTCAGGGCCTGTCTTGTACCTTTCCGCCTGCTCCAGAGTTGGTGGAGCGACGACAAAACAACCGCCCACCTCCTGCTTCTGCTCACTTGCTACAGAGCTTTTCAAAATGGCGGCTGCTTCCTCCATAGAGCCGCCGAGCGTGAACGATTTGAAACAGGAAAATTCACCTTTTGCGGACTCGGATAGCCCTGAGAGCCGACAAGAAGAAGACACGGGGTCCGAAGGTCCGAGCCTACGAGTTTTGCCTGAATTAGAGCCGGAAGAAATCGAAAAGAGGCTGGAAAAAACTCGCAGGGAGCTGAGCAACAGGAGGAAAATCCTGATTAAGAACCTACCCCAAGACATTACCAACCAGGTAATGGGGATCATTAACTGACCGGCAAAGTGCATCTTCAGTCCTGCGCAGTACGCAACTGTGAGAAACTTTCAAGCATGAGTCGGGTGCATGATTAATGTAGTAAATAATATAATAACCACCTGAGTATCACTTCTGATGTACTTTTTTGCAGTTATAGAATACGTTTGTTGCCGTCAAAATCAGTAGAAAATTACAGTCTCGAAGTTTTGTATTTTACTGTTACGTGTTCCCTTTACAGCACTTACCATAATAGGGGCAGAGTATCTGAAATTACTCATAGTTCTTAGATGGTACAAAATCTTTCTTGGTCAGAAAAGCAGTTTATCTGGAGCACTTCTAGGATTCAAGCGTTTCTTGTATGCGTCTTTTAGCTAGATGTTTTATCTATGTTGATGAATTATATTAGCCTGGTTATATGAATGCTATGCGAGAGTATAGATAACTTGTCGGTGTTTCCAACTATATTATGTACTATACTATATATAATTATTTTGTATTTCGTAGAACTCCACAATTCTACACTTTGATTTTATGTTATTATTTAGGTCCTGTTTCCATCTGCTGTTGCAAAACTTTACATGACCCTTTTTCGTCAGCCGAACATTCAATACAATATGGCATCTGGTGATTACAAGTGACGTTATAAATGATGCAGCACTATCGAGGTCCTCCAGTACAGGACTGTAATGTCGTTTTGTATACTCGCCTGAAAAAAAAAAAGAAGTGTTTAACTGTCGAGTACAGCCTTTGGTCTTGTGTGTTTTAAGAAGGGAGGAAAGTTTACTTGGTTATCTTCTGTAATTGCTTACTCTTGCATATAAATGTTTCGGTGTCTATAGAGTTGGAAGCTATAGTTAATTTAGCTTGTCAGAACTGTCCGCTAAAGAGCAAAAGCCTCGAAATATTAATCTGTGTAATATAGGTTTTTTCTAAGATTATAGTCTTTTAACTTTTGACATGTTGTAGGACTTGTCATTACCACCATTATGATTAATTTAAAATCTTAATTCCCACACCAAAATAGGCACATGACATTAAAGAGACACAGAACCTGTGTATTGTTTTATGAAGGGTTTTTGTCTCTTGGATAATTTATTTTATCAAAGAAAACATGTCACCACGATCAGTTTCTCCTTGAGCCCAGTTGGGCACAAATTCAGTAATGTCTCAAATGAAATGCTGCTGGCAATTTAGGGTGTAAGCAGTCACCTTTTTGCAGTTTTGACCACTGCAGTTAAAAGACCAGAGCTAAAATCTGATCTTCAGTTGTCTTACAACCCTATTACTCTCAAACAGTATCTGAATCTGCTTCAATTGTGATTATATTTTAACAGAGCTGTAGACTATTCTAAATGTAAAAAGAAAATCCGTTTCAGAATAATAAAACTCTGCTGTCATCACTACCATGGTGACAGTGAGGATGCCAGAGAGACACCACAAAATGATTCAGAGCACCTTTTGTAAGTTGAAAACTGAACTGTATACTGATATTTGATTTAGCATTTTCAATCTTTTGCTAGCTAACCTTTGTGAGCCCTATATATACATTTTCTGGCAAATATCGATTTTTTTTAATTCACTCAGGTTTATGCACAACAGCGACTGTATTCTAGTTTCTATGTTTAATGGGGAAGGGAAAGTATGATATTATTTAGGCCAGAACATTCTTTGCCTTTCCTCAGCACTTCATACCCTTTTGGGACATCTTTGTGGAGTTTACCTTGTGGTATGTAATTTATAATCAGGCCCAGGCTTAACCTACTACTAAAATGTAAACAGCTCTTTATTTAAGATAACTAAAGTCATTTAAGATGCTAAGTTGTTTGAAGTCTGTTTGATAATGAGACTTATTAGCCGTTACCTAAATTGATGAAGTCGACACACATCGGATCTAAATTGGCAGCTGGTCAAGAACATTTTTGGTTTGCATGCCTGGAGTCCTGTACATGTCACTGGGATTTTAAGAGTCAGAACTTCAAAGTTTTGCCCTCAAGTAAGATGTTCTTTATATGGACAGTTTCCATCCATCCACTTTCTAAAAGCTTCTACCAATTCAGGGTCACACCAGGGCCAGTTCGGCCAAAAGCCAGTTAACCTACCTGTATGCCTTTGAATTGTGGGAGGACACCCATGTGAACCTGGGGAGAACATATACACTCCATACAGATAGCACCCCATTTCTTGAATTGGACCCAGTGCTCCACTGCTACGGGGTAGAAATGCCACCCATTTGGAGAATTTGCACATTTTAATTTCTCGAAGATTAAAAGATTGATATTTACCTCACAGAAATGACGCGACCTGGTCTGGTTTAGGACATCTCAGTTCTGAAGAACAAAGGTAAAAAATTTCAGAACAGGGGTCTTCATTTCAGGTACTGCAGGGCTGGTGTGTTCAACTTCAACAAGGATTTAAACAGACTGGAAAACCTGCAAACAAATTGCCCCTGTAGGGCAGGGTTTGGAGACCCCTGATCTAGAGCACTGTTACGCATATCAGCAATACCTTAATCTTATGTTCTGGTTTCTCATCCGTTTGCAAAATTGTCAGATCAGTTCTGTAACTGTAATTACTGGTTTAATAAATCACAATGTACTGAGTGAGGCCTTATCAACCATACCTTTTTGGTAGACATATTCACAGTGTCACATTACTTTATTCTTAACTTATTCTATAAACATGATCATGTGTATCCAAGGGAGTTTGTTGTGCTGACTTTTTTTTAAATTGTTGATGAAGAGGAATTGCTTGTGTAAAATCGGTTTAGGGTCTTAGGCGTTCAGATGAAGGAAAACAGAGCTTTCACTGGCTGATTTTCAAACTATTGATAAAAAAAAAACTAACAGACCGAAAAAGAAGAAGAAAAAGAATAACAGACACAGCACGAGCCTGCATTCTCTCCTCAGCCGTCCACACCACACTTTTCCCTGGGTCAGAGATTAAATAAAACTTCACTCACAAGTTACCACATGCAAAATACTGAATATGTTAACCCAAATATGTCTCAGACTTGCATTATGTAAGATTCTCCTGAGCTCAGCAAGCACGTCCACCAAAATACTATTTTGATGTAAAACAACATGAAACTGAATTATTTACCTGAATTATTATTGCCTGAATCAATATTAAAATATACTAACAAAAGACTCTATAAACACCTAGTAATATGAATTCTGAGACTTAGTGTCTGCCAACCCACTTACAGCCTGTACAGAGGTGTACTACTCCAGTATGCCTTGAGTTGCTATAGATCTTGTTAAGTTTGCACAAGATAACCTGAGGGTAGGACTTAGATTGCTTTCTGAAGACGATTCTGCACTTCAACTGCATTCGATGCTTCTTATGTTGTTTTGTATCAGGGGCAAGCCAATATGAAATGTCATGTAAAAGCTTTCTGGAATAATGAGAACTACATGGTCTGGTTGTTTATTGATTTGGCTAAATACAGATTTGAAACGGACAGCCTCTCTTGGCTTTTAGTACAATTCCAGACATATTGTGTGAGTCTAGGTTCTAGTTGGGTTAAACTTTAATGGGAAATCAGTGAGTTAAATCAATAGAATAAACATGTCTTTGTCCACAGACTGTTTTAAGGGTTTTACTTAAATTTAAATCCCTCTTGAAAGCCTTTGGGGTATGCCAGGCACAATGTAAAATAATGTGTAGTTAATACCGGTGTTTCCTGTGTAGTTAATGCCGGCGTTTCACATTGACTGTTATTTAAAATTTTCATTCATATTTGAAGTGAATCCTCATATAAAGGTTGCTGTTTCCATTTTACGGGCCAATCCTGATAAAATATTATGCTCATGTCTCAAGTTTTGTCTCATTTTGGGTGTTTCTTGTTGTGTAAACGTTGATGGCCTCTCCTGAGTGTAGGATGAGCTTGATAGCCAGGAGATGGCTGGATTAAGTCTGGACTGTGCTCCTCTGTAACTTGTCCTCAGAAGGTCCCTTCTCAAGAGGTGTTGGTTGTGGGAATACTATAGTTTTGTATCTGCCCTCTTATACAAGAATGCTCTACTGTTTTTATTATTGGTTCATGGTTTGAGCAGAAGTTAATAGCTTTACGGGTTTCAGAGGATTTGAGTGTTGTATTTATTTCTCCATGTCTGTTATGGGGATTAGAGTACTGTGTTGGGTTGAATAAATCAACTGATCGAGGAGGCATACAACACAATACAGCAGAGGGATCCCTAGTGATCCTGACTCACTTGAAGTCTCCAGGGAGTCCCACAGAAATGGTAAAAATTTGTGTGTGGAATTAACACTTTGAAATATGGAAAAATTTAAAGTTAAACCCAAAAAATTGTGCGTTTTTGAAAAGGGGTTCCTACAGCAAGAAAATTAAGGACACTAGCAGGAAAATGCTTACAAATCTTTTAAAACACGGGTTTGTTTAGGGACGATTCTGCATTATATGTACTAGCTAGAAGGAGAGTTCAATAAAACTTCTGAGAAATTAGAAAAAACACTAAGAACCGGAGAAGTGGGAAGTGCCTGGAGGAATGCGTCATCACTTACTCTGTGTTCTATAGGATCCTGTTTTGTTTGAACTTTTATAAACATATAAAAGTGCCATCTCTAACCTTTTGTAACGAGAGCTTTTAAGCTTTTTTCTTAACAGTTTTAATCATGAGTGGATGACTTTTCTGTGGGCGGCTCTCTGTGAGAGAAACAGCAGCACAGTCCATCAAAAAAATCAAGGTCTGTTATCCTGATGCAGCTCCCCAGTGGATTTTAATGGGGGGTTAAACTGTGTATTTCTTGCTATACAGTTAATCTAGTTTCACTTTAAACCATGGTGGCTGGGAAGGCCTCAAAAGAAGCATACATCCTTTCACTGATACATTCCCATGAACTGTACGTTCATCAGTTCCACTCACCAACCCAGGGAGTCACCCGAACTGTAATGTACTGCCACACAAAGGGTTCTGTAAGACCTGTGCTTGCCCTCACTATTTCAGGCACACTTCGTATTCGGTGATGATGTCAATTATTACATTTATTTTTTTCCTTTTGGTTTTTGTTTTTTTCTTCTAAATCCGCCCCTGTGCACAGGTTGAGGGTGTCATTCCTATGTACAAACGTTCATTTTGGTGGATAAGTTGGATGAATTACTAACGTTATAATAAGTGTCATTTTTCGTTTACTGGTCATTTTAATTTACAGATAACCAGTTATGTTTATTTTGTTGCTCAATAAAATAGATGATCAGTATTCTGTTTCAATGACAATGTAAATGTTATATTTAAATGCCCGTGAATTTAGCAGTGTAGATGAGGTGAGTGGGTTCTTAGGGAGAGAATTGGGCTAAAGAAGAACACAGTAAATTTAAGAGCCTGTTAATTTTGCTTTGACCAAACCCTTTTTTGTTTTTCAGGAGGTCCATGAACTTCTAAAAGAGTACGAGTTGAAATACTGTTATGTGGACAGAAACAAAGGAACAGGTAAAATCTTGGCTGTTTTAGATTGTTTTTCGCCCAGTATGTCTCAAAAAATAGTTTGTCAGGATTAATGCATCCAAGCCTTAACATGTAGTGAATAAAGGCTGAATTTTATTTGGGCAAATTGATAAAAAATTGTCTTTGGGACATAAAAGCAGGCTATTACTTTTAATCCCCTTGAAGCTGTTACTTAAAAGTGAAAAATTATTTTCAGTATGAAATAATCTGATCAGATTGAACAAATAATTCTGCAGGAGCTTTGAATTTATACATGTATACAAGATACAGAATATAAAGTGTATGTAATATAAAAATATGAGTTTGGTAAAGAAAATTATATTTATATATAACACAAAATGCTTTTTTTATAATGGTGCGTCTATTTCTCAAAAAATAAATAGTACTCCCGTTTCTGAATCATCAGTGAGTCAGTCTCCTAGCTGTTCTCATTAGAATAAACAGTAAATTTTCTCCTTTGGAAAAAAATAATTTCTCTGTGAGAACATTTAATTGCCTTGAATAAATTAATGTGTCACATTGATTATGTCTAAGGGTTAGAACTACTAATTTTCAAAGTATAGAAAGTATTGCTTTCTGATTCATGATACTTTATTTTTTAAAGGAAGTGCCTGTAAATGTATTTCTTAAATTACTAGTCATACTTTGTATTTGGGAGTGGAAAAGCTTGTTGATTACTTTAGCAGATTTTGTTACGTATAATTATATTTTGGGAACAGTTGAAGTATCCTAGTGGTTTTCCCTGTGGAACTGCTGTGCTTGGAGCCATGAAGTCTGAATCTTACTGTCCGTTTAAGCCTTCCAGTAAGTCTTCAGTTTGGCTTGAGAAGAAAACACAAGACATGTGAATTTTATTCTGATCTTACAAAAAAAAAAGAGGCATCATTTAGGATCGTCATCATTATTATCAATTTAGCATTGAAGCAATGTATTTCTACAGACGTTTTTTTTAATATCACTTGTTAAATCAATAACGAATCAGAGGCAGAGAGATAACAACTTTCAGCTGGTGATTAAAATGTTCAAGTTGGGCCTATCCCAAATTTAATTAATTGGAATTTCACTGTTGTGGCTTCTCTAGTCCTGATGTCATCTTCTAAGCCCTAGACACGCTCTAGCCACCTGTATAAGTGAAGAATGACAAGAGTTTTTTTTAGGTGTTGTAATTAGTAATGCAAAGTTTGAATAAAGAGTACTTCTAATTTGCTCTGCCTTACTTGTCATCTTAGAGCTGACAGTTCCAATAATAGAAATGATCAAAGAGGCTGAGTTTTCAAATCTGCACTAAGTGACCCCCGAATCAAAGGTGATAGGTCTCAGGGTATGTTGATAGTTTCTCCTAACTCTTTGAGCACAGTATAATAATAATCAAGCTTGCTGCCCCATTAGCATCCATAAAGGAACTTTAGGAACTGAAGCAATTATTGATATTCCTGCTGTAAATCTGGCTTACTGCCTTGTTTCCTCCCTTTTATGCCTTTATCTTCCCAGGTTCTTGAGTGCAAGCAGCCCACAAGGCGATAAAGGAGTTAGGAGATGCTTTCCATTGAAAAAACTGCTTTGAACTGTAGACATGAACAGACTTTGCATTAGGCAGGACTTCATAGTGCTAATGCAGTCACTGTTAACTTTCCAGCCCATTGTTCCTCAAATTTGTGTGAGAAGTCTAATGCTAAAGACGGAAAAATCTTTGTGATCCATGTTGTTAAATCTGTTACTGCAAGATGTGGTTCTGCATTATGTCTATTCAGTGTTACTCCTGTTTTTTTTATTAATTTTACCTAAGCCAAACAAATCTTCTGCATATCATGATCATTGATGACAACAGCATATAGATTTCTGTAATTTGAAAGGATAGACCTTGGCCTCTTGACCCAAATTGAGGTCCACAACCCTCTTTTCTTTTCCTAAACAAATGTACCCCGCCCCCACAGCAAGCAGGGACAAAAGGCCTATACAAATGTGCCTTGATTGCCTGCACATCTCCCCAGGTTGCCCTGTGCAGAATCATTATTATTATCTAATGTACATTATGATGTGAAGATGCACAGAAAAACCTCCTGCTGGCTTCTGTGTTCTTTTGGAAGCAGGATAATAGTGCAGAAAGCTGAAGTAAGAGCCATTAAAATTTAAGGGGGATCAAGCAGTCTTACAGGATGCTGAGCACTGAGATATTTGATATGGCTCAAGTCTTCAGAACTGCTAAAGTGATTCTTCTTGGGGACACTCTACAGTCAACTAATTTGTTTGTTTTGAATTTCTTTAAATGGTGTAAAAAAAACACCTGATCGGGGCTGAGCTTTTCACAATGTGCTAAATTAACATCCCTGTCTCTGAAATGAGGGAGAAAACCGTGTTGTGTTAGAATGGTTTATGTACTTTAAAGGCACACACTTTCTCAACATACTGCAGCTTTGCTTTTTGAGAGTTATTTTGGTATACATTCACACTAAAAAGCACTGTAAACAATGGAAGCAGAGGGAACAGATTTTGTTGTAAAATTTATTGGAACAGGCCTTGGAGGATAGTTATAGGATATATTTGGTTATGTACAGTTGTACTTTTGTGTGAGTATGTATGAAATAGCTCCTGGGGCTGTTTTTTTAATTGGAGCAGTGAACTGGTGCCGTGGGCTACTGCACTGTGCATATGGGTAATGAGGCTTTGTGGTTTCAAAAAGTTTATTTAATGTGAGCGCTGTGCTCAGCACATCAGGCATCGTTTGGCCAGAAAAGCAGTGCTTATTAGGTAGCCATGAAAGAAGTTAATATACAGGTTGTGCTTGGATCGTTTTCCGATTGCATTTTTCCCACCCAGGGGAGTAATAAAAACAGTAATGTTTGTCTCCGTTGAGGACACTCATGGAATTCCAGAGCCATATGCTGCCTTTCTGCAACCAAGAATGACACCAGACGTTGAGGCGGGAATAGGGAACTGAGAAATTTATAGAAAAAAAAATTGTCCTTTAATGAAGACACCAGGGTGTTATTTAAAGGAGATCTCCACATTGTGTGAGTCTGTTTGTATCCATGTATAAAAAAAATGTAGGAGCCTTTTAATTTCTTGCGCTTAAGGCTTTGTTTTTATTAGCAGATAAAGACATTCTTCACATAAGCCATTTAAGTCTTGACTAATTTGGGTGTAGTGCCCTTTTTAATTTTACCAGTTGATGGCCTTTAAAAGGTTCCAGATTATCAGACCATAATAATGCATTAAATAACTGTCAGCTTTATCATAAATATATAATGTTTCAGAATGTATTGTTGATTGAAGTGTATTATTTGCTTTTCAAGTTTTGGAATGCAATTTAGACTGCAGTAGCTGGTAAGAGACTGGAACATCAAGAAACTCTAGAGGTCATTATGCCTAAAAGCATTTTTTTTTCTGCAACACATCAATAATGATTCATACAGTACTTTGATAAAATATACTGCTAGCCAGCAGTGGGCTGTAATTTATGACTTCACATCAGTGATTGCGGATCTTTTGTATTCTCTTAAAAGATGTAAAAAATCTCAAGCCTTATTTTGAGAACCTTCATAAAATAAATACTAAACAGCGAAAGTATTTGCAGTTTTTCCAATTAGAAAATACTCAATTGGTAAAATTAGTTAGGAAAACCATTTTTGTTTTTCATATGTAATAGGCAAAAATATATTGGAGACTTTGTGTTGAGGTGTTAAACTTTGTCCCATTTTCTGAAGACCTCTACAAAAAAATTAAGGTGTTTGTATTGCGGGGTTTAACATAACGTTAGTGTTCATGCAGGGCTAGACTTGTATTTAAATTATATCTAGATTTTGAAATGAGCAGCAGGAGGGCAACAGGAAATTATTCAGCCCTTCAGATGTGAGTCATTCCTTCAAATAATACATATTGTGCCTCTTATGCCATATTTAATTGGCTTTTAAGACCACTGATCTTTTTGCTGAACTGCAGGACCCTTATCTTGTGCTTGTTTCTCCTGTGTGACTACCTGAATGTAAATCATCACAATCTCCCCCTTTTTAATTCTGGATCCCTTTGAATTCGGTGTATACTGCACATTATTAGAGAATAATTTTAGATAATAATTTTAAGCAAGTTAATTGGTAATGGAGCAGGACATTATTTTATTGATTTTAAACCTTTACAAATGTTGTAATGAAATAAGGGTACTGTACAGAATCTACTATGCACTGGCACATGGGTTTTCATGAGGCAAATATTGTAAGATGTTTTTGTTTTTCTTTGTACATTGTGAACTGCTAATCTTGTTGTATTAGTTGTGATCACACCTTGATTTAATGTTGATCTTGCTCTTGAGCATCCAGGATTTCCATAAAGCAAATTCTAAAAGAGGTCGATTCTAGTCAACATCTCTTTCTTAAACATCCTTCATAAGGCAATAGCTGTAAAAGGAAATTTAGCATAGGTTTCTTTATCACTCTCAAAGAGTTCACCCATGAAAATGAACCCAAACATTTTCAACACGTCAAGGAACTTTGTTTTACACGAACAGATCCCTGTATTTTAGAAATGTTTGCTTTGACTGTGGCTTTGCTAAACCATGCTTCAGGTTGGTAAGCAGACACTCAGCATATCAATTGGTTCAGAGAAAAATGGTCAAGTGCATTTTAGGAATCCTTTAAACTGGGTATGTCTGGCTGTCAGATTCTTTTACTTGCATGGAGATGAAATTAACCCATTTCTGTGACAACAGACATTTAAGTCTCTGAGTGATCCGGGATTTTTGGGGTTCTCTTTGCAGATTGATATGCAAAATCTATACACACCAAGAGCTTCAAAAAACATGCCTGCTTTTTTGGACCAAAATGTAATGTTTATCACCGCTTTTCTTTGTTCTTCTGAGAAAGTTGAAAATACTCTAATCATACTTTAAAATGGGCTTTGGTTTGGTTCAAGGTTCATATCTGCAGCTTTATAATAAATATTGTGTTCTTACACTGTGGAATGCTCCTTTCACCAGACATCAGAAATGATTAAATGTTACATCATTTGTAACTATTAAATTACATTGGGAGGCATATGTGTTGCTTTGGCATGAAAGGCAGAAAAATGAACAGAAGTGTCTCGTATCTTTTATTTTAATTTTTCAGAAATTTTAAACAAGAACTGGTTTCAGCTGTAGTTGTTTCAGTCTTTGCAGTGGTGTCTGTTTTCTATAATCGATACACAACTGAATCTATAGCTGTAAAAACTGAGACTGGTCAGCATTAAAATCTTAAATATTTTTGGGGGGAACAGAAAGAGCACATTTGAGTTTCTCTCATCCTGACAGATATCTATAGCTGAAACTGCAAAAATGTGAACATGAGTCAGTATTCATCTAATTAGATTTTTCTTTGTCCGCTTTTCAGCTTTTATAGAAGAAACCTCTTCAAGAAGGCAATTTTAGTATGTTTTTGATGAGGTTATGTAGTCTGCAATAGATATGTAACCCTGAAGCTCCCAACTGTCCACTAAGCCCTGTACACTGTGTTGTGTGGGAATCATGCCTCCCACTTATGGCAGGTATTGATGCTTGAACGCAGAGAAGATTGTCATTAATTGATCCAATAATGAATGTGGGCAGTTGTAAAAAATGTAATAAACAAATAGAAGGGCTGTTGTCTAGGACTGGCTCCTTTGTATCTGTTGTACAGTGGCTGTAGTGAAGAGAGATGTAAAGCAATGAGATCCAGACTGTCTTGTAGCTGTAATTATGGTAACACAGCAGATGAAGTTTGATTTTATCAAAATCCTGGTAGCAGGATACAGTGATTCTCGAACCTGCTGTCTGTGCGTCCTGTTAAAGTCGGATAAAATCTGGGTATGCATTTCTGTTGTTATGTTTAAGGTTTTTTCTGGGTCCCTTAGATGAAATGTAGTGGGTATTGCAAGGACCTGTAGTTTAATGTATTGGGAATGGAGGGGTGGAATGTGAGTTATCAAGATGGGATTGTGGTCTGCGTGGTATTGTAATCATTTACTCCAGAATTAAGGCAGTTCTTGTTTGTGAATAGAATCGTTATGAAAACCCCCCAAAACACAAATGGGTAGATTTGCGAATTCTGTGTTTTACTCCCTAAATGAGAGTTTCAGAGAAGCTCTTACTCTGCTTATCTGACTTGAACAACCTTTACATTTTGCATCAACACTTTGTTTTCCAGCACCTAAATTAGTTAACAGAGGCTGATGAATGTACAGCATGCATTCTAATCCTTTAAATATGAACAATTGCGTTGCATTGCAGAAATTCTTTTGTCTGCACACTTTACCATTTTTGCAAAAGATTAGCACTTGAAATGATCAAAGACAATGTTTAAAATAGACCGCCTACTATTAAAAGGTGAAGCTCAAGTCGCAGGTTCGGACATGGAGTGTGTATCAAGCATAGTGATCATTACTGTCGCTGTATGCATTTCTTGATTAATTCAGATTGATACAATGTGATCTTAAAACGTCTGCGGTCATTGAGTTGCAAGAAGCTACTTTGAGGTTGTAAAACAGTTGTGGAGTTGGTTTGGTAAATGTTTTGACATGGCTACTAGATAAGCAACTTTTTAGTTTTTTTTTTTCAGAATGGAAACATTTTAAAACTTTTTTTGTTTTCTTTTTGAGTTATTGGTAGGATATATCCTGAATAAAAATTCAGCAATAACTGTAGATCATTGAATAATCCGACACGTCTGTACACTGCCACACAAATGCATATATGCATTTACCTCAGGTAAAGATATTGTTACAGCTAGATGGGGAGTTGTCAACATCTAGCTAGCAATAATAATAATTGCTTACATTTATATAGCGCTTTTCTGGACACTCCACTCAACTACCACCAATGTGCAGCATCCACCTGGATGCCATAGTGCGTCAGAACGCTCACCACACATCAACTAGTGTCAACATTGAGGTTTCTGAGGAGCTTCAAAGCAAGAAAGGAACTGGGGTGTTAGTACTGAGTTGTATTGGGTCTGAGATACATTGATCAAGGAATCGTCTAATTTACCTTGGTTCATTAAGTTCTGGATAAATGGTTAGGTGTCATAAACAGTCCAGGAAAATCACCAAAAAAAAAGTTAGAGAGCAAGTGAGAGAGTGAGATAAAGACATGAAGAGAGAGAAGAAAGTGTGTGCCAGGCGGGAGTTCCTTTTCCAGATCATCTGTAAAGACCAGATTTAAATATTTGAACCTTGTTAAGAGCTTGTCATTCTCTTGTTATTTGGAAACCATTTTCCTGTGTAGAGAATCCATAGGATAAAAACCAACTCCCCTGGTTAGTGGATGCTTTTTTAGGATATGGAGTTAGGTTTCCCGTTTACTTTGTAGCATCCAGATTTATAGAGAAGAGATTTAACTGTAGGTCGTAGTAGGTTTAGTTTTGAGGGCAGGTTTATCTCTCTGGTTTGCATGTGTGTTATAAAGGATTTCTGGATATTTGGTAGCCGTCTGGCTTTTTTCTGGTTGTCAGAGCGTAGGCCTATGGGGTGGCTTTGTTTGTAAATAGAGTAATTTGTATGCTGTATTTTATGTTGTGTGTTATTGTGATTATTAATAATATGTGTTACCCAGTATGCCTGATTTATTACTCTTTCCAACAAAGCTGGGCAAGAGAACAAAAAACTCCAGTGCCGATAATTATACCAACAGTTATAGGTATATTCTTGCCATATCTTAACGATTTGGGGTGTTGTTTAATAATTGATCATCCTGTTTGGTCTATTTTCAGATATGAACTATTTTCTTAACCCCCGTCTTCTAACAGTATGTACAGTATTTGACAATCGGAGCACCCACAAGGATTGGTATTGAATTGTTGAATATTATTAAGTTTATTGTTCTATAGATCTGTGAGTATTGCTGCCCTCTGGTGACATGCAAGACTGCTTTTGCCCTGGGTTTTTTCCAGCCCGCAGGCGGTATTTCCACATGGATCTTTTTACTCTGCCGATGGTTGGAACATCGTGCATGAGAGCCACACCATCGGTACAAGTAATTTTCTTTATGGTAGCTTCAGAAGGCATCTTTGGTTAGGACTTCACTAAGAATAGAGAGCAATACTGTGCCCCAGTATGTTTTGAGATGCAGTTGGCTTTGTTCGATTTTTCTTTCAGTTTCACCCTTGGTTTTCCATTTGATAGCATTAATTTATTAATTGTTAAGGCATTTTTCTATTTTTTTGTAAAGTAGGTATATATTGTTTTAAAACCTTTGTTTTGATTTAATGCTTTCTGCACTTGAGTATGGCTTTATAAGAATGTAAACGAGATAAAGCTAAAAGGTAGATAAGTAGTATGATTTCTTTGCGTCAGACGAAAGCTGTCCTTTTGAAGAGAGACCATGAATAATAGAAGTGGTGTAATTATTTTATTCAGACATGGTGTGGTAGGGTAACTGTGAATAAAAAATGTATTCAGGGAAACCTTTTTTTTCCCCCCTCACATGCTCGTATTAAAATGAACTCCGTGCTTGGAATTATATCCTGTAATTAAGCAAAGTTTTTCCCTCTTAACATTCTTAAAGCTGTCGGTAGTCAAGCAGTTGAGTATTGTTATGCAATAAGCTTACGTCTTGAAGACTGTGTAAGCTCCTTTTGTGTAAAGAATATGTTTTTTGTAATTTTGTATCTTTTGTGTACTAAAAAATTTTTTATATGTCCCCCTAGAATATAAAGTGGTGGTAAAGAGTTCCTGCTTTAACAGTTGATGGCATTAGTTATAATGATTTCAAGTGTGATTGCTAGGATATTTTTTGTGTCTGAGTCCACAGATTTATTTATAGACACAATCTGTACCATCCTTTTTTGTAGGGATATTTTGAGTGCATTATGGTGATCTTTGATTATACAGCTATTTTTAAATGTATAATGCATTAGGGGACTGTTGTATTGGACATGAAATCTGCAAAATGAATGTCGCCTCTTAACTCAGGAATTTGAAAATTAGATGAAATTATTCTGATGACTGTGGAAATGAAAGCAGGATACTAAGAACTGTAAATCTGTGATTGCTTCCATAGGGCTTTCATCTGTTAATTAAAATAATTTTTCATAATTCCTGCTTTTTATCCCTTAACTGGACTATAATTACATGCTTCAGTATTTATGAAAGGATCTGCATGAATCCTGTTACTGTTTGGAAGCGTGTCTGTGTGACAAAGGAAAAAGACTCGGGCAAATATTCTGACTCTTCAGATTCACTGTGCTTATTAAATAGAAGTTTGGGAGATGATGAATGATAATGGATTTTAGTACTTCCTGTAGGCTAATGGGGAAACGTGAATCTGAACATTAAAAATGTGTGCACTAGAAAAAGAAGTCCCTGGCAGATAAAATTAGAATTTCTTTGACATATTGCATTCCTCTTTTTCATTTATTTTCCTCAAGAATATTCCATGGATGTTATCCTCTTGATTAACTGTGAGATTGATATTATTCTGAATCATTGTTTTGGGTAAAGACTAAAACGTTCGTGGATACAATGAAGCTTTCCCTTTGTAGCTTTGGAATTTGGGAATACTAACCAGAAACAAACACTTAAGAAACATGTTTTGCAATTTTGTGATAATTGCTGTCAAAAATTAGTTTAAACATTGTTTTCATTCAGATCTAGAGAACAATTCCAGTGAGCCTCTTAAATAATGCTGCTTCCACATGTGTCTGATACAAAAATAGCTTCTTTGTGAGATGCTGACAGGAGTAAGCCAGGGAATAAATAAAGCATCTTGATAAGCAAAACAGAAGCTAATTGTAGAGTAAGTGGTGTACTTGCCTTTTGCAGCCATAAAATGAATGACATTAACTCTTTTCTTTCAGCGTTTGTGACCTTGCTGAATGGGGAGCAGGCTCAGGATGCCATCCGGACATTCCACCAGACAGCTATCCGAGGGAAGGAGATCTCGGTGCAGCTCCAACCCACGGACTCCCTTCTGTGCATCACCAATCTGCCACATACCTACTCGGCAGTGCAGTTTGAGGAACTGGTGCGCACCTACGGCAATATTGAGAGGTGCTTTCTCGTTTACAGTGAGCTCACGGGCCACTCCAAGGGCTATGGCTTTGTGGAGTACATGAAGAAGGACTCTGCCTCCAAAGCCAGGTCAGAACTGTTGGGCAAGCAGCAGGGCGATCGCACCCTAATGGTACAGTGGACAGACGTCAACCAGCTCACTGCTGACCACCTTCATTCCAAGTGCCTTTGTGTTGATAAACTTCCTTCCGACTTCTCCGACACGGATGAGTTGGCACAAATTTTCTCCAAAACGTATAAACCCGTCTTCTGCCAGGTAAGTGGTTAGGTGAGCAAACCTTTTTTGGTTTACTATGACGAGTAAGTACAATAACTAAAAAGACCTCAATTGACATTGGTTCTAAATCCTACATAATACTAGGCTTTACGTCTATTGTACTCAAATGTTTAATGACCTTAATTAGTGGTTGCATCATTGAAGAATTGTCTTTCAAATTAACATTTCCAATTTTTTACAGCCTTTAAACAATATTGTGTCTTACTGATTTGTTTTTTTATATGTTATTGGGTATGAGGGAAAAGGTTACTTAATTTGTGTCTGAGTAAGAAATTGAACATCATAATTTTTTTTCTGCTTTTTTAATCTGGATTGATTATCAGAAGGATGTTAAAAAGCTGATATATAGTGCAGGGGAATTCTAAAGGTCATTCAGGTCACAGTGCCATCCAAAACAAAGATAAAGGGGTAGAAATGACTTTAGCGTATCATTTGCCACTGGCTCTATTTGAGGCCTGTCATTAGCTAGACCAGAAGCCAATGCAAAGGTTGTGGAGTCCCCTCTACAGAGTTAGAGCTCTCAAACGGCAGCTTTCCCATTCATCTTCTGCAGCCTGACCCTGAAGAGGGTGCTTGAAGGAGTACTTAAAATAATCCTCTAATACAGTGTCTATAAGACAGTTCACCCTGGTGTGTTTTGGTAAGAGTGTTTTCATGGGCACTCTCTATAAAAGTGTCCTTTAAGTGGTTCAAACCTTCCCTAAGAATGCTATAGCTAAGTAGTCTTTGAAAGTGGTGCAGCTTACTTAACAGCAGATGACATCCAACAGTTAAATGCAAAAGAACAGAGGTATGGGTGGTATCTTCATTTTCACTTAATCTCACAGAAGTAAAGTCAGAAATGTGCGAAACATTCCTTTTACTATGTCTCCATTTTCATCATCACAAAAATACAGCTGATGCATCATTCTTTTATTTATTTTAAATGCATTTGAAAAGCATGGTAGTCGATTTTAAATAAACGGCAAATCATACCTGGCACTTTGACTTTCTTCTGAATTGATTGAAAAACTGATGAAGTAGAAAACTGTCAAGTGCAGGTTTAAAAGAAGTCAAACTTGCATTGCCTTCTCACATGCAACCTCGCGTCCAGCACATATTTTTTTAAATGTGTTGACTCACTCTGTCATTCTTAGGGAGGGAACAAGAAGAGTGAAAATTATTTTGCATATAGTGAATAGTGGAAGGATTTGGAATAATTAAAACTTAATAAGAGAATGACACTAATATTTCATCTTTAAAAAAAAGGTGCAGTGAAATGTTATCATAAAAGGCTTTCTTTTTCCTTGAATGGCTCAGAGAACTGTAAAAGAGGTAATGGCTTGCTTTTTTTCAGGGGCGCTCTGTAGGCAGTGTAGTTCTAATAACAGTCTAGACCTGCCTGACAATGTAGCTTCTAACATTTCATGTAGTGTGTGTAAGGTTAAACTGCATTTCACAGCTTGTCAGTGAATGAGTCTACAGATCACAAGTACAGCAGCTAGTCCTCTGAAAACTGTAAGAGGGCCTGCACTGTGTTCGAGTCTAGGCTCAATTAACGAAGGAGAATGGGGAGGGAAGTTCAACATGTTAAATGTTCCAGGGATTAAAAAAAACTATCCAGAAATAGTACAGGTTTAATTAATTATTAAGAAGTACGTCAGCACATTATCTAGGCCTTAATGTTCAAAAACTGACAGCCTGGACAAAAGTAACATTCATAAGTAATAAGGTGACTACCTAATTTTATGACTTATCCTGTTAACATTTTGTAGATTGGCAAACCTAATTTAATGGTGTTTTTAACAAAATCTGGGGGGATGACAGCATATCTACTGCTGCTCTAACCAGTAATTCTCCATGATGTCAGTTCCTGAAAAACTAAAAATACTAAAAGTAAGCCCCTCTCTCTGCATCCTTCCTCTACCCCACTTCTGAAGATACCCCTTGGTTAACCTTTCTTTCTCTATAGAGGGGTCCTGACGTCCTTGCCCCACAGCCCGGTGGTTGGCCCTCATTCAAGCATGTCGAGCCAAAGAGTCTTATGTGTAGTGCTTCAATAAACATTCCTAAACACATTTTCTTATTGGGTGATGTTATTCCTCGTGATCTCCTAAATAGCAACAGCATGCACTGCAAGACACAGACAGTGCCCTGGACTTGTATGGCTGGTATTCCTTACTGTTTAACTTCTCATCTAAAATCGGCACCGTAGGAAACATTTGCAAAGAATAAACACTAGACATTTTGAACTGATACTTTTTGAATGTGCCTCAAGGCTTTGGAATGGGATATTTCAGCATAGATTCAGTGTTCTCAATTTCCCTTTAAAGCATTTAATGTTAACTGTTCTTATTGAGTAAAGGAAAACATTATGTTCCCTGAAGGTAAAATGCATGGGTAAACATTCATATTAAAAATTGCTGTTTAAAGAGTGTAATTTTTGCATCTTTACATTTAATATTGTAAAGAGTTTGCAACATTGTTTCACAAAGGTATCATTTTTTGTTATTTTGTATATCGTGTAATTTCTGTTACTGCATTTTGGATTCTGTCATTCAATCAGGAATCTTGAACTTAAAAGCTCCACCACGTTTGTTGCCTTTGACGTAGCGTGTGCAGAGTACTAACCTCTTGATCTACATTTTTGTAAGATTAGCACCCCTGCTCTACACCTGTAATTCCAGAAATATGGAATCGAGTCTACAGTTTAGAATTAGTGTTTTGCACAGATCAGTGTCACATAAGTAAACCTCAACAGTCTTAAATTTGCATTGTTGACTAAATCTTGTACTCTTTTTGCTTTTTGTCTATATCCCCGAGTTCTAGGCTTAGTTTCACTTTTATTTTTGCTTGGTACCAAAATTGATTAAAGGTCCAAGTGTCATATAGAGTAATATGTAGACTTCAGTTGCATCACCCGCCAAAAGTCAATTATTTCTATGCCAATCTCCCTCCCAGACAATTTTAAAATACTTCACATGTAGTAGAGTCACCCTCCACTTCTGAAGTGCAGCACTCATTGTGTGCCAGCAGCCGCATTACACAGCAGCTCAGGTGGAGATCTGAGAGATTCCTTCAGCAGTTCCATTAGGGGAGAAACTTATGGAGGTCAGACCTGAGTGCACACACAGTGGAATTTAGTGAGGACAATGCAACTTTTTCTTAGCAGTGCCTAGGGATCTTCAATGACCAAGCAGTCAGGATCTTGATTTGTCTCATCTGAAGGACAGCTGCTCCAAGAGAGCATTGTCTCCTGTCGCCATGCTGGGGGCATAAGTTTAAAAGGCCCAGGATGTGTGTAAGCAAGATGGTCCACAAAAAAGCCTTAGAACAGCAGTCTGGTTTTCCTTGGAGGTCTCCCTTTCCAGGACTGACTAGGTTCAGCTCTGTTTAGCTGGTGAGATCTCAAGGGATCAGGCTACAAGGCAGTCAGGCTGCTGTTTTTAATCTGTCTTTGTCTGGAAACCACTATATTTAGAGGTATATGTCGAGTAGACCCAACATTACCTTCAGTATGAAAGCCACATTTGAAGCGAAACAACAGTTATCTCCTGATTCTTTTCAGAAGATTTATTGTTACCATAAGTGATTATCATGATTTAAAGTATATGTCTTATATTTGGCTGTTGGTCAGTTGTTTGTGTGTCCCAGGAAAGCCAGATGCTGAACTAACCCTTTGTTAGAGGATATTCAGAAACTGCTGTCAGTTGTTCTTACAGCGATGAGACTAAATTACCTGATCGGAACATGGAAATGTGAACATGAACATAAAGAGGAGGATGCAGATTTTATACTTACCACTGTCGCTGTTAATGAGGGAATGCCAGGGTTTATAGATATGTTCCCCCAAGCCGAGATATCCTGCAAAGAGAAAAGACTGCAAAATAAGTCACACTGGGATTTATGGACAACCACAGGTAGAAATCTTTGTCACTGTTACACCAATAATAAGAAATCAAGAGAGACAGCAGTTACAGGGAAGAAGGGGGAGTCAGATTGCTGCTATGTTTCTTGAGCACAGATGCAGTGTTCTATACGGTTGTTAAAAAAGATCCGGTTTCCCTGAAGGGTTGCTTCACTGCACCCACCATTTGTTTTTGCTGCTGAGGAAAAATGAATTCCTTAAAAAAAACAATCAATTTTTACATCACGAAAACAAAATCTAACAGTCTGTTTAAAAGCTGAGGTCCTGGAAATACATGAAACATGGGGCAACATCTGTGAGATCAAGAAATGGTGCTATTCAGTAATAACATTGCCATACCTGTTGTTTTTTTCTGATAGGCAGAGACTGTAGGTGGTGAAGCTTTCCTGATGGATCAGTGTATGAACAACAGTGAAGTGACTCGCCTTTTATTTTTTCTCCATGCTCACAGCTTGCTCAGGATGAAGGCAGTCCCATCCGGGGTTTTGCTGTCATTGAGTATGAGACTGCAGAGCAGGCGGAGGCTGTCCTGACAGAGATGGACAGGCATGTGATCAGGGGACACGAAGTGCGGGTTTCCTTTTGCACCCCTGGGACTTCAGGAAGGAGTACACTAGCTGCACTGATTGCTGCACAAGGGGTGGTAAGTTGTGTGAAACCAGCAACAAAGACACGAAGGTTATTGATTTTATCATTAGTGAAGAAGAATGTCAATTTGAACGTACTTATCAACTGTACTTTGCAGTCCAGCCCTGCGCCCCCTTATCAGTAACCAGCTTGAAGCTGCTTCTGTCTCTCCACAGAAATATGACAACAGTCAACATTCCCAATTTAACATTCCCTGGAGCTTGTTTGATTTTTCTGTCTTTTGACTTAGAAATCTAAGAAGCAAGTTGGAAAAATGAAAGCAATCCACATACCACAGCAGATTCCCTAAAACAGAGAATTGACATGAAAATCAGAAAGACACTTTAATTTTCTTTGTCAATAAACATGTAGCCAGATGGAAAGATTTGATGTCCCTGCAAGAAAAAAAAATGCATTGGTATGAGCAAGATAGGCTTTACTGACAGATTAGTCAAACCCTATTTTAAGCACAATGCAGTACAAAAATTCAGGTTTGTGTCCACTGGAGTCCTTAGAAGTAGTAATAATAAAAATTGTGACCCTGACATGGGAAGAAAAAAGGCATGATCAACTTTTTTTTCCCCCTTCTTGAGATGCATACCTTTAATTTTGAGAAACTGACCATAAATGGACTAGCAAGTGAACTTTCTGTAACAGTCTGATTATAGTCTAGTCTGCTACAGCTAGAGGTAATAAACAACTGTCCAAATAGAATGATGCAAACTGACATTTTTCATTAGATGTCTGCCTTTAAAGATGCTGGCAGCAGTGGTAAATACTGCATTAGCAAAAATATGTACCTTGCTCGAGAACAGTGTACTCATAACTAATGGTAAGTGCCAGAACTCAAGAGTGTGAATTAATATCAACTGAGAATATAAAAATAACACTAAATATTTTTTTTTCAAATTAAGAACAAGCAAAGAGTAGGGGCAGAAGTTTAAAGTAGCACCACAGCTAAATACAAGGCATATTGGATCCTGCTATGCTGGAAGCATGATAAGACAATTATGTTTCTGTTCTGCTTGTCATATGCCCTTAAAATGACAGAACTGGATTTGAAGGACCTGTGGCTGGGGTACAGTGTCACTACATCCATGACAGTATCTGCATTCCTCCCTGCCACAGCATGGTATTGAGAATAAGTTCTTCATTATAGTAATGGTTACTGGAGAGCTGCTGATTTTTGTACCAGATGGATTCTTAACTGTGAACAGGCTGCGGGTCTTGGGAGGATGTCAGAAATGCCCTAAAGAGGAGAGATGGAGAGAGATCAGAGCTACGCCAATGGCAGACTTTGAATTTGCCTGATCTAGTACGACCTAACAGGTCATTGAAAAGTTTGCATCTACAAAGATAAGAACAATACTAAAATAGCTTTGCTTGCAGGGTATTTGTGTGTAATGGCAGAGTGAATGTTAAGTTACCGCTCAGATGTTTAGATTGACTATGGTATTCTTGCTTATAAAGTTGATTCTTCAGAATACTGTCAAATGATATGACCGGTCTGCTCTTTGTTCTTAATTTAGTCCAATTAATCACTTTATTGTCAGTCATAGTGTTGCTTGTTTATAGTTTGTCTTCTGTCTAGTTTGTATTTTAAGCATCTTGCTTGATGCTTTCTTTGTACTATTTAACAAATTAAAACATTTCCAGCTGGTAACCTCTCAATGTGATTCAAATCTTTTTTGGTCTTCATTTTTAATTAGTATCACAGGCACTTTAGGTTGGTGTGCTTAGATGAGAATAGTATGATTTTCTTTTGCCTCCATTTTCTCGTTCTCTTTGTCATTAACATTTGCATGTTAAGTATTATCAGCACTAATGAGTTAGGTGAGTGACAGGAACATAATGGCAAGCAAAAAATAGAATTCTCTGCCTTTCTGTTAAGATGGAAGCTTTTTTATGTTTGAATTTAATAAAATGGTAGCTTGTAACATTTGTGGGATACTTGTAACACATTAGCAGGAAGGAATGTATTATTTTTTTCTCCAGTGTCCTACTTGTGTCCTACTTAACTGTTGATGGCTTATGTTTAATTTTTTAACATGAAGGTATTTTAAGTTTCACACTGTGATTCCTACATTTTACAATACACACGAGTGATATTGCTTTTATTTTGAGTTTATGCTCTAACTGGTCCCCCTTGATCGGCAAGTATTATAGACCACAGGTGGTTTATATACAGACATTTACCCAGCTAAGATTTGAGGCTGTTGTTCTATCATTTTGATAGATGTCTACCAACAAGAAGGGTCTTCTTCCTGAGCCAAGCCTTGCTCAGCTGATGAGCAGCATGAGTAACCCTGCTGTGCTGCAAGTGCTGTTGAGACCATACCAGGCAGGCCCTGGCAAGCACGGAGGTGAGTGCATACTGAGACTAACAGATAACACTTCTGTTCTGAGCTTGCATAGCTCGCTTCAGGTTTTGCCATGAATTTCAATGGTAGTACTTATTAAGCTAAATAAGGCAACAAGAGTGCCTGTGTATGAATATAGGAGTATTCATTCTCCAAATAATAATGGATTGGATGCTTTAAATTTTGAAAAGCTTTGTGCTGCCCTTTGTTATAGGTTGTGTGTGTTAACTTCACATCTGTTGATCTGTGTGCGGGCGTCTGGTGTCAAGATCTGTTTTGTAATGGTCAGATCCCACAAAAGCAATATTTGATGAATATGTCATGTCTCTAAAATGAACTCTTTGGTCATTAAAAGAACTGGTGACTTCAGGAAGCCATTTCATTCACTATCTTTTTAGGAGAAGCAAAGAGATAAAGCTAAGTTTTAGGTTGTTTAAATGCACAACGTTTGAAATGGCTTTAATTGAATTGAAAGAGTACGAAGATTTCGGAAGGATATCTGGTGTTAATGCTGTAATTAGGTAAATAAAGCTTGGCATATTAGTATGTAATATGCCAAGGCCCTTAACCCCAACTGCTCCAGGGGCGGCGTACAATGGCAGACCCTGCTCTCTGACCCCAAGCTTCTCTCCCTGTCTGTGTCTCCATGGAGAAAAAGCTGGGGTATGCGAAAAGACGAATTCCTAATGCAAGAAATTGTATAGGGCTAATAAAGAAACATTATTATTATTATTATTATTATTATTATGTACTTCTTGGCGACATATTCATCCTAATTATTTGCATTGTATTGAATTTGTTATTATTTCATATTTTGTAATGAATAGAGATCGGCGAGATGTTCTTGCTGTGTTTTAGCAGGAATCCTTTTTTTCCTCAGGGAAGTTCACACGTCCACAGGGAATGCCTTTTCTGCATGGCCCTCCTCTGACCACAGCATTGCTTCAGCTCAGCAAAGTTCAGCAGGTATGACCCTTTCCAGGGCTCCTATGTACACAAACATCTCACTTGTTGGACAACAGTTGCTTTACAAGGGGAAGAGTTGGTCCAGAAGACTGAACAGCAGGTTGAGAGAACTAGTTTATGTGTAAAAACCTTTTAATGATATTGCAACAATGAATTTTATATATTGTAATGGACAATACTCAGAATGAAGACAACATGCACATTGAGTATGCTTTTAGAACGAAGTCAGATTAATTTAATTAGTCAGAGTGCATTTAATATGTTTTTTTTTTTACTTTTTGTTCAATGCTTTAGAATGCCATGTTGGGAAATGGGCTAGTCTTGCAGAATCTTTTACGGATGCAGTTGGCTCAGCAGCAGCTTCTTCAAATCAAGGAAAAACAGCTAAGCAATGTAAGTACTGTGAATTATGTGATGCAATGCATTAAAGTGCATTAAAACTTAAAAAATAAATGTTTCTGTCAATTTGAAGTGCTTCATTATAGAATTAAGGGGTAGGGGCTCTTTCTTTGCAAGCTTGAAATGTAAGTGAAAATTATTTGGTTAACCTTATAGTTTTTGAATGATGACATCTCTAAATTATGTACTTTGCTGTTTTGGGGTATGTGATGATCAAATGTTATGTTAAGATTGAGATAAAAGGTGATCTGAATAGAATGCATTTTCTGTTGGCTGTTTTCTTCTCTAACAGTGGTGTCCTACATTTGTTCGAGTCACGTGTTTTAGAGCCCTTTGATTCTGCTGTGTTTGTTTTTCCGTCTGGTAGGAAGGGTGTCAAAGGTTGGTGCTATAGTACCTCAAGAGCATGACGTTCTTTTCCGCCCCCGATGCTACTGGAACCTTTGCTAGTTTAGTTGTTAAAAAGTGTGCGTATGGTGTATTCACTTTTTGTTCAAATCCACAGAAAAATAGCAATTTAAAAATAATTTTCTGTTAATATAGTGAAAGTCCATAGATAAGATGCTGGATCTTTTTTAAATTTAGAGTTACCAATAATTTTGAATTGCCAACCATCTTTCCTCGCAACAATGACTCCTGAATTCACAGAGAAATGCACACATCCTCCCCTTCATCTTTTGCAATACTATAGGCTCCTTGGCAAAGATTGCTCCTCAGCATTGATTTGAGGAGGGGTGCAGGGTTGCCGGGAAACAGAGCTTTTGCAGACTAATTCCAGCACTGTTCCTTGTAGTGCTAGGGAATCCCAGTCAGTTGGCTAGCGACATGATCCAGGCTAGAACTCGCAACGTCCAGATTATACAGTATACCTGATCCTGAGTTTGGAGCAAGTGTCTATATGGGTTTAGCTACTCTGGAGAGTGGTTGCATCTTTCCCCTGGTCGTTGAAGTTCTGTTAACAAAATGGACCAGTGTCCCTTTCAACATACATGACATCAGCACATTTCTACGTATTTCTTTATATGACATTGATAACTGTGCTTATGTAAAAGGTGCACAGTATGGGCCCTTAATCTTTTTATAGTATTTACACTAGAAAATCAATTTTGGAGTTTTGCCATAATGGATGTATATCTCCTGTTCCGACATAAGCCATTGTTTAATCTGTTTCGTGAATCCAGTAGATAATTGTATATTTTTAGAATGGCTCTTATCCATTTCTTGGACGATTCTGAGTCTGAGAATAGAACAACGCGAGTTACATATTGTCAATATCTCCTTACTAATGTGGAATGTATTTATGTCAGGTGCCCAGCCTACTTGGTGATCCTTCCAGAATATTACTGCAAAAGGCAATGGGCCTGCGGGCTGCTAATCCAATAACCATGGGAAAGGGACTGTTGGGAGACTCTCCTGATGGTGAGTTTACTGATCAGGCAGTGCATTGAAGGGCAAATATATACCAGTAGCTTATATACCATATACCATTTCCCGTAAAACTACCTTCTGGGCTGTTCCTAGTGGAATCTGATTAGCAAGACAAGTGGCAGTGAAACCTTTACAGTTTATATCATCTGTCAAAAGATTTGTTTTTGTCTCTCTCTGAGAACAATAAAATGCAATTAAACCCTTCGCCTGTAAACAGAAGATCATTTATCAAGACAAGAATTTTATTCATAATATATCATATTTGAATCTGAGAAGCACGCCAAAGCTGTCCTGTCTTTGTGAACTTCATCAGACCGTATTTTTAGATGATATTATGCCCCCTTTTAGCATATTTTGGTTTGATTGCATTTTCAAGATTTACAGTCTGCCTTTGGCAATGTGAAATTATATCATTTAGGATTGGGGCATTCATGTTCCTGTCCCTTTTTCCGTGCACTGTTCTGAGAGGAGGTTATGTCTGCTGCAGGGCTGTCCTCGGAAGCTGTGCAGGCATCCTCTCAAGCCCCAGGAGGAGCAGCTGGGATCATGTCTTATATGCCCAGCAGGCAGCACCTGGGACACCCAGCCAGCGCAGAACAGGATGGAGCTGCCGAGAAGCAGCCAGCCACGCTGGGAGCGTCAGTGGCGACTCCTACAATGGCACAGAGCTTTCTCCCGGGCCTGAGCAATTCCATAATGGGAGGCTTGCTCTCGGGAGGCGCTCAGAAACCGCAAACCCTACAAGGGAGCTGTGAAAGCAGCACTGGGGCGGTAAGGACATGACGTAGAGCCTCCCTTTTGATCATTTGCTATAAAATCAGATTAACTCTGTCATATGTAACCTGAACAAATATATGTCATATGACATTTATGGTTTAAATTGCATTTGTTGATACTGTACTCCATATTTTAGGGCTACGTGCCCTACAACAAGCTGACATTTTGTGTTGTATAGTACAGTAAGTAATTGGTGCTACAGTCTACACTGGCTCTCAGGTAGTTATGTTTTAAAAGGCAGATTGGTTTGGGGCTAAGATTTAGAAACAGTAGATAGAGCTTGTACATAATCCGGTTGACCTACAATTTCTGGGCTTCTGCGACATCCCTGACATTTGAAGGAGATGAAATGCGCTGACCTGTTTGGATTGAAAAATGTTGTATAGATTCATAATGAATATGGGTTAAACTAGGAGTCTCACTGAAAGATCAGATCTGTTTCATTATTTAAAAGTAGACAGTTTTTGTATTGTGCATAAAAGGCTTTATTGTTCTCTGTATTGTACAAAGGGGTCTATTAAAATTCAACTCTTAATTGTATAGTAAGGCTGCAAGGAATTTGAAGGAATGCATTTGAAATTCCTGAGTGTATTTTATCAAAAGAATATTTTTGTGTAGGTTATATAAAATTGCATCTGAATTTTGGTTGTCTCTACAGGTTCAAACTAGCAGCCAGACATCACTGCTTGGAGAGCCACCGAAAGAACTGAAGTTGCCTTCAAATCCATATCTGAACCTAGCTAGTGTGCTTCCGGGCATGGTTTTACAAGGTGGTGATTCAGAGTTTTCAACACTCGTTTCTTTTTCCAGCATTAGTCAAGCTTGGTGACACTGCATGAAGTCTTATTTTTTTTACTTCCAAACAAATATTTTACATTTTGTTGAGCAAATAAACTGTACGAATATTTGACTTCTTGCATTATGCAGTGAGATTACTTTATACTATCACAATGGAAAACAATGTCTATGCATCCCTAATCATGTTTGTTTTAATGTTAGTTTTTTGTCATTTTTTCCCCCAAAATCAAAGCTGCAGGTCCTTCCAACACTAAACCTCAGGCTGTTCAGCAGCACAGTGGCGTTTATGGCAGTGCTGTGACTCCATCTGCTTCTCAGACAGCCGGCACCCAGTACACCACAGACAGCTCAAATGAGTATTCTCAACAGTATGGACAATACTCGCAGGTAAACAGCATGATATTGTCTAGGATGAAATACGATGCTAATAATCTGACAGGTTATCGAAGGAAACTTTCTGAAGGAAGTCATAGCAACATGTTTATACCACAGTTCATATAAATATATCTTTCTTTGCACCCCAAAAATAAATCAATTTCTCCACTTCACTGTGAATGGTCCTCACCACCCCCCTCATGTGCTATTTACACAGACTGCTCACTATACAAATGAGAATGATTCACTGTTGTCATTCAAGCTTTTAGTCCAGCTTTCATTGGGTAAAAAAATCAAGCATGTTTATTTAGCAATGTCAGTCATGCACGCCTTGTTCCCAGTCTTCCTTTAGCATTTCATCTTTCATTTGGGGAAAAGAAAAGTCTTGGATTTATTCCTCCTCTTGAAGGAGGACTGTTCAGTATTTTACGAATCTGTGTGGTGTAAATGAAGAGGTGTGTGTATGTAACAGAATATTCTTCCTTGCTGTTCTGTGTTCTATCCCATCTGCTCTCTAACTCCCCCACACTCACCAGTCCCATTGCGTCATACATTCTGATCTCCTAGAGCACTCTGTGGTCTTGGCTGGCCAGCATTCCCTTCAGCTGCATGCCTGTTCTCTCTAACTCGACACACAGAGCCTACAGACACCTCTGACACTGCACCAGTAATTGCCTCAACGGGACAGAATATTGATCCGTGTCACACCATCTCCAGCTCACCAGAGCAGCCGTAGTAAAAGTGAATGTTTGCTAGTATCCAAGCATTAAAGTTGACTTTAGATTTTGATTGAGTGTAAGAAAATAAAATCGTATTGCCCTCTTCTGTTTCTTGTGTTGATTTCTGTCTCGATTCTTATAGGAAGCCATGCAGCAGTGGTACCAGCATTACCAAGCACAGGGGTACACAAGTAATATCCATGAGACGAGTGTGGGCGAGTATGGGAAAGAGCATGCTCAGGTGAGTCCCATAGGAATGCATACTGTCACTGAGTACCAGAGGTGAACTTTGGTTCTTTGGGGAAAACACTAATGCTATTTGTGTTCTTTGTTCTGAAGATGTCTGCCTATGCACAGCCCACATCCAGCTCTTCAGAGTCATATTATGTCCAGGTAATATCTGAAATTGCCATCAATATGTAAAGTTAAGCGTCAAAAAACACATTCTTTAAGCCTAATGCACATCCCCAATATCATATATTTATGAAACCTCTCATTGCACTTACATAATAATGGTTAGGAAATGTCAATTTCCTTTCTCTATAGTATTTTGGAAAATGTTACTATGATCGTGTGTGTATGCTGATTGCCATGTGAATGCAAAGAACAACTGTTAAACCACGTTGTTCTGCTTTTAGTTCAATAGTTGTTCAAATTCTGAATCCCAACATACTTTTGTTCTTATGATTATTCAGCATTATTTTTTAACCTCATTCCTAGCTTAGACAATGTTTTAAGTTATTTCATCCATTTCTGTTTATAGGGAACTCCAACCACATCCTATGGAGATTACAACTCTTACATGCAAGCCGTCTCTCAGTACTATTCTCAGACACAAATGTCACAAGCGGCTTTACAGTCTTACCAATCCAGAGATGCCAGCAAGGTAAAGAATGACACCACTATATCAAAGACTTTGTCAAAGAATGAATAGCACAATAGATTTACCCAGTTCATGGAAAGTTTTTTTTTTTGCATTTTCAAGCACATAACATATTAACAGTACTCTTAAAAAGGTATGTTGATTTACTGGTACATTTCACGTGCTGAAATGAAAGCCAGACACAACTGATTGTATTCTCAGTGTTATGTAAACCTGACTTTACAGCTCTAAAGAACAACTTATACACCATCTTTGTATTTTTGTTTCAAGTGTTTTGTTCTTGCCATAAGGCACTTTATTCAGCAACAGCCGAAGCTGATATGAGGTATTCTTTGTGGTTTTCAGGAGGCTGACACAACAAAATCTTCCTTAGGCAGTTCAGCACACTCTGCCAGCAATGGCAGCAGCCAGAATGTGCACCAGTCAGGGGCAGTGCAGGGCTACAGCTCTCTGCCAATGATGTCAAGCTACATGACAGGGCAGCATGGAACAGCAAGCTCTGCAGCAGCTTCCCAAGTGGGACAGGCTGCTGTAGACTGGAACCAGTACTACTATGTAAGTAACTCAAATGAGGTTTTAAATACACAGTATATGTAATGTTGAAGAAAAAACAGTTTTAGAAGAATCCAATGTAAAGTTTTATTACTTTGTATAGGTGGGCAGTACACCATTAGAGAGGTGTGAATATTTTAAATCTGAAAATAATCAATGCTGTTAAAACATTGCTGAAATGTGTTAAGTGATGTAGAGATGAAAATTTATACCAGAAAACATTTCAGCTGCACTCAATAAATGACGGTTCTAACGGGTAACATCAGCTTTCAAATGATTTCATTAGTTGAGCCATAACTTGGCAGTGAACACCTATATGACTAAACATTTAATATTTCTTGGCACTGCTGCAATAAATATGGAAAACACCAGTGTTAACTTCATGTATTGTAATGAAGTGAAAGAAGGAAAGAGTTCATAAGCAGTTACTAAATATAGTCTTTAGAATCAGCAGTAAAAATCTTACGGCAGATCCAGATATGATTTGCAATGTAAATGTCCGAGTGTATTTGTACTTTTATCATTGGAGCCAGGGAGGAACAAGCAAAGCAAATTTGTAGTGTTGACATAAATATCTCAATAACAAGAATCCAGCCAACCCCAGCCCGGAATGTGTTCAGAAAACACTTTTAGAAACCGTTTTAATCTGAATTCTGCTGTCACTGCCGATTAGACTAAGAGCCTGTTGCTGTCCTTTTCTCTGGCTGTCGGTGAATTTTTGCTTTCCTTTGTTTTTGAAGAACCAGTCACGAGGTCAGAAGCGTGAATTCTCTCAGCTGCCATCTCAGGACATGGCGTCAGATGCGGGTTACGTTGGGCAGCACTCCCAGGGCCTGGGGGGTCAATATGCAGACTATTACAAAAAGAAAAGGATCTAAAAAGCTTGAAATTTTGCCCTCCCTTTCACCCCAGAACCTCTGGTTGTGTCCCATGTGCTTTTGGTACCTCTACTGCTGTTGCTGGTGTTTTTGTCCATGCCTTAACTTTGAACTGTTTTCTCTAGGTTGATGTTTAAATATTTTTTTAAAATGTACATTTTTCCAGTGTACATTAATTTTTTATTTGCATTAATGCAGGACTTACTGCAGGTTGGGTGTTGTTGGATAACTGTAATTATTTAAAGTGGCTTTTCTTGAGATGATAGACGGAAATGGCCTGAAAAGGAGGACATAACCCTGCTTAGAGTGAATGTTTTAATTGAATACATAAAGCAACTTAAATTAATAGTTTTCTTACTGATGTATCCCATTTTCTAGAGCTCAAGATGGTATTATAGCACAGCTTATTTTGCTGTCACTTTTTAAATATAGGAGTGATTAGCCATTTGAACAGCTTCTGAAGCTGCTGGAGCCACAGGGCATAGACACCTGATGGCTGGGATCTGTGGGATTAATTCCCAAATGTGGGAACAAAGATCTTATTTCAAGGATAAAAAACTTCCTTGAGTTTAATGGCCATGAAAAACAATGCAATAAAAAATGGTAGTGTGTTACTGTGTTTGTGAACAATCATGCTGTAGTTCTAGAGTTCTTCTGCCCATTTTCTTTAATAGACTAATTCTGGGTGGTATTACTTAGTTTTTGCATCGGACCTTATGTAGGAAAGCTGATGGTATTCTCTCCCAAAACCACACTGCTAGAGTAAATTCTCGAGGTATTTTTTCAAATATTCCAACTTTTTAAAGCCATATCTGCAAAACAGAAAATGTGTCCAATGGGACTCCTCTGACACAGTGAGTAAGATTACTGACATCAGACGGAGCATTAATGGCAGAGCCTTGTTTTGGGAAAGCATGCCATGAGGGGTAAAGGAATGCCATTAAAATGGAGAATTCCAGTGAAAAGACAGGTGATAAATGATTATACTGTCCTGTTCAGAGTCTATTAAGGAACCGATTGTTTCATGATTTCTCCTGGGACTAACACAGTGTGTGTGGTGGTGAATGTTGCACTTGCCCATTACTCAACCCCTATAACTTTTTTGACACTAAGGCAATATTAATCATAACATAAACCCAATAGTACCCGTTATTACTACTCTGTGGCATATGTAGTCTCTCTCCTTTATTTATCCAGTAGTGAAATGGTTGGTTATACCATCGCTAATCATCTGATGAGAGGAGAGATGGTAGTGTTTTTTCTAATATATTTTTTTTAGAGAAACGTTTAGATACAACAATAACCACTATGAACAGATATTCTCAGAAAACGTTATTACAGAAATGGGCAAAATACCTTCCTGATTTTTTTTAGTGCTTTGTTCAATAAACCGTTTTGTTTCAACTGCTTAAAACACCTTTATTGTGTGAGCAACTCATTTCTTTGAGCCTTAAAAAGGCAATAAATTCAACACTGTAGTGAAGGCTGTAAATAAAAATGCAATTGTATATTTAGACAGGTTCTATCTATCATTGTAATAATAAGAATGTTTTCTTGAATGCAGGCAGCTGTCTTGCATCTATTCAGGATTTTTTTAAAATGATGTAATCAAACCAATAAAGCCCTTTCTGGGCAGTCAGTTAAACTAAAGTGTGTGACTTTGACCCCTTAAATTACATTCAAAACCCTGGTATCAATAGATTAAATATTTAAAACATTTTGCAAGCGTGTCAAATGTATGAGTATTTTGTTTGGTTGATTTGCAAGTTTGTAGTTTTCCCTTATTGTTCATAAGCCAGTGTCCCGAGATTTTTCCACTCTGCCTTGCAGCATACTGTGAAATGAGGCACTTAGTTTGTTTTTTGTGGGGTTCGGAAAAAGATCCCTCAAGTTTTTGTCCCACACTGTTTTCAAAATGTACTGATGCTTGAATTCTTTTCTCTCTGGGTGTTCACAATGCTGTAGACAGTAATAGGTCATTTGTCTTTTTGGTTCACTTGCTGTGATTGGTCCTATTCTATGGACAAGATCTGCCTCAGAAGTAGCCTCATGACTTTCACTAACAAGGACTTAACTAATATTTACCTCAGAGAAACCATCAGTTAAGACATTGTTCGCAAAATGATGAAACAGCTAAGTATGAGGTTAAGTATCAGAACATTGGTATCTGTTCTTTTACATGAACTTGGAAACCTGATGTGATCTATGCTTCTGTGTTCACTTTAAACTTTGCACAAGAGCCCATTGCTGACGAAACATAGTATGTTGCCAGATAGGTCTGTCATGCAAATTGATTGCAAACAAGTCAGCATTGGCGCATTGCTGCAATGAGCAAAGGGTAAAAGAGTTCGAAATGTCAATATAAAAATGTTTTTGGAACAATGATGTCTCCACCAATAATGAGAGGTAAATAATCGTTTTGTGCTCCACAACCAATTGAGTTTAGCAAATACATGAAGTTTTAAATTACAAAGTAACTGAGCCAATAACTCTAACTCAAAACTATTGGCCTCTCTGTCTTACTTGTTTCAACATTAAAGCAAATGTCCAGGACATGAACCTACTTTGTATGCTGATGGTGAAAACTTTTAATTCTTATTTGAAAAGCATTTGTCTTCAATTTTCCAACTTAAAATTAGATTTTGCAATATTTTATATTTCAGAAATGTTGATATTGCTTAACTGTGAATAAGCTATTTTTTAGCAACAATTTGACTTCAGCATGCCTGCATTTACAGCTGTAATATAAGATTGAAAATGTTTTCAGTAATAGATATTACTCATGAAGCTTTTGATTTGGAAAATAATTTAATATTGTGTATTTATGTACAATTTTTTTCATCCGTCATCCTCCTATTCCCTTTTCTGAGTCTTCTGAAAATGATTTTTAAATTGAAGGAATTGTCTTTTACATTCCGAAATAAATGTTGACTGAAATGCTGAAGAATTTATTCCGCTTCATTTTTTTCTTCTTTTCAAAGCATGTACTTTCCAAGTGTGTTTTTTTTTGTTTAACTTCTTGTTATTAAAAAGAAACACAGCGCTAAGACACTCACTTGGGGTGTAGCAGGATTCCTTCAAGGTTTTTGGCTGCCTTGTTCATCTGTAATAAATTGGGTGTCCTGTAATTTGCTTTGTCAGTATTTCTATCCTATTAATGTTAATTTTAACCTGTTTGAACAAAGATATTTCTCTTGTTAGACTTTTTTAAAGATTTTTTTCATTTCACATTATGAGAAAAATGTTTATGCTGAATTTATATGCATTATGGATTATGATTCTTAGGTTACACTGTCCTCTAGTGTCCAGCTTGGATATTTCAATAACTTGATTTTTTTTTCTTCCTTTTAAGAGCCATCATACTGTATAAATTAATGACATACCTGGGTGTTATTTATGTCCATGTAGTTAAACTCTTCAGGTTGCACTCATACTAGTATGTAATACTGTTGGTTTTACATGTTACTATATCCCATGTTTCTTTTGCAAAGTATTTTCTAGGTTACAGTCTTGATATATATAAATATGCAAAGGCATGTTGATAGATACTATTAAATGTGTCAACACTAAAGCACTGTTTATGTGCCATGCTGGCAGTTCTCCACTAGCATTCAGCCTCTGTCAAATGCAGGCCAGAGGAGAAAGGACTGTCATTCTACAGACACGGCTCAGTACTATGCTGGAAACAGCTGTAGTTGCTTATTTATAAAATGCTTTAAAACTGCAATCTAGATCATAAATATATACAGTATAATCAGACCTGTGTGCTTCTATTTGACATAAAATGCGTATGAGTGCTGGTGTTATTTAACCATTAAAGACGATGCTGGAAAAAATTACATCCCTTTTTGTAGCTTGTGAAATAGTAACGAGATTTCTCATTGCCAAAAAGGTTAATTTGTGTGCAATGTTACCAGAATTTGGCCACAAAAGGATTTGGATCTGCTGGGTTTGTCTTCGCAGGCCAGCAAAGAGAACTTCAAAGAAAGGTGTCTAAAGGGCACAGTTTTTAAGATGAAGTGCTGAACTGGATTAGAAGAACAAAGGGTTTCCTTGTAGTAGATTGTTATGCTAGTAGGTTGCAGAAAAGCTTTGAAATTAAACAAATATTGTCATGGTGAGTGTTATTGCAGCTAGCAAATCTGCCCTTAATTCTCACCTCAATTACCCCTCCTGGACGAGGCACAATAGCTAGACTACCTCCATTGTCTAAGCCTACTACTGTATATGACTAGACATTCTAATGAACTGTCACAATACATTCTCAGAAAAGCTTAACTTGTGTATTAGTAGCTCACTAAATCTCAGTCATAGAAATAATATTCCAAACATTGTATATCTTTATTTAATAAAATGCATACATTTAAGCAGACAGATAAAGAGAAAATTAATGCCAGTGGTTTGTAAGAAACAAATGATTGCACACATTACATTGACATGGAAAAATAATTACAAAAAATGGAAAAAAAATAATGGACCTAATCTAATGAAAAATGTTTTCTAAAATGTTGATATATTTACAGATTAAAATGACCTGCTGAATATCATAATTAACAGTTTTAGGTATCTTTAGTCTCTAGGAAGTGAGTGAGCATTTGGTAGGATGAACATTGCCAAAAGCCTTGTATCTGTTTTATGCTTAAAAAATACTGCTGTTCTGTATTTGAAAATAACATTTACTGGGTACCACATGCAGAAACTTGAAAATAAATGAAATAAAAATTTTAGGAAAACACAAAAGAGTTTTCAGTAGAATGATCATGTCTTCTGTATGTCCGTCACTTCCTGTTCGCTGTATCTCTTTCAGTCAAGTTGACAATTTTTGTTTTTACATCTTTTCTATGAGCCCCTCGAATACCTCAATCAAGCCTTTGAACTCAATCCTCTTCTCTGGAGCGTGCTCCCAACATTTCTTCATTTGCATGTAAACCTGTAGTAAACGGAAAGGAGAAAGTGTTCCCTATATACCTTCACAGCACCATTGTATTCTTGATACTGAATAATCAAGCTAGATTGAAAAGTTGAAGAAACAAAGACTTTTAAAATATAACCAGTGCCAGCAGTCCTCCAGCCTGGATCTTTGAAAAGTATTTACGACGGCACCTTGCATCAATCACCACAGTGCTAACTGATCAAGCTCAATATCGCAGTGCTCACTAATACAAATGTATTTAGACAAATACTTCATTCATCATTACTTCATTTGGGTGTTTACCAAAATAGGAATCAACAGCAGTCTCAGGTTTATTCAAAATCTATATTAAATAAAGTTTGCATATAAGCAGACATCTGTAGAATCATGTAAGCCACATCGCCAGAGCCTGATGGTATCTACCCATTTGTACTTAAGAAAAGTTTTTTTTTGTTTGACCTATAAATAAAACTCCATCATCCGATTTTAAAGTTGTATTCATGATTACCTAAAAAACCACAAGCGGTCAATTAAGGGTTTAAATAAGAAGTGAACTACAGAGTCCTGTGGGAGTGAAAACACCAGACTTCTCAAGGACAAGTCATTGGAAAGCCTGACCTAAATACTGGCTTTCAAGAATATATATATAGCACATACGTAAATACACCTTTCTTGGCTAGGGTAAAATACATATGGCAGCAGACTACTAATGCTATAACCTTACCATTTCCGGACAATTCGCTGGGCATGGTAGCCGTTTTCCGTCTTCCAGTACTTTTACAAGTCTAGTCACTGTCATTTGACCTTGGGCTGGACCAATCATCTTCAAGAACATCTGGAAACATGTCGAGATCATTCTAATTTGAGCATTAAAAATCGAGCATCTGCAGCATTTAAACAAATACATCCGTTTTTCGTCAGCTGCTCAGTGGAGCTCTGAAAAGCCATAGATTAAATGGGTAATTTGTGTGCTCTGAAGTACAAGAGAAGCTGTGCTGTAAGTACTGTATGACAGCTGTGCTCCACTCTTTTGACTAGCCCAAGCTGCATGTAGCCTTTGGGCAAGTCATCTGTCGAAGCAGGCAGAGAGAGAAGCCATCTGCTGTGCTAGAAAGATGGGACTGAATCCCAGGTTATTGGGTTTAAAGTTTGTTAATTGTTCAAATAAAAGCTAGTATAAGCTTTTTCAAATGTAGCACAACATTCTTTTTTTATTAACAGTAAATCAATTTTGTTTTAAACATTTGACCTTGAACTGTAATTCTTGGTTTAAAGTGGTTTACACTAGCAAAGTGCAGTGAAGGGATACTCATCTGATACGGTCTGGGATATGTAAAAAACAGGCTGCAAAAATGAATTGCAAGGCTGTTTGCGTACCGTCATTGGGCTGCATTCAGACTCGCAGTAGGTTAGCAGTTCATACATGGTCACCCCAAATGACCAAACATCTGAAGCAATGTAGAATTTGCAATGGACCAAACACTCTGGAGCGTACCTATAAAGAGGATTCACACAAAAGTATATACCACATTAGAGAAATGATGTCAGAAAGTCTCCTGCACAACCTTGACAGGGTTGCAAAGTCAATACAAAAAAGTACCTTGAATATTAAAAATTAACAGCTGTGTTCTAATGGCTATCTGAATAGCCTTATGTATCAACATAACATATAAAGAGATTTCCATGAGCTATGACTACTTTCTGAACAGTTCTCTTTCATTACTCAACACGCTCAACTGCTCTGTGTCTGTCCTCCCCTACCCCTACTTACCAGAAAACAGGACTGTCCAGATCATCCTTCACAGTGTAGTATCCCTCGTTGTCTTTGATGGTTTTAGTCAGGCCAAAGTCTCCAATCTTCACTGTGTTTTCATTTTCTACAAGGACGTTTCGTGCTGCTAGGTCCCGATGGATATAATTCCGGCTTCCAAGATAGTCCATGCCCTTGAAGAAATCAAACGTTTTAAATACATGGGTATAACCCTGTGAAAAACGGCATCCTTTTTTCAGATTAAGAATGTGAAAAGTAAGTGAAAGACATCTAGTATTTGACCTATTACCTATTGCTCCTGTGAGAAAAGGCCTATATTCTTACTGTACGACGTGTGACACTGAACTTACCTGACATATTTGAACAGCGTATTTCAGGAGTTTTTTCAAGTCAGTTTTTTGTTTGTTTCGTGGTAGGTACTCCTTCAGACTGCCCGCTGGCAGATACTCCATTATAAGCTTCGTTGTTCTCCCTGGGGAAAAAATGTGGGTTTTTCTTAAAATCTGCTAATGGACTAATTTATCACTTAAAACATACTTGTCTTATGCTTTGATTGCTTAATTTGGTTCTGGCAAATTCCATCCATCCATTTTCTAGCTGCTTCATCGATATTAAGGGTCACGGGGGATTTCGGCACTCAGCCGGCACAAAGCAGACTCACAAAAGGGCCAGTTTTCCTTGAAGCCAGTTAATCAACCAGCTTGTTTTTGGACTGTGGGAGGAAACCCATGCAAACGGGGAGAACATACTGTACAAACTCCAAACTGACATCACCCCAGGTCTGGAACTGAACCCAGGGCCCAAGCACTGTGAGGCAGTGCTACCCATCTAGGAAATTCAATCGTCTAAAAAAAAAAATACTTTCACTGTGATGGAAAGCTGGTACACCTCTCATGGACTAAATTTAAATGTTTATCTGTATTTCCAGCTGCCCTTCGGATGTGTCATATGATTCAGTTCCTAATGGTACAGGAGACTCTTAATATAATATTTAGAAAATCACCCACAAGCATAATGTACATTAAAACAAAATAACTTGAACTCTTGGAAATATAGTTTCCCTGGCAATGACTGAATGTTGAAAACGTCACTTTTCTGGTTAGACTTGCCTTCTTCTCTGCAGATGCCTTTGTATTTCACAATGTTCTCATGATAAAGGCTTTTCAGGATGTCGATCTCTCTGTGGAGGTTGGTGTCCTGCTCGTCCTTGTTTTCGGGCTTCAGCGATTTCACGGCCACCAGCTCCCCTGTGCGGTCCATGTCCGGGTCATATCTGCACAACTCCACCTTCCCGAAGTGACCCTGAAACCACACCGACAAGGCTGTTAGTCCATCCTGTTAGCATCTTTAACATGCTGAAGTCATTTCGAGAAGGACTTGACTCCTGGTCCTTCGATCCCACCGGACACTGATGTTGCTCTATAACCTTAATTCAGTTAAATCAAACTTTTGGGTTTTTTCCAATACTTAAAAAAAGGGAACTTTTCGGGTCGCTTATGAGTTGAGGCAAAATAAAATCTGTTCCAAAAAGCAGACCAAAAAGGTATAATTAGTAAATTACATATTAAATGGGGAGTTTGATTTGAATAAGCAAGAGCTCAGCTAGAAAAAAAACAACAGAGGCTGGAGTGACAAGGACCTTGGCTGGAAAGTCTTGATTTACAAGGAAAAAGGGATAATATGTAATGATACATCATTCGGCTATTCATGGAGGTTAATAACCTGTTTCCCAAGCGGTTCAGGCATCTGAATGCCTGGTCTGTGTTGACAATTCTATTTTGTTGATACAGCTGAACCCTGCCACACAAAGGATTTAAATAAATAGATCAAGTAAAATGGTTCAACTCCACACACCTCTCCAAGATCTCTTATCTTCTTCAGGAACCTCTTCTCAAACACTGTGGGATCTACTTCCTGGCTGGGCATGGTACCAGAAACAATCTCAGGATCTGTGTGGGAGAGGTTTGTAAGTATTCCACAGACAATAACAGACCGTGTTAGTGTTTTACTTGGCATGCTTGCATTTTAGTTCAATGGCTTACTTATCCAATCTCCTGTTTAAATAGAAAGGCCAGCACTGCAGTGTGTATGTCATTGTATGCTTTAAATAGAAACAGAGTTGAAGATACTGAATGCAAAAAGACAGATGTGTGATTTCTGTGACATCCACGAGGTGGGGACAGTGAGGGGAGTATTAGGAAACCAACAGGCCACTGTAGAAGCCGAGATAAGAGTGAGAGCTAACGCGACCAATAAAAATTCATCCTGCCTGCTTTTTTTGTCTTTTTGCTCATCTTAATGTGGTTTAATTGGTTTTGTTTTCAATGTGGTACCAGGTATTTAAAAAAATCACCAGAGGAGTTTTGGCCAACATTTATTTTTCCTTTTCAAATGAGTAAAAATGGCTAAATACAGCCTTATTTATTGAAAAAAAAACATCCCCTCTGCTTTCAAGGAACATATCCCAAACGCAGGAAAAAAGCCAGTTCAATGAAATTGTTCCTCTCCAGTTTTCTCTCATGGAAGTCAAAAGTTATGACACAGAGCCAGCAACCATTACCAGTGATGAGTAATGGGATGAGAGCAAACAGACATAAATGCACACACACCAAGCCAGTTATTCCAGAAGCCAAATTGACCTGCCAAATTAACCAAAGTAGGCCTTTGAACTGTGGGAGGAAACCGGATCACCTGAAGCAGTGGTTCTCAAACTTTTTGGACCAAGTACCACCCCTAATCCAACCAAAGCATCCAAGTACCACCTTCAAGTCATCATCTCATAGGAACCTCAGAAATTCTCAATGACCAACATGAGCGCGCTTGCACACACTCACACATACATATAATATTATAATAATAAACTTTGTTTGATATATTAAAATGTGGCTTCTCAAAGTGTTTTACAGGAAAAAAAAAACAACAAATAAAAATAAAAAAGCACCATTTCAGTGAGAGGGGTGAGCCTGTTTAGTCGAGCAAAGCAGATGTGAATTAATTTTTCGAGCCTTGATACAATTCACAACAGTCTTAACAGATTTTAAATCGTCAGGCATTTTCTTGACGGCAAAGGTCTTGCGGTGGATGATGCAATGAAACCATTAATTTCTGGAGCAACCTCTTTAATTCGTGCAACTACACCACTGTGTCGGCTTGTCATTGCTCTAGCACCGTCTGTACATACTCCGACACATTTTATCCAGTCGATGCCATTCTCTTCGATAAATTCATCCAGAAGCTGAAATACGTGCTCTCCTGTAGTTCCTGTTGGTAGCAGCTTACAGAACAGAAAGTCCTCACGGGACGTACCCTCAAACTCGTATCTAACGTAAACGAGTGAATTGGCCAAATCGACTACAGACTCATCTAATTGCAGTGAAAAACATCTGCTCATCTTAACGCGCTCTATCAGCGTACTTTTGATATAATCCTTTATTTCAATAATTCTATGAATGACTGTGTCTTTCGGGGGGGGGCAGCAGGTTGAGCTGTTCAGCAGCTTTTTCTCCACACATAATAGTGTGGGGCTTACCTGCTTTTGCTATCCGCAAGCTTGCATTTTTCCACGTCTCCGTTTTTATTTCAGTGTTTATTTTAAGTATTTATTTCATGCGGATGGGAGAGAAACACAGAGACGCTCTGTGTATTTTTCTCAAATTAACTTAGAACAGTTCTTAAATATTTTTCTGTTATTTTTCACACTTTCCTATGCTCACAAGATTACCAGCGTTCGTAGCACGCATTTCTATGCATTCCTGTGTTTACAACGTTGGCATTGTTCCAAAATCACGCACATTCTCCTTTCTCCCTATTTGCTGGAGATACAGTAGCTTTTTTTTAAATACAATTGGTCACTTGCGTCGGTAGCACGCATTCCTATAGAGTGGTATAGAATTACAGAGTATCTCTTGTGTCCACTGAAGTATTAGCGCGCACTGTATCGTAGTACGTAGGCTGCGTATTCGACACATATAAAAATACAAAGTATGAAAACCCGTCTCCCGATTTTTTCAGCGCACACAACACAGTTCCAGGGTCATTTGGCGTACCACCTGGCGGCACGCCACGTGCCACAGTTTGAGAACCACTGACTTGAAGGAATCCCATGCAGAAATGGGGACAACATGCAAACTCCACCCAGATAGCACCCCAGGTACAGAATTGAACCCAGGGCCCCAGCACAGAGATGCTGCAATGCTAACCACTGCGCTACTGTGCCGCCTATTTTAAAAGCATAGAATGACGACTCAAAAATAATGTTATTAAAGGGGTCCTTAACTTCAAGCCCCCGACATCTAAGAACAAAGTCAACAGTTCAGACCTAAAATAAAGGTTCAGGATCTCAAATTTAGATGCAGTTTTGATTAATGTATGGACAAGAATTGAATGTTTTTATATCATGCTGATTACTTTTAGAATATAGCCCTGGCACGTGAGATCCTTTATCTGTATTTGAGTGAAAGCAGATGGTTTGTGGTCTTACTTTGTTCCTCCAGCTTGTTAATGTCTCTCATGATTGCTCTGAAGAAGGGTCTCTTTTTGGGGTCGTAGTTCATGCACTGCTTCATGAGATCAGCGAGCTCTTTGCAGTCTGGTGTGACCAGAGCGCATTCTGCTGCATAAAACCTCTCTTTCTGCAGAGAGAAAGTAAATCACAATGAGAACAGACTGTCCAAGAAAGCAACAAGACCTTTATTGAGGTTGATGCGGGAGCTGCGTTAGCATGTGTAGGCTGCAAATCAAAAAGTAAAGTTTTATTTCAGAAAAGAGAACAAAAGAAACACAATGACAATGACTCCACAAACAGACTGTGGAGCCTTCTTCGGCTGTGGAGCCTTCTTCAGTAGTCACACAACGTTTGTTAGGCTCTGATAGCCGGAACATTCTGTTTCTTTTCTTCTCTTTTCAGCATGGAATAAACTCTTGCAGCTATCATTACCAACTACATGCAGAAGATATACATGGAAAGAATCCACTTCAGTTTTCACCTCATTTGAAAACATAGCCCAAGAGTCATTAGTAAACTAAATGACTTCATTCCAGTCAAATTCACGTTCTTTAGCTTTAAATATTCTCATCTAAGGGTACAAACGGCTTGTTAGGGATTTTGTCTTAAAAACAATGTGCATCTTTTGGCATTGCGACTATGGCAAGAGAAGACTAACTCAAAACTGACCACAATGCTACAGACAAGAATTTCAAGGAGCAATCTGAAAATAATTTAGAGGGTTTTCATAAGCAACTAGCAGAACACGATCCATTTTGGTGGTGAAGGTGCCTCTTCCTGTTGTTGCCGGATTACCTCTGTGAGTTTCTTGTCTTTTAGTGGTGCTTCTCCATCATAGCAGATTTCCCACAGCGTGGTGCCAAAACTCCACTTGTCTGCTGCCACACTGAGGTTGCTGGTGTTCTTAATACACTCTGGGGCGATCCAGGGGATTCTCTCCACACATTCTGCAAAATAGAACAACACAGTCAACCACAGTGTAGACGTAACTGGGACATGGCTAGACCTACAGACAGGAAAAAGGTACATATGCAATGTATTTCGACTTGTTTACTAAGGATCTCAGTTAACTACTCTGGCTCGGTAAATGTGATCAAGAACATGTGGTAGGAGCTGTGATTATACTGCATCATTGTGTTTTTAGTTTCAAATGTGTGAATGAGATTTCAGGCAACACTATGATGGCTGAAAATATATTCTTTGAAGTCTGTACTGAAAATCAGTCTTTCAAAAATCACTTGTGTAACACGGTATTGAGTATACTCAATACCATGAACACTGCAGCTCCTTGAAAGGACATTTCATAAGACAGGAGCACAGAAATCAAAGTTTTAGCTTTTGAGGGGTACACCTTTTGACAGATTTCATCCCAACTTTTCACCCAGCATTAGATGTAAGGATTTAAATATATCCATTTCATATTGCTGTGAGGGCAACTGGGTTTCAGTGAAATTAGTTTGCAGTTCACATTTTATTCTAAAAGGTTTGGAACAATGGATATTGTTTTCCAGTATCAGCTGGGCCTTGAGACAAGTAAACAGGGCAAAAGATGCAGATGATCAAAAGGGGTCTTGAAAGTTTACTTAGCATAATTATTAACTTCACTGTTCATTATCATTAAGACCGCCTTTAAACAAAAAATATCCAACAGTGAGCAGGCCAAGCCTAATTATGGTCCATCGGAATGGACTGTAGCATAAATACAGGAACAAACACAGAGAAAATGCAAAAGCAAGGACAAGAAAGACATAATCATCACAAAAATAAGTGCCCTGAGATTTTGTCGAGGTAGTCTGAATGCTGAAAGAATACCTCTTTATCATTCAAAGAGAGCTTGTGATCTTCTTTATTTGGACATTTTGATGAATGTTATTGTGTATCCTGCTGGCTAAAACACCTCTTCTGTTTTTAGTGGTGCATTGTTACATTAGGGAAATTGGTTTGTGAACATCCATTTAGAGAGGGAGATTTAGTCTTGGTTAGGGCCCATTTTGTTCATTAACACGGGTTTTCTCTCTGCAGCCTGTTTTATTGTGTTCAGTTTGTAAAGACAGAATTCTAGGATTTCCTACTGTATGTCTGTTGAAAGTGGGGCTCTGGAACTCACAGCTCTTTAAATACTGGCATAGTTTAACCATTGTATGGTGTTGTAATGTTGTTTTTGCATATTCTGTTGTTAATAAATATTTGTTTTGGGACAGATGATTATTTGATTATCTAGTTGTGTAGTGTGCTTTCTGTGTATAACGGCTGGAAATGTTATCACCACCTGGTTTGTTACAACGTAGATTTTAACAGATACTTTGCATCAGATACTAGCTCTGGCACAAGCAATATATAGAGAAACAGGAGAGAGTCTACCTTCTCTTGAGAGCACAGTAATGGGAATACCAGGGTCGCTCAGTTTGATGAAAGGACTCCCTTCATACTCCAGCCCCTTCCTGGCCAGGAGAATATTCTTTGTACACACATATCCATGGGTCAGCTTCTTGTCCTCCTGAATTTGGAATAATGAAAAAATGTATTAAAAATGTTATTGAAACCATGTTTAAATTAGGAGCAGCAGCATTCACTTGGAATAAATAGATAATAAATGGATTTTGTTTCGACATGCATTTCATTGACAGTCCGTTTCCATATTAAAAGTGACACTTTACTATGACTTCTGAAAACTTCAGGTCTCTCACAGCTGCCTTTTTTTTCTTCTTGAGGCCCAGTGCACAGAGGCACAAACCTTTATTTCCACTTCTGCTCAGAAAAGACATCTGCTAATTCATTCTGTCAGGAAACACTTAACTATTCAAACCCAGGTGACATGTGTCATTGAAGAAGTGAGACTCAGGCATGTATTAAAACAAAGAAAAGCAGAAGTATTACACTAGACTGTATCATGGCTTGAAAAAATAATGTGTTGTAAGAATAGTTTGTGAACAATGTCTTAAGAGTTTTTTTTTAAATTACCATATTGACTGGCGCTATGAAGAATGATGAAAAGATTGCAGTGTAAAATTTGGTTTGAGGAACGGTTTTTCCCATACCAGTTTGCAGTCACACTGTGCCTTACAGTATCTTACCAGGTAACTCAGAGCGCTGGCTAGCTGCTTAGCAACTTGAAATTTCCAAACTGGCGTCAAATGACTGCGCTCCTTACGCATGAAAACATCCAGAGGGCCGGACTCGACAAATTCCTCCACCATAATATCTAAAACAAGGGAACAAGAATATGGGTTTTTATGAACTACTGATTTTAAGGTGCTACGTATAACTACAGTATACACCAGTTCCACCATTAAAAGCACAGAGAGGACATTGACTGGTTTGGGTCTGGGGCATGTCATCAGTCTATTAGTTATCAATGTTGTCGGTAACCACTTCTCTTTTCTGGTACTCACTCTGCTGTAATGCACTGCAGAGCTCGCAGTGTTGTTGGTAAAAGTACTGTCAGTAACTGCTCCTCCAGTCACTGCAAATTGGCCTATATGACACTATGGGGCTTGCTGTGACAAATGATAAACAGTTCAGATATGTATTTCCAGAGTCTGGTCACAGATCTTCACACTCCCAGGGCAGTCTAGAGCTAGTGGCAGTTCATTAATGGCAGGCCAATTAATTAGCGGAATTAAATTTAAAATGGAAGTCTATAAAATAAATTCCAAGTTCTATATAAAAAAGGAACAAAATTCTGTAAACAAAATAAAACACTACAGCAGCATAAAAATGTGGAACTGCTTCAGTCTGTGAAAGCAAGATAACACTAAAGAGCAGATAACATTTCTCTCTGTGAAAAAGTTGCCCTTACTTTTAACTGCTTTAACTTTACCATCACTGTTTCAGGAGTTGCACTCAATGTCGGGCATATACTATATATAATCTGCATAATAAAAGACGTCCATTTGGTTTGGCAATTAATTTTAAAAATCCTAGCTAAGTTTGATTTGCTTCTCAATACCAAATGCACTTACTTTCCATGTCTCTCACACAGACTCCGTGCAGAAGGGCAATGTGTTTGTGGGAGACTTGGCGCATCATGCTGGCTGTCTCAAAGAAGGCCTGCAAAAGGATAAATGTGATGAGAGTTGAGCATACAAACGTCCAGACGTTAGGTGGACTAAAGCACAAAGCACACTGAGAGAGGTTCTTACCATTGAGATGTCTCTGTGCCTAGAGCCCAGTACCTTCAGAACCACCTTCACCTCGTTCACAGCGTACAAACCATCCTCATCATCCTCACTCTTCACTTTCAGGATACCCACATAAATGTTTGTCCTTGTTCCTAGGCCCAGATGATCTCCCTATTAAAAGGGGGCACATCAAGAAATTAATATGCTTATTGTTTTTAAAATATCACATATTCTTGTCTGAGATGGACTGGTGCTCATGTTATACCCTCCGTTGTGACCGTTGCTTGCTGTGACTCCCCCACGACACTGGATTAGCAGAAGCGTTTAGAAAATGGATGGATGGTTAGAAAATAGATGTATTGATTTATTCTGGTATATGTTGCAAAAAAGAGGCTTTTGCACTCTTTGTTATCTTTAACATACAGAGTACTGCAAAGCAATGCATCTAGTCTTTTCTTTACATAAATGTACAGAATTGGACAGTAATGTGTTTAAATCACCAAATCCTGACCTCTGTTATTGTAAACGTTCAGAGAATTTGTGTATTTTGAAGGATAAATTGTCCGGTGCAATAACTGAAACAATATTATTTATTTCATTACTTGGCTCAGTTTTTTTCCTGTGGGCAAACTGCATCTCATTTATTTTCAATGGAGCAGGCAATTTGCCCAGGCCAAATTTAAACACCTTTTGTGAAAAATCGTATTATGCTATGAATTATTTGTGAAGAGTTCGCTCTGTTCAAAGAATCACTGAAAGCAACTTCTGCAATAACATATCATGTGAAACAGATTCTAAAGAGCTATAAAGATGTCTGATTGAATTTACTCTTTAGTCTTAAAATAAGACCTCCAGTCTGAATGTACTGACATCTCAGTTCTCATTAGAAAGGGGCAGTGAGGCACCATTTGGATATACCTGTACAATCTCCTCCTTTAAGATCCTGTGGAAGCTCAGCTGGCTGTCTTGCAATGGACTCTGGGTTTCAGGGGCTGTGTTGTTTGTCACCACCAGCAGGTTTGAAATTTCTGAAACAGAGAGCACTATTGGATGCTACACAGGCTTTGGCAAGAATTACAGAGCTGAGAAGCACTCGTGTGATGAAATCTACTGCTTGACTTGTTCATGCAGTGTGTATCAGGATTGATCACTCCTTAACTGCGTGCATAAAGCATTATTATAAAGACATTTGAATAACAGTCTTATCAATAAATGTTAACAATGCTGATAAATTACCTATAACTGGTAGTTTTGTGTTGAAGATGCACCTTTCACTCAATTAAATAGCTCTTCTTTTTAAAGGCTTCACTGCGTAGGTGTACAAGGGACAATGTTGTGTGGGTTTAAGAGCTTGTGGTTTGTCATACTCATGTGGGTTTGCAGACTGGAAAACTTAAAAGTGTATCTGTGTCAAGTGCGAAGCATCAGTTGAGACTCAAGATATTGCAATTTTTTTTTCTTTGTGCCAGACATTCCTACAGCACTCACACACTTCCTGGTTAAGGGTATATCCTTACAAGCTTTATTTGCAAAATGGATACCATCTAAAATGGTAGAGAAAAATTCCACACATATTACAATTTCATTAATCTATCATATGTACACAAAACATTTCACAACTTTCAACTACCTCGGAAGTAAACAGAGTCACATTGCTCTCATCAGCCGGAAACCACATTTACTATTCTTTTCCTGTTTCACAGAGATACAGCGACATTTAAAAATGTAAACACTTCTGAAAAAGTGCAACATTTATCACAGGCATGTAGCTTTTCAGATTCGTGTACGTACGTTTGTGTTACACAAGAATGAAAATAAACATGCAACCAATGTGCAGTTGTCTAGCTGTTCAACTGCAAACATGAAAAAACGAACTGCCTGAAACAAATGTGAAGTCAGCTCTGAAGTCAACCACACAAACAATCTAAAGGTCAGCCAGAGACCTGGCGTTGCCAGCGGATATCCTTACTGAACACACTGCGTCCCACTGCCTCTCTTATTAGGAGGATTGGACATATTAACCCTCTCGCCACCTTTACCTTTGAAAAGGTTGTGACAGGGAAAAAACCTCAACGTCAGAGTGGTTAAAAACCCACCATCTGTGGGCTTTCAGAAAGAATATCAGATCAGACATCATGTTTGCTGTTCAATCCATATATTAATTATCTCAGTGATGAGTGTATATCTAATGCCATTGGCATCATCTACTGTGGCAGGAAATGCATAATCCATTTCATTATCTCCTACAGTTTTGAAAGGGCACCATGACATGAAAGGACACTAAAAAAAAATGCTGCTCTACAGTAAATGGTACTTTTGTATGTATAAGGGGTACACTATATTTTGTACTCTAAAAACTGAGCTTAAAAAGAAAATGATAAAAAATGCCATCGTGCATACATGACAACAATGCAAAGACACCTATTAAGGAGACACTCTTCAAATAAGACACACCTGGACTAACTGAATAACCGTCACCCTGAAGGAATGAGATTCCACAGGAGGGACAGGTGCAATTACAAGAGGATCTGGAACTCCCATGACTTAACAGGAAGGTGTACTGTATAAGAGCAGCAAGGAGGAAATAGGCAGTAGGTCTGCATCTAGGCTCCAGCAGGGAATGAAGGAGAGTTGAGAGCTGTGAAGGGAGTCTAGACAGCATGGGTCCTGTGCAGGCGTGCAAGCAGATTTATTCATGAAGTCAGATAACTGTGTCTCTGGCCAAACAGGATCAGTCAGTATAGATAGGAATGAAGAGAGAATGAGGTTTTTAAAAAACATGAATCTGACAAGACAGATGGAGAAGAGTTGAGATCAAAGTGCAAAGTGTGTAGTGAGGATAATGACTGATTAGTGCAGGATGATTTTTGAAATGTAGATGCAGAGAGGTTTGGCAGCACAAAGTCAATCGGGTAGAATACACTAGTGAACCCCTTAGGAAAGGGGTTTTAGTACATATTAAGCCAAGTTCAAGGCACCAGTATCTCTTTGTGTAAATGTGACAACTGAGTGGAATTTGCAAATTAGGTAATTGAGAGGAATTCTCCTGTACTAGTCGATTTAAGAGTGTCTGATAATTGAAGAGCTGGGCAGTCTTCAATTCAGCCCCCCTACAGCACAGCATACCTCGTGGCTGAGGAGGACAGCACTTCCTAAGCTGAAAGCTGACATTGTCGGTGCGCAGATACTGTCCAGAGAGATGCTCCAACAGCTCTTTCAGAGAGGACCGGAAAGTGTCGGTGCCACACAGTTTGTACCCGTGGCTCCCCATCTCAATCTGGAAGTTCTTATACTGGCGGATAGGTCTCATATCACAGCTGTCCGACTTTGGAGAGGGGAAAAGAAAAGAGAGAGCAAGAGCTGAGTTAAGACTGTCACGGAAACAGCCACATTTTCTGATCATCATTACATAAGCAGAGATAATATAATCTACAAGTGAACACTGGATGTTAGTGGCTATTGTTTCGAGAATCTTAATCTGATTCAAAAAAGGCCAGGGCTTCCATTATACAGCATTTTATGGCTGCTTTTTAATAGAGAAGAATAGGAGATGTTTGATGAAAAATGGACAACTGGTAAACAAAATGATTAAAATGATTAAAAATGATTAAACTTGAAATATGGCACAAAAACCCATCCAAGCACAATGTTCTGGAAAAGACAGAGCTCGTTCTCAAGCTGCACAAGGGGACAGAGGTACCTCAATGCAGGCCACAGTCATGAGGATGCTGTTGTAGTCAGTGCAGCTCCAGCGCAGAACATACATCCCTTCCTCATTCCCCTCCTGCCTCAGTTTGTGAATGGCATACTCAGTACTGAAAGGAGAGTCAAAATCTCAATGCTCTTCCATCTGGCAAATGGGACTAATGTATACAGTACATGCTAGCTTATGTTAACACACAGAATACACACAGAGTTACAGAAGGAATAACAGTTAGTATAGGAACAAGTAATAGGTTTATTCCATGCTGAAAAGAGAAGAAAGAAAACACAATGTTTCGGCCGTGGACCCTTCTTAGGCTCCAGGGCCGAAACGTTGTGTTTTCTTTCTTCTCTTTTCAGCATGGAATAAACCTATTACTTGTTCCTTTGCAGCCTACGCATGGTGACGCAGCTACCCACCTCAATTATATCAGTTAGCATGACTACAATACATCAGTCAATTACAATTTCTTATTTGCAACGGTTGCCACGTGACTGTGGTTTAAGCTAATGAGATTTAATCTCATACCATAATGATTGCATTGTTTTCATTGCAAAGAGTTTCTCTGCATCTTTTACTTGCTGAGTATTGTGTTGTTGGACATAAACAATCATCAAAACACCATTTTCCTGTGATGTCACTTTTGACCTCATTGAAACTTTGGTCCTCACCAGTTACACGGTAAGGACAAAAGGGAAATGTAGGAATTTATAAGCCCTACTATCACTAAAACAAGATATGGGCAAAAACAACTTGTCAAATACTCCAGTCACTCTGGAAGTTAAATATCCTAGTAAAAAAATTACTATAATGATAATTTATCATGAACACTGTGAAAAATCACTTTGTGTTGTTGGTGATAAATGTGATCTAAAACTTGGGCATGTAAAAAATACTACCAAATGAGGAACTTCTAGTACAGAAAAAAGAAATCTGCATTTGCAATAAAAGAAGGAATTTATCAATAAAAAGCAAAGCACATTTTAAAGGGATGCAAAATGTGTGTGGCTTGACTATAATACAAAATATTCACACAGGGTAAACCCCACCAGGACATGGGCATTTAACTACTGCTTAATCAAGATTATTTCTTAATCCTCCATCTAAAGATAAAAGACTCTTTTTGATAGACAAACAAATTTCGGAATGCAACAAAAAGACAAGATCTTTTATTTTCTTTGCTTTCCCAAAAACGAAAAATATACTGTACACACGACCCTTGACTTTACTACTTCATCTCTGCACAATAAAACTGTTAATGTATCGCAGTTTAAAACAACACTCGGTGTAACAGAAGGATCGTATTGGATTGTATCGAAGCCATATCACCCTGCAACTCAGAACTGGCAACCCACTGAAGCTAAGCAGGTGAGAACCTTGTCAGTACCTGGATGGGAGACCTCCTGGGAAAAACTAAGTTTGCTGCTGGAAGAGGTGTTAGTGGGGCCAGCAGGGGGTGCTCACCCTGCAGTCTATGTGGGTCCTAATGCCCCAGTATAGCGACGGGGACACTATGCTGTAAACAGGCGCCGTCCTTCGGATGAGACGTAAAACCGAGGTCCTGACTCTCTGTGATCATTAAAAATCCCAGGTCGTTTCTCAAAAAGAGTAGGGGTGTAACTCCGGTGTCCTGGCCAAATTTCCCATTGGCCCTAACCCTATCCCTAATAATCCCCATCTATGAATTGGCTTCGTTACTCTGCTCTCCTCCCCACTAATAGCTGGTGTGTGGTAAGCGTTCTGGCACATTATGGCTGCTGTCGCATTGTCCAGGTGGATGCTGCACATTGGTGGTGGTGGAGGGGAGTCCCCATTACCTGTAAAGCGCTTTGGGTGGAGTGCGCTATATAAGTGTAATTAATTATTATAAGGCTATAGACAAGGCAACTGACCAGATGGGGCCGTGACAACCATTCTGAAGATTCTGCACCACCGTTGGGGGTGCAACATCTGTGCACAGATAGTGATGGGCATCCACAGTTAGCCTGAAATATCCGTCAATCAGGGCAGTAAAGGACAAGGCCTCATCATGGAATGCCAACTGAAGTTCCTGCCAGGGTGAGAAAATTACCAGTGTTAAAACAATGAGTGAGGCACATGTGCATATACATGTACAGTATATAGGCAGATGGCATGACAGTATAGAGACTGACTGTCTTGTGTCCTTCAGCTCAACATTCCTGCAAACAATAACATCTCCTTCTGAACTTTCCCCTCTCATTGGACAATGACCGCGTCACATTTGCAGACAGTACAGAAAGGCTAGCACTCAGCAAAACATTCTAGCAACATAAGCACACGGAAAGCTTAGACTGCGAGTTGCTGAACATTCTTGCTGATAAGGAGAAATCATTTGCAAGTTCTAACAGCATGGTTTGATATCTCTCACGCAGAGAACAACAGCCTACTGTGTGGATGCTATCTACTGAACTTATCACTTCAAATTTATTTTTGTAGATCTTTTCTTTAGGGTTCTGTTACAATTCTGCAAAGATCAATTGACAATGGCACCGTTTTGTTTTGCTCAGTGCTTTTCTACATTGTGCATCTTAAAATAACTAACTTTTTAGGATTTTGCTACTCTATAAACAGTAAAGAAAATCCAGGTTCCTTTAAAAATATGTACAGATTATGATGCAATGCACTCCATTTTGTACTGCAGTAATTCACGATTAACAATTGAAGGAGAACAAAAAATGTTATGTACTATCCTCGCCATTACTAGATTCACTACAGCACAATTAGAGTTTTGCATGAGAAGTTTGAATTACAGGGCATAGCAAAAAACTCGGGTGCATTTTCAGAGTACATTTCTTGCAGAATAGGTCAAAAAGAACTGAAAATGTCCTTGGGTGCCTTATTCTAAAATACAAAAGTTCTGGTTTATCACTGCAGAGTTTCACATCTACTATTTTCAAAGCTCACAGTTCTATTTTTTTCTGAAAGGGAAGAAGTAAATCATGAGGTCTGAATTCACATGGACTTAAGTAACAGTTTTTATGCTAAGCAGAAGTGGTTTATACAAATCAAGAAAAGTGCCATTTTCATAAGGGCAAATTCCCACTTAACATAGGACATACAGTACTTTATTGTGCTCTCCAGATTTATTCGTACTTACTTGAAAAAGAAATAAAAAAATGCCATAAACAGAACGGATAATGCGTCTTGCTTAAGAAAATTCAAAATATCGTCATACTTTCACTTGCACAGAGCAAAGTCATTTTTGACTTTGAATGATTTAAGTCAAGAACGCACAAGGGTCACATTTATTCAAGTATGCATTTTGTAAATCCTCCTCTAGCAGAGATTACAGAGAAGAGGCCTGCTGTTTGAGGTTCTGGCACTTATTCCTTGCAGATGTGCCATGAACCCCACAACGTAAGCAACTGCAGATTGTCGTTTTTGACACTTCAGATTCTGAAGATGCCAAGTTGTGTGGGAGATCTCCAACTGTTGCCTCTGGATTTACAATTGCCACTTGTCCCACAACCAAAGGTGGCAAGATAGAATGACGTTCTCTCCCTGGAAGGGCTGCCTTATCTCCCATCTGTATAATTAAGTTATTTCTACTGATGACTTTGTTCATCTTTCCTGTACAGCTATTTTGATTTTAACTTGCCAAAGCGTTTTGATCTTTTTGGGATTTCGGATTTCTGTTTGATGGATATATCATCCCTCTATTTTCTAACCAGTTCTTCTAATTCGGGGTTGCGGGGAAGCTGGAGACTGGGTACACCCTGGAATGGTCACCAGCCAATGGCAGGTCACCCTCTCAGACATACACACTTGCACCTAGGGCCAGTTTCCCCAGAAGCCAATTAACCCACATACAGTACCAGTATGTTTTTTAGACTATAGGAGGAACCCCCCATGAACTCTGAATGAATGGTTATATACAGTGCCAGAAGCCTTAAAGTTTTCTATAATGGACACTACAGTGGAAAGTGGTAGATTCCCTGTTGTCTGAATTCTTTTATAGCCATTTCCCAACTGGCGGAGGTAAATGACCATTTGCCTGGAGCCTTCAGAAAGCTGTCTGTCTTTAAGCACAATGATGCATGTTACTGAATGTTTTCTGTGTCTGACCTCTTATTATACCCCCAGAAAACAGGAAACCTTCAGAGGCCTCCATAAGGTTCTGGAAGCTTCTACTGCATTTCCAAAGAACAGCGTTGTTATTTTAGACATGACTTTGTTGGTTTATATGTACAGTAAAGGAATACTTATAGGTGTAAATAAATGACAATTGTGATTTTTGGAATTCAGTGAATTATGACAAATGTTACTTTACTCTGCTATTACCATTCCAGTATAACGCTTTGTATACATTATTTAAACGTTACCCAATCCACAACTCTTTTTTTCTTACAGTTTTATGATGCTTTCTGTTCCTACAGTGTATTTCATTGTGTATTTGGTATAATATAACTCCGGATGCCATACAGTTGAATGTAAACTAAATTTACAAAGTCTCAAATGTGAATTTTTATATCCCTTCTGATATAAATTACATTTTAAACCATACCATCCTTTTGTTGTCCTGTGTGTAAATGGTGACTGTAGAATCCCTAAGGACGATGTGGGTGATGTTGTTGAATTCAGAGAAGAGTTTCCAGCCATCACTGAGATTGTCCTTCTTTCTCTCATTTTTCTTCTTACTTTCCGTCCGGATCTTTCTGGATTTATTTTTTTCTTTTTGAGTGAATACGATCTATTTCACACAGAAGACAAAGAGAAGGAAAAAACAGATGACCGTGTTAACGTGCCATGAAAAACAAAATCAAGTGTAGGTTAAGATAAGATAAGATCATTTTATTAGCAATATACAATTTCTTGCATTAAGAATGTGTCTTTTTTGCATACCCCAGCTTGCTCTCCCTGAGACACACAGGCACACAGACAGGGAGAGAGAGAAGATTGGGGTCAGCCATTGTACAGCACCCCTGGAGCAGTTGGGGTTAAAGGCCTTGTTCAGGAGCCCAACGGAGTAGGATTCCTCGGCTGACTGTGGGATTTGAACCAGCAACCTCCCAGCCATAGGCACAGATCATTAGCCACAGAGCCACTGCTCCGTCCCAGTTTGCAAGAGAAAACATTTTATCCTCAATCCCAGGGCCTTGTTTAAGCATTACTGTACGTACACAAGTTTCAAATATTTCCACAACGTCAGACAAAAATAACAAAATAAAATCTTACATTGATTGGTTTCTCCCTCAACATTATTCCCATTTTCCCAGACACCTGTATTTCATACAGTGGCTGCTCTTTGTTGTACGGCAGGCAGCTCTCGTTTTCCACACAGATCTGTAGCATGGAAGTCTCAAAAATTTCTGTGCCAAAGTGCTTGGTGAGAGTTTCCAGAGTGGAAAGGTACTTCACTTTCAGATCATGCATGGTGACATTGCTGTCGGTGACAGTCTTGTTGTTGAACTCATTGAGAAAGCTCTTGAACACGTTGTTAATTCTGATGCGGGTCAAGAAGTTGCGTTGCTTGATGGCTTTGTTCAAAGTCTCTGGAATGTATTTCTTATAACTGCAACGGAGTCGAGGAATAAAAAATCGTAAAAAATCAGAATCAAAACTAACATTTCTAATTTGTACTCCTAAATCTAGAAACATGCAAAAGTCCTAAATATTCTGTAACCACTTATGGAAAATCACAACACTATAAAGATCAAATAACAAATAATTAAATTATAATAAACAAAATAAACAATGATGGAATTCTCCATTTTGATCCCTGTAGCAATGATAGCTCATGAATATCCTTTGTCAAAGAATGAATATGAATGCAAAATATTTCTGTATGTAATACATTGCCCCTATAGTGGATTTTTACTTTCTATGGAAATAATTGTATTATTTAATACGTATTAGTCTATCACAACTTAATGTACCTGCTCCCTATTATACTTTACTGACTATAATTGACTTGGACTGTGAAGACTTCAACCAGGGGCCGCGACAGTAGGTATTCTGTATATAATTCATACAGTAAATACCACAGGCTCCTTTAATTGTAATTGCTCTATATGCATCACAGATGTGAATTCTTAAATTTGTCAGCAATGACAATCCCCTTAAATCCTTGTGGATTAATTTAAGGTCATTATCGTGTAAGGGGAGATAGAATAAAGAGGACTATGAGAAAAAGAAGACCCGAGGACAACAGCACAAGAGAGGACAGTAATTTTATGTCTAGACTGCCTGAGCCCTTACTTCACCCTCACGGAAAAACTTATGTAGCAACTAGTCAGGATGGGCAAGATGCTGTAACATTATTTTGGTATTATTTCCTGCGACATTCTTATCTGAGCTCTTTGAACATTTAATAAAGGCTGAGAAAACCTAAAGGGCTGTTTTGTTGCAAGACTTTCCTTGATTTGTTTCGTGTAAAACAAACAAGCCTAATTATTTCACGATCCAGCCCATCCCGTTAAGCGGCGAGAAGTTCTTACCTGGTTTCTCCCGCGCTCCCTGCCATGCTCTTTCTCATGGTATGATGTGTAATGGCAAGCACGGCCATCCCCAGACACTCGTTCTCGATGTCATGGGTTTCGTTCTCATTCTGAGGGCTCCGGACAGGAGCCAGACCCTTGAGGAAGTCATACTGGCCCTGAGAGTGAGAACAAAAAATCAGACACCGGCAAAACCAGGGAATAAAATCGGTCGGTGCGTTATTCCCTAAGCCACGTTCAGGGCTGTTTTAGTGTCCCATTAGCAGCCATTCCCGATGGGAAAATTCAGATTGAAAAGCATGTCCAAGCAGTCAAACTCTCGCCTTTGTGGAATTACCCTGAGCCGTGAAAGAACAATCCAACTGAAAGGGACTCCCCAGGAGGCCAGGAAACAGAATCTTAGCCACGAATGGACGAACAATCGCACAAGAAAACCTATTCTTGCCATGCTTTTTACAAAGGGGAACACTTCCCCCTTTGTGGCTTTTGTTTAAAGGTAGTTCCTGTGCACGTTCTTATTTTACCTGTGCGAACAAGTACTCCAAGGAAGCTGCGTCGAGGAGAGGTGTGCCTTCGGGGACTTTCTTCGGGCCGTATTCGGTTTTCTGCTTGTGCAGAGAGTGTCTCCAGACCAGCGATTCATTCTCATTAGTCCCATGCCAATTGGAAAAGTAGAACCTGCAGTAAGGGCAATCACTTTCAGCCTCTATACACACTACAACTCCGATCAGACTTTACATTTTTATTTGCAGATGTGGCTGACATTTTCCATCCAAAAAAATCAGTTGGTTGACTGATGTTTTACTTTTTCTGTAGCTGGCTAATAGTCTAATGCCATTATACAGCCTGTGCTTTTTTTTTACTGGAGTTTCACGTTCAATTTCATATTCTGTCCTTTTAAGGGTTATCCTCAGTTAATCTGAACGACTGCAGTGTCAACAGCTTGGAGCCTGATCTTGTCGATTCTCACAAGGTAACACCAGGTCTGTTCCATCCTACTACTCTCAATCTCAGTACTGGGATGGGAAACCTCTAAGGAACAATAGGTTGCTGCTGTTAGTAGACCAGTAGGTGGTGCTCTTCCCTCTGTAGCTGAATATGGAAACCAGTATGGTGGCTGGAGACAGTGTAATATACAACCTGCCATCCTTCAGATGAGACATTAAACTGTTTGACATTAGATCCTGTCTACTTAGTCATTTAAGACCCTGTCACTTAAGAGTAGCAGTGTTTATCCCGGTTTCCTGACTAAGTTCTATTCTTATTCTCTATTCGTATTCCCTTGTTTCCTCAACTAATTCAACTCATGAGGCATTTTCTCACTTATTCAGTATGTGATAAGTATGTCTGGCACATAATGGCTTACATGCATCTCCCAGGTGGGTCCTGCACATGAATTGCACCCCCTCCTACTGTATGTTTAAAGTGCTCAACAAAAGCAGGTGATTGTTATGATAAATCAAAAACACTGCTTCGCCTTTTGAGGGTAAACTACAATAACTAGAAATCTGTACTTGAGAGCAGCTGCTTTCACCAGTAAGTCACAGCAAAGAGCATGAAAGAAATATATTCCAGCTCAAACAAAAACTATTCATTTAGTATACGTATGAGTGTTTGTATTTCAGAATAAATTCTATTGTGACCAGATAAGGATAAAAAAGAATAGAAAGTGTTATTTTAGGTTTTCCACAGAATAAGGGAATTCCCTGCTAACTGTGTGCTTAGGGGACTGCGTCTACAGATTGTGTAATTCTACGTTTTCTTTTCTTCATGCATTTATGGAGCTACAGGCACGGCTCTACCTGTTTTACAATATTGACTCATTGTGCCTTTTTGTAACATGACTCCGAGAATTGTTTCTGGGTGGTGCTCACCACAAACAGTCCTCTACAGAATGAAACCTGACTGTTTCGGGGTTGAATTCTCAGATGCTTAAAGTCTGTGAGAACTGCCTTTGCAGTTAGTGCATTACTGCTGTCCTTGTCTATAAAGCCTTCGCTGAACTTAACCTGACTTTTCTTTTTCGTTGAGCACTGCTGCCACAGCAGAGAATCGCTGTAAACAGGAAGTTCCGAATTCAAGAAAAGGTTTTGCTTCGCCACAACACAGAATAAACTGGTGAAGGTTAACCATGACCTGTTTGTTGACACAACAGGCACATGCAAACAAAGGTGTCGAATACAAACCGTAAAACACCAGAGTCGGGAAGAAGTGAGTGAACAAAACATCATACGCAAGTATCATACGCAACTGCAAAATCACCACCGCAAACATAAATTTCGCAACAGTTTTCTTACAAAAAATGTATGTACTTTTGGAGCACATAAGCAGCATACATATTTAGACATGTATTTTCACATTTCCTTTTGGATATTTAAGGATTGCTCTCTTGGTAATGACCTAGAAACCAGGATGCTGTATCCAGCCACTGGCCTTGCCACAGTGCTCTGCCACAGTGATTTGCACCTGATAATAAACTGGAGTCTCCACAACACCCCACTGTGGACAACTGTGTGCTAACATTGTGACAATCACTAACTACAGCTGGAGAGTCAAGATGAGACTCTTCCCTTGAAGCACAGCCTAACCAGTGCCTCCACTACGGTGATATTTTCTTACGTCAAGGGACAAAACCATAATGCACATAATGGACAACTGCGAGAAAGAAGAACTATAACGATCAAGATAAAAAAAAGTACACTCAAGATCATTTTCAACTTCTGTGAACTCATTTCAGTATTGTGTTGAATACAAGGCCGATTAACTTCCCCCATTCCTGATAAGGCGTTTTTTCCCCAAATACCTATTTAACGTTTAGACTCACCTCATCCGATAATGTAACTTTATTGCTGTGCCCTCGTCAATTGTGAAGGTGTGATTTGGTGGGTACCAAATGTTTCTGCTTTCATCATAGAGGGCAAAGAGGTTATAACACAGTGGAGAAATGCCTGTTGAAGGAAGCAAGTTGGTTTTTTTAAACACCCCAAAAATACTTTAATTTCAACAAGGTGTCTTTCACATTGCTTTACTCACTCACAATCCTGAAAATCTGTTGATGAAAAAGAGGTCAAATGTTGTAGGTTTTTGTTTTAAGACAGTCTACTTGCATATTGGTTGCCTGCTTAAACTGTATTTCTGCATATACAGTACTTCTGCAAATCTCACTTCTCTCTCTCCATATTGAAAGTCACTCAGGTTCTAAAAATAAGGAAACTTCAATCCAGACATGAACCTAGCAGCCTTCACAAGGAAATTCATTGCATTTTGGCTTTCTTGTCCATGCTACAAAGAAAATGGGCCACTGTCTCAAAAAGCCCCTCATAAGATTCAACCACACAGAAAATAAACAGAACTAGATCACAGAGGCAGCACTTCCAGTAGTACCATGTTCAATCAATTCATTTCTATGATTTAATTTGAATGTCAAGAGAGACAAAATATTTCCAAAGCATAGCTGCTTCCTCATTTCTGAAGCAGGACTAATTAAATGGTCAGAGGATCTCCAGTTAGATGTTGCCTATGCTGAAAATGTTGTTAATGTTGCATGTGGCTTTTTATAGTAAACTGTATGCAATGCTTGGACCCACTTAAATTTGTAACTCACAGCTGAGAAAGAGTATGAAAAGTCATTCAAACAAATGCTACAAACGCCCCCTGTCATGAAAGTTAAAAGTGTAGTGTGAAGGTTTACAAGACAACAAATGTAAAACATCCTTACCACACTTTTTAGCTGCCTCTATACATAAATCTTCAACTAAATAACTTCCGCTCAGGTACTCCAGCTGATGACTGTCACACAGATAGAAATGGATCTCTAATCCTTTCATGGGGGTGGAAATGATGGCCTCAGTTTTTTTGGTCTTCCTCATTTTGCCACACAATTGCCTCCCCAGTTCCATCGCAGATATTCGTGACATCCAGACCCTGGAAAGGAACGACACATACAATAAATCAGCAGCCAGCAAGGGCTGATCGATACATTTATTGAACAGGGTATCTCCTCTGCACATCCCGGGTGGTTGGCCTGAAATCTAAGTTCATAAAATCGATCCTGAAAAAACTCGCCACTTCCTTGAAATCGTAGTACTATACTGAGTACTACATTTCTACAAATATGAATCTTACAGTAAAATGCCCATCTGATTACGCGATATGAGAGATGGATTCTTAAGTTTCATAGTAACACACACTTCAAGTATGCCAACTCAGCAATGACTAAAGCATCTTCCAGCCAGTTGCGGAAGAGAAAATTTTAGCTGAACAAACAGATCAAACCAGATACTGCTGTAGGAAATGAGCAGTTCCTTCCTTGCCAACCTAATAAAATTCAACAATATGAATTGTGCTCAACACTCAACCATGAACAAAGGCTCGGATTCAAGAAACAAAAAAAAAACTCATGCCTGATCCGTTTGCTTTTATTTTTACTTAGCTCTAATTAGATTTAAAAAGAAGCATAAATATGAGATCATAACGAACATTTTAAGCCTTCCTTTTTTACCATAATGTTGAATTGGTCAGAAATGTACATCTGTATAATGTATATATGTTATTGATATTGATATCTTGTCCCTAGGTTCATCCAAGAACTGAAGGCTTTGTAAATGTTTGGTGAGATAGGTTTGGCTTATCCTGCATGGTTAATGAGTAGTCTCCTGGCCACAGGACAAAGAGGCTTGGACCCCTCTCAACAGAAGTGAGCTAAGGGATCTCTTCAAGGTGCCGTGGAGTGGGTGGAGGAAGGAGACAAATGCAAAGGGAGTTGTTTATGTTTGATATATAAAGTTCCTTTTTGTTAATGATGGTGATTAGGTACAGTTGTGTGTGATTGACTTGTCCTTGTGATCCCTATTGAACTTCAGTTAATAACTTCCATTTCTTCTTAAAAACCAGATGACTTCAATTCCACATGTGCCTTTATGCCTTTATCTGTGCTTAGTTCTAATTAGACATAAAATGCCCCCACTGGCATGAGGTATCTCGAAAGAAAGTAGAACACAAATTGTCTAATCTATTACAGTGGAATTCAACATTGTTTAACATGATGAATTTAACTGGTCATATCAGCAACAAGGGAAATAAATTTTACTAAACAGAGCTGCTATGAACAAAAAGGTTCTGTTCCAAAAACTGTAACCATGACAACCCCGGCATGGGAATCTGGTTGTATTCCACTCTTAAAGTGGAATTTCTTTAATCTCCTTGAAGAAACCGTATGTTACTTAGGTAACCAAACATAATAATGGAAGAGCACATGAAAAGAAACAGCTTGGATATTCTGTCCTTTCTGTTAAGTACAAATCTGCTAAAATCCAGTCCTATTCAAATCATTAGATTAGGGCTAATAAAGTGACCGACTGTAAGATCTCATATGCAAAGTTGACGGCTCAGGTCATTTGCCCTATCGGTGATGTGATGCATATGTGAGGTACAGGAACACAATTACAGTACCTGAGGGACAGAGGAAGATTTGAAAATATAGACAAGGAAATGGTACTGTAGTCAGAAGTCTAAATAACAGATTTGCAAATGATATTTTCATAGATGAGTCACTCTTCCAGCTCTTTAACCCCTCTATTTTATTAACATATTTTTTCATCTGTGGTTTACTATATCCAGTTTGAAAAGCTTCTGTCAAACCTTCGGTGAATACCAAAAGTGGGAAGTTTTCATGGTCACCCACAGGAAACGCAATCTTCTTATATCAGGCTACAGTTCAAAGGACAACATACACCTCTCTGGTGAGCACATTTCAGTTACAAGTGAAGAGACGCAAGGCTCCACTGCAGTGAAAAACCTCAAGGGTTAAACAGAAAGCCATCAAAGGCATGGGGTTAAAACAACGTAGAGTTTTGCAAGTCACAAAATTGAGCATTTGACGTAGTTGGTCTTGTTACAAAAGAAACAAAAATCATTAAAAAGGCCAAAATATATCTTTTATGTGAATATTCTATTTACAGCAATGCTACCCAACACAGAAGATGAGATTATCATTCAAGTGAGATCCAATATGAGATCATAAGGAAAATCTTAGTTTCCAACCTAAAAAACGATGACTTCATTTCCACGTGTGTTTCCGCATGACCACTGTGGCGCAAACCATTATGAGTATTTGTGTGCAAAACAAGATATGGTTTTTATAGGAGACTTTAGCTGTCCACACATAGACTGGGAAAAATCCTTAGGACCTATAGGAATGTCAACATCAGAAACACAAATGATAGACATGGTTAATGATTTCTTTCCCAGTTTGGCAGAGCACCTACAAGAGGAAATGGTTGTGTTGAGGTGAGTGAAGCATCAGGGAACTGTGATCATAATAAGGTGTGCTTTGAAGTATAGTTCCAAACTGTCCAAACTGAATCCAAATCAAAGCTTAACAGTATCAGGAAAGCATACTTTAAATAAACAACATCATATGGAACATTATTGCTGTTTAAACAGATTCTGATTGAAACACACATCACATTTATCCCTACATTGAGAAAAGCTCAAGCTAAATATCACAAATGCTTTAATAAATCTATTAGGAAAAATGTAAGGCACTTGAAATTAATAAAAAAATAATTCAAATACACCAGGAGCTAGTTCAAGAAAAGGATTCAAATTCATTACAATCAACATCTAAAAAAGGATATTGAAAAGACTAAAAGAGAGAGTCTGAATGGAATACTTCAATGAAGGCTAAAAAATCTAATAAAAAGTTAGTTCAGGTGGGAAGCTGCGTCAGCATGCGTAGGCTGCAAAGGAACAAGTAATAGGTTTATTCCATGCTGAAAAAAAGAAGAAAGAGAACACAACATTTCGGCCGTGGAGCCTTCTTCAGGTGTGAGAAAGACAGGGCAGTAGGCAAAGGTAAAGTAATAAAAAGTTATTTCAGTAATTCAACAGCAAAAGACTTGAATAGGCCCCGGCAAAATGTATCTGGTAAAATAATGGATCTTGATAAAGAAAAGGAAATGACAGTCAATGACTTCCTAATTGAGGTGTTCAACAAGGAAAATAAAATCAAAACATTTCCTAGGCAGTGTGAGGTCATACTGTAGTTCTTCACTTAATAGTATTAACATAGAAGAGGAAGACGCATCTAGGATAATAGCACTCAAGATTATTACCTTTAAATTTCCAGGGTTTGGTGATATCCTGCCAATTGTACTTAAGGAAACAAAATATTTATTAAGCCCTTTGATGCAATTCTTCCAGCAGTCACTCAAGAAAGGGGTAGTGACCATGGACTGGAGAACTGCTAATGCAATGCCCATCCTAACAAATGGCAACAGACCTGAACTAAGTACAGTAATTAGAGACCAGTAGGTCTGACTTCTATTATGTGTAAGAAGTCAGGGAGACAATTATTAGAACTAAAATAGAGGATAACTTAGGCTGTGTGGAAATAAGATCCTGGGGAATAGTTCAAATAGATTTAGACGAGGTACGTCTTACTTGTCTCTCTCACTATCTTCTTAGTTCTTTTAATAAACAACAACAGAAATGGACACAAAGCACACAATATGTATATTAAGATCTTGAGAAGATTTTAGCTAAGGTTCCTAATAAAAGATTCTCAAATTACAGGTGGAAGAAATTTGGAGAAAATGTATATGCTGGGACTGATTTGGATCATGGAGAAAAGCAGACTGTGATGTAATTAGAGGTAATTAGAGAAGTACCACAACTGGGACCAGTGCTAGGACCATATTGTCCCAATTAACATCAATGATCTGGATATTTTCTGGTACAGTTAGTAAAGCAGGTAGGTTTCCAGACAATATCAATTTATGATGATTAGCAAACGCTGTAGAGGCGGCAAACAGAATTCAGGGAGATTTAGATCAAATTCAACACTGGCAGATGATGTTCAAAAATATAAACTATACATATAAAATGTTGACACATCACGTAAATATTTTTTTTAAATGCTTGAATATACAGAAAACTAATAGCTCCTTTAGAATGTAGTGAACTGTTCTGTTCTGTCTTCACAAAATGTATGGTTACTTGCATTGTTAAGCACCTTGGGGCAACTTTGTTGTGAAAAAACGCTATATAAAAATAAATTGAATTGAACTGAATTTTTAAAGTTACTACAGTGTCAACTGTGAAACAAATCAGGAGGCACAAGTGGAATTTACTGGATGTGGACGTGGATTAAACCTTGAGAACTTCTTTACAAAGTGTCATGGGGGTATGGAACAAAGTACTCAGTCATGTTGTTGAAGCTGATACCCCTGGTTTCCTTCAAGAAATTTCTGGATGAGATACTCTGATCAATTAGCTACTTACAATCACACTGGCTAGATGGGCTGAATGCCTTCCTCTTGTTTCTAATATGTTCTTATATCAGTATTAATGCAACATGATTCCTAGACAAGTCATGTTTGTGGAAAATATTGGATCTATAGTAAACTGAAATGTACGCTGATAAAATCGTACTTCTTTTTCATTCAACTGACAAATATAAATGACCCTTGTTATGGAAGAATCCATAACTTCTGTATATACATTGCAATCTTATTTTAGAAAAAGAATGATCTAACAAGTAATATTATATAATCTAAACGCAAACTAATATGATAAATAAAAAGTGATGACTGAAAATTAGTGGTTAAGTTTGTGGTTGGCTGAGATCTCAATGTACAAATTGTGCCAAATCAAAAATCAGTAAGTTAAAGGATGAATGGTTAAAGAATGTGTGTGTAAATTTAGTACAGGGGACCCCAGTCCTGGTCCTGGGGCGCCAGTGTGACTGCAGGTTTTCAAGATCTCTTTCAAGCACCAGCACCTGAAGGCCTGGCAGAAGCCGGTAAATTGATCTAATTGAGGTAATAATGAGCTGATTCAGGTAATTACAAAATGGGTTGGAATTATAATCCACAGAGTTACCAGTATTCCAAGACCAGTATTGCCTTCCTCATAAGGAGATC